CAAACCCCACCCCACCCCACCACCCCATGACAGGTACATGAATAAATGAAACAAGTATTTTTGATTTCGATCCAAATGAGGCTGAGCTGACACCCTAAGGATACAAAACAGCACTTCTTTTATTTTAATTTTAATTTGAAATCACAATACACTAAATGGCCTCAAACAGGACTACGATGGCTAGTTCTTGATGCAGCCGAACGCCAATCATCGATGATGACGTGACGTCTCGAGGGCGCCAGGGTGTCCGCTACAAGTGGTGATGTGTGGGGGTACCAAAGAAGCTATGAACGGCATTGTTTCCACCGGGTGTCTGCAACAGAATAAAACCGTTTGGATTCCGGGTTATAATACGCCCTAACAACCTGAGCCACATCTAACTGTTTTCTATTATAAAAAAAAACGTCACTTCGTTGTGACGTCACAAATGACATGGGGGACCCCCTTGCTGGCACATTTAATATCGCTCAATCCTTGAACGAACAATTCTCCGCGTACCCCACTCAATGTCACTTAGTCACTCACTCACTCAGGGAACAATTCTTGCTTTCGTCCACTCAATGTCACTCACTCAGGGAACAATTCTTGGTTTCCTCCACCTAATGCCACTTCACTCAGGGAACAATTCTTGGTTTCGTCCACTCAATGTCACTCACTCACTCAGGGAACAATTCTTGGTTTCCTCCGCTCAATGTCACTCACTCACTCAGGGAACAATTCTTGGTTTCGTCCACTCAATGTTACTCACTCACTCGGGGAACAATTCTTGGTTTCCTCCACCTAATGCCACTTCACTCAGGGAACAATTCTTGGTTTCCTCCACCTAATGCCACTTCACTCAGGGAACAATTCTTGGTTTCCTCCACCTAATGCCACTTCACCCAGGGAACAATTCTTGGTTTCCTACACCTAATGCCACTTCACTCAGGGAACAATTCTTGGTTTCGTCCACTCAATGTCACTCACTCACTCACTTCTGTAGGTGGTTGACTCTTCACAGAGCTTATGAAACCATCTCACCTATTCATTTCACTGGGATCTGCATCTTAAACTCCGCTAGTTTTGTTTCAAACATCCCCCCAATCCTGTGCAACACTCACCATCTTTGCCTCGTCACAAGCAGCCGGGGGGTCGAACACAGAGGGGTCTTGGATTTTAAGCATGATGTCGACGAAACCAACGCTCGTCATAATGGCGGCTACAGATAAAAATGAAATCATGTATTTATCACTTTAATGTATAGGTATAGCAACATTTCATTCTGAAATGGACTGGCAAATTAAACAAGCCAGTCGCTCATCTTAAACATATTGCATGAAATGCCAAATGTAGGAAATGATGTTTTTAATAAAGATATTTGCTAACAAATAATTCAATACTATCAGTTAAGTAATAATATAGTCATTATATTATAAGTAGATAATAGAAATATAAGGCCGTATTGATTAATAAAATCTACAAGATTCTGAGAAAAATGTATGTACATTATTTCAATGTTTTGCTGTATAGATTTGTCATTAATACCATACAAAGCGTTTTTATATCATAATCATGTGTATAGCAATACATACTATTTCTAATTATGGCGTAAGGATTAAATAATGAATTGAATTTTAATAAGTTGCGACACAAGAGCAGGATGGATCATTTGAAATTAATCTATACCTTTCATATGAATTTAAATAATAGGTTGTTGTTGTATGTTGTTTAACGCCGCACACACTGATATTCCAGCTTTATGACGGCGGTTTGTAACTGATCGAGTCTGGACCAGACAATCCCGTGATTGATATCATATGCTTTGTTTGTTTGTTTGTTGTTTAACGCCGCACACACCAATATTCCAGCTATATGACGGCGGTCTGTAAATAATCGAGTCTGGACCAGACAATCCAGTGATTGACATCATGAGCATCGACCCACGCATTATGGATACGATAACATGCACCAACAAAGTCAGCGAGCCTGACCACCCGATCCCGTTAGTCGCCTCTAACGACAAGCATAGTCGCCTTTTACGGCAAGCATAGGTTGCTGAAGACCTATTCTACCCCGGCTGTTTACGGGTGTAAATAATATCTACAGCTAATGAAAGACCTACTGTTGCCAGCTTGACCGTACGTGACGGAAGTAATGGGGACACAGTCCAGACTGGTGACGGTCAGATAGCTCCCCATGGTGTTCACGGTGAACTTGTAGGATGTAGCATCAAGCATATTGTCATCCCCAGCTCCGAAGTAGAAGGTCCCAGCCTCCGTTGCACCCTCTGAAGCAAACGCTCACATATATACTGAACAACAAAAGTTCCTGTGACATTGAATAAGATTTAATGCAAAGTCATGTTTTTTACCAAATCTGAAACAATTTCGGTTTGCAACAGATAAAAGACTCCTGTAAGTGTTCAAATGGTTTAATTTGCCATACTGACTTCAGAAAATGCGTATCTGCGTATCTTAACTCCCCTTGCAAAATGGCTCCAGTGGCCACAATTCCAACTGCATGACAGGATGATAACTTATAAGTATTGTTGTGAGGCAGTCGATATTGTTATAGGTTTGTTGGTAGAGATGGTCAGTGGTAGCAAATTACTGAGGCGCACGTAAAATATTCAGTGTTGTTGTAGCCTGTCCCAACCGGAAGTGTCATTTTGAGTTATCTTCCCTTGGTTGTCGTCAACCACATAACAGACTTGATCGTTGGAAATGTTTCGTGACGGGATAGTTTATTGAAGGCTGTCTCTAATAATTTTATAAGAGCGACTAGGTGGCGAGTCGAGGCCTTGTACGACCTGACTATCTACTTGAAAAAATTAAATTTGAAAACACCGGATTCCTGCCAGCTTCCCACTATTCCATATTGAAGAACGGAGCACGTGACTCTCACAAGGCATTCAAGAGTGAAAAATTCGGGACATTTGTGATTGCCCATGTAGTTGGGGCCTTGTTCTTATTTCAGTCAGTATAACCCTTCAGCTGCATTTTTCAATATAATTGGTTAATTATTTTGTGTGGATATTCACTGATCTCACAATTCATTTCACAAATTCCCCCTAGCCGACCCAGATATATGCAGAAAACATACTTGCTACCGACATACAGTTTAGGACGAAGTAAACTTACCCGTAAGGTTAAGAGGTAAAATGAAAACATAATCCGATATTTGCCCGTGTGCAATTTTGAGATTCCAAAAGCTGATTGCTCTGTTGAATAGTATGCCGTCAAATTACGTCTTCAGAGCAATATATTTAATTATTTAAAGTTTGATAAAATTTATACGTTGTTCTTTATTTTCTTTCTTAAAATTATAATGTGCTTTATATAAAATAACCAGGTCAAATCTGGGAGCTACGAGTAATGTATCCTTCGTGGGGGAATATTGCAGATCTCTCGCCAAGGGCTCGGGACAACGTTTGGTCAGATATATGGAGAATCTCACCCAAGTGCCTTTTGCTATGAAATATATCTACACGAGTCAAATGAAAGTTTGCCTCGGCTTACCTCGGAGTATTAAACTTTCAACGACGAGTGTTGATATATTTCATATCAAAAGACACAAGGGTGAGATTCTATTTATCATCCAACATCATTCTTCCAACTTTTTCAGTTTGTAGACAGTAATAAGCAGTGTCTTAAGTGTATAAACATCTTCAGTAGCAGAGCCATTAGTGATGTCATTTGATTGTGACGTCATGGTACCAATGACATCATAATGGTCTGCAAAGCATTGTGATGCAATTTCATTGCAGCAATATCTACAGTGTAGATAACGCTTGATCTCACCCAAGTGATATCTCCTGTGGGAGCCAGTTTTGGATGATAATAGTAATTGCTTAATATGTTGGTTATTCTGTAATGATAACATACGTGGAGTACACGCCTGCATCATGGGCTGGTCGACGGACTTTACTTCGCACAGGTCTCTCGTCATGTCGATCAGGTACATCATTTTCTGTGAATTCCAGCATATAATACAATTAAAAAGTAGAACACCATGACATCGACAGTCAGATACGTGTGTCAATTTCTAAACTAGATTCATATAACATTGAAATAATAAAGTAGTGCTTGGGGCTTCCCAATGTACCGTCGTAAACTATAGCGACTAAACTGAGTGTGTGTGTGTGTGTGTGTGTGTGTGTGTGTGTGTATGTGCGTGCGTGCGGGTGTGTGTGTGAAATTTCAATGTCCCCAGTGGCATCCAGGGTTGGACTAGGCTCCGAGCAACCTATGTGTCACTACTAAATAGCCAATTTATGAAATTGGAACATTCACATCTGTTTATGTTTACAAAGTGAAATATTTATATTGAAATGAGGAAACCGAAATGGATTATGTAATAACACACTCACAATAAATAAATAAATAAATAAATAAATAAATAAATAAATAAATAAATAAATAAATAAAAATAAATAAATAAATAAATAAATAAACAAAATAAATAAATTCGCTGGGTTGCGCATAGTATTAAATTGCTCGGTTCCTTCTTTGCTAAGCGGATGGATTCGATAGCCTGTCTGTCAATCCAACTCTACCCGTCCCCCACCCCCTCCCCACAACGATCCCCGCCCAGATATACAGTGTAAGGTTTTGTGACGACTCACTGTGTTGTAGTTGATGATCGTCTTGTTCTGCATCTTCATGGATCCTTCCGTCACAACCGTTGTCTGGGCAACCACTTTGTTGATGAAGTCGTATGCCATCATGCCGTTCACCTATATGTGAGTAATGAGAGTAATTATTAAATTATTATTCCACGAGGACGAGTGAGGTGCTGAGAACCACATAAACATAATCGGGCCGAACCGAGATTCGAAAGCACAATCAAAGGTACCTGGCTTTCTTAGGCAGACAAAGAGGATACTATTTCTCGTGACGATCTAAATAAACGGTACATGACCCACTCGTCCTCTTTACTTTGCACTTTAGAACGGTGTGGTGTGTCTGCGACATGTTCTGGTCTTGAAAACGGGTTCTCATATTCGCCTTTTACAGCAAGTATGGGTTGCTGAAGACCTATTCTACCCCGGAATCTTCACGGGAGTAGTAGTAGTAGTAGTAGTAGTAGTAGTAGTAGTAGTAGTAGTAGTAGCAGTAGTAGTAGTAGTAGTAGTAGTAGTAGTAGTAGTAGTAGTAGTAGTAGTAGTAGTAGTAGTAGTAGCAGTAGTAGTAGTAGTAGTAGTGATTACAAATTAAGTGTGGTGATATGTCAATAACAGGCAAGTTTTGAATGAACAAAAATCTAATTTCATTTATACGAAAACATCCATTAGGTTGAACAACATTTCATATTGTTTTGATAATAAAATTTAAATCAGGACGATCCCCTTTGCCATATAGGGCTAAATCATTGTCCTTTGATCAACATTTGTGACCGCCGAAACACCTGCACCACCTGACACCTGGGCGGCGTTATTGTGACACCTACCTTTATAGTTTTAGTCATGCCGTCGGTGACCGTTCCCGTGATGCTGCCAAAGTTGCCCTCCCATTGGTCGGGGGTACAGCAGGGGTCTGCAACAGCAGCAGCGATGAGGGCGAAGAGGACGACGCTCAACATGGTGGCGGTGGCTGAAAATGTCTGAATACGCCCCCCTCTCTCGCAGCGTCGTTTATACCACTCGCGTGACATCTGACACGGGGATTAAGGCTTGTGAATATTTGTAACAGGATAGGGTGAACTGTAATGCAGGTTTTACCGATCTCACTGTAGTCACGTGAGTGTTAGTGTCGCTGCGCGGGGCAGACCATGTACAGGTACAGTAAACTACGTTTATAACGAACACGCTTATAACGAACTGACCGATATAACGAAATTATTTTTTTGTCCCGGGGTATTTGTTGTATATATGCTGTACATATGCTTATAACGAACAACGGTTGTTACGAATTAAACTAAGTGGTCCCTTTGAGTTCGTTATAACCGTAGTTGACTGTAACTGAAAGTAAAACGAGAATCATGAGTGAGTGAGTGAGTTGGGTTAAACGCCGCTTTTAACAGTATTCAAGTTATATCACGGCGTGTCAGCTTAATGGGGGGAAAGCCCCAAGTGATGCAGGTCTCAGACGTTTACCACTTCGGTGAAACCCACGAGCACGGGTGTGGTGCTGACAAACCTAGAAACATAATCGGGGCGAACCGGGATTCGAATCATAGGTTTCTGGCGTGCCCAAGGGACGCAACTCTGCACAGCGAATCGCGGCGCCTTAGACGACTGGGCCCCCGTGCCCCCCGAGAATCATGAAGGCAATACATGGCTGTCTGTATGTTTGTTTGTGTTTCCCATCTCCCGCCCGCCCTCATCTTTCGCACAGAGGTGCAATAATAAAAACGTTTTCTTATCTCAATTTTCCCCGCCGCTTAGGCCATTTACGCCCCTAAGCGATTACATGTCAAAGATATGTTCCTACATAACCATGAATGAGTGAGTGAATATTTTGTGTCTGTACAGAAAAATGAATGGGAGTGTGTGGTAAAATCTGATTGTGTGAAAAGCATTGTTAAATGGGATTGTCATGGCATCCAGAGTGTATATAATCGAGTCTGGACCAGACAATCTAGTGATTAATAGTGATTAATATCATGAACATCGTAGCCCAGTGGTTAAAGAGTTAGCTCGTCACGCCGAAGACCCGGGTTCGATTCCCGACATGGGTACAATGTGTGAAGCCCATTTCTGGTGTCCCCCGCCGTGATATTGCTGGATATTAGCGGGTATTGATAAAACTAGACTTTATATCATTATGTACTTGAGTGAGTGAGTGAGTATGGTTTTACGCCGCTTTTAGCAATATTCCAGCAATATCACGGCGGGGGACACCAGAAATGGGCTTCACACATTGTACCCATGTCGGGAATTGAACCCGGGTATTCTGCGTGACGAGCTAACTCTTTAACCACTAGGCTACCTGACCGCTACCTACCAGGACTCCGCGGCTGAGATTAAACAAATTATATCAGCCCTTCACTTTGAGTCTTCGCAGTACAGAGTATAGAATATAGAAATAAGTTGTGCCGTGCAACACGCTTCAATCGATCCAAAACTTAAATATTTATTGGAGAAATTTAATTTCAATGATAAAGGATATGCGTTAGGTATGGAATACTGTAAGGGACATTCTCGCGATCTTGCCTTCTCGCGATGTCGACCTTTGGAGACGAGCAAAACATGCCATAAGTGCGCGAAAGCGGAACGCCGAAGACCCGGCTTCGATTCCTACATGGGTCCAATGTGTGAAGCCCATTTCTGGTTTCCCCCGCCGTGAGTATTGCTAGAAGCGGCGTAAAATCATACTCACAGTCGCTGTCCTGGTTGATTGCGTGTCATCGTTCCCGGTCGGCCGCCGTGATATGACTCGCGGCATAAAACAACAAACAATGAGAGAACAAGGGGACATCACTCTGCCTGTGACTCTTTATTGATATCAGATTGACACATTGTGTTTCTGTCACGTGCTTCTGTACCAGGCAGAACAGCGACCCCTTGTGGTAAGACAGTTAGTCCAAGGGAGGTAGCTACAGGTGGAGACCAAGGAGACCACGCCTCTCACTCTTCTGGAAATGTTGCTGAAATGACAGTAACTATAACAAGAACATTCTGACATAGCATTGATTGATTGGTTGATTGATTGATTGTTTGGATCGTTAGATTGGAGATCGTATCAGTCAGACTGAGGATCGTATCAGTTAGACTGGGGATCGTATCAGTTAGCTTGGGGATCGTATCAGTTAGACAGTGGATCGTATCAGTTAGATTGGTGATCGTATCAGTCAGACTGAGGATCGTATCAGTTAGCCTGGGGATCGTATCAGTCAGACTGAGGATCGTATAATTTAGACAGTGGATCGTATCAGTCAGACCGGGGATCGTGTCAGTTAGGCCGGGGATCGTATCAGTTAGATTGGGGATCGTATCAGTTAGACTGGGGATCGTATCAGTTAGACTGGGGATCGTATCAGTTAGACAGTGGATCGTATCAGTTAGATTGGTGATCGTATCAGTCAGACTGAGGATCGTATCAGTTAGACTGGGGATCGTATCAGTCAGACTGAGGATCGTATAAGTTAGACTGATGATCGTATCAGTTAGATTGGTGATCGTATCAGTCAGACTGAGGATCGTGTCAGTTAGACTGATGATCGTATCAGTTAGATTGGTGATCGTATCAGTCAGACCGGGGATCGTGTCAGTTAGGCCGGGGATCGTATCAGTTAGTATGGGGATCGTATCAGTTAGCCAGTTGATCGTATCAGTCAGACCGGGGATCGTGTCAGTTAGGCCGGGGATCGTATCAGTTAGTATGGGGATCGTATCAGTTAGACTGGGGATCGTATCAGTTAGACAGTGGATCGTATCAGTTTGACAGTGGATCGTATCAGTTAGACTGGGGATCGTATCTGTTAAACCGCTAATCGTATCAGTTAGACAGTGGATCGTTTTAGTTAGACTGTGGATCGTATCAGTTAGACCGGGGATCGTATCAGTTAGAGTGGGGATCGTATCTGTCAGAGTGGGGATCGTATAAGTTAGGCCGGGGATCGTATAAGTTAGACCGGGGATCGTATCAGTTAGAGTGGGGATCGTTTTAGTTAGACTGGGGATCGTATCAGTTAGACCGGGGGTCTTATCTGTTAGATTGGGGATCGTTTTATTTAGACCAGGGATCGTATGAGTTAGAGTGGGGATCGTATCAGTTAAACCGGGGATCGTATCAGTTAGATTTGGGATCGTATCAGTTAGACCGGGGATCGTATCAGTTAGACCGGGGATCGTATTAGTTAGACCCGGTATCGTATCAGTTAGATTTGGAACGTATCAGTTAGACCGGGGATCGTATCAGTTAGATTTGGGATCGTATCAGTTAGACCGGGGATCGTATCACTTAGACCGGGGATCGAATCAGTTAGACCGGGGATCGTATCAGTTAGACTGGGGATCGTATCAGTTAGACCAGAAGAAGTGGTGCACCTGAAAGTACTTTACTTAGTATAACCGAAGTCAACCTATAAGTTATGTATGAAGACAATAGCACGACTTCACAGTCCTCCGGGAGACGACAGGCAGCACTTACCACCTTGGCTTGTTGACATGCCGGCGGTGGGTCGAAGACAGATGAGTTTTTGATGCCAGGAGTGATGTTTTCAAACCCAGTAGCGATCATCGTGGCGGCTAAAAACCAAAGAACATTCAATTAATACCACCCTTGGGTCGAGCGTTGCGTCGCTTCAGCAACAAGATGACCTTACTATGGAATCCTAATAGGGACACTGTCGCCTTGTCGCCCTGACAAAAACATAGCAAAAGGTAACAAAATTAACCAAATGCGAAAATGCGACAACGCGACATTTGGGCCATATTCAGCATTCGGTTCACACATTTTCCCCATATATTATAAATATTTCAGATGCAATTTAAAGCACATCGGGGCGTGCGGAATTATACAGTATGATTAAACACATTTAACTGTGTCTTGGGTACATTTTTAGATGCAAGACATATGTGAATTCAAAAATTATTCCTGAGGGATTCTTTGACGAAGAACTTGAAATCATACGTTCATTCTGATTGGTTTGTCGTATTTTCGCACATAACATTCGTCGATAGGGGGACGAGTCTTCTTGCAGGTTACGGAAAGGGGCGAGTGGTGACGAATGCCATATTTCGATTATTGGTTCTTGACGGTGAGGTGAAATGGGGTTGAACGTCGCATCCAAGATGATTGCACTTATATTGCGACGTGCATGGACGTGTGTGTGTGTGGCTGCTTGTACTAGTCCGGACTGATGCCGATTTATAGTGCTGGTCCACTGAGATACCATGTCACAGCCTAACATGAATACCCTACTCCGACACAATGTACGCTCCGAGCCGACCAGTCTCTTGTTTTAGCCCTTTAATGCTTAATGCCGCATTTTAACTTGGATACCCCTCTCAGACACGGTATACTGACTCCGAGCCGACCAGTCCTTGTTTTAGACCCTCAATGCCGAGCGCCATACAGGGTAACAAGTACCATCTGTTGGTATGACGCGGCCGGGATCGAACCCCGGACCTTCCGCTCTCCGGCCTGACGCTCTACCACAAGACCACGGAGGCGATAGTTGTTCTTGGAAGATCTAGCAATACGTTCAGGGTAACCACATTAATTGTGATAAATGTGTTGTTTTCAGATGATGATACTTCGGGGCTTCAGTTATCCACAGAGCTTTTTACACCTGAATCAAGGGACCTCATACACCTGAATCAAGGGACATCATACACCTGAATCAAGGGACATCATACACCTGAATCAAGGGACATCATGCACCTGAATCAAGGAACATCATACGCCTAAATCAAGGGACATCATACATCTGAATCAAGGGACATCATACACCTGAATCAAGGGACATCATACACCTGAATCAAGGGACATCATACACCTGAATCAAGGGACATCATACACCTGAATCTAGGGACATCATACACCTGAATCAAGGGACATCATACACCTGACTCAAGGGACATCATACACCTGTATCAAGGGACATCATTCACCTGAATCAAGGGACATCATACACCTGAATCAAGGGACATCATGCACCTGAATCAAGGGACATCATACACCTGACTCAAGGGACATCATACACCTGTATCAAGGGACATCATTCACCTGAATCAAGGGACATCATACACCTGAATCAAGGGACATCATACATCTGAATCAAGGGACATCATTCACCTGAATCAAGGGACATCATACACCTGAATCAAGGGACATCATACATCTGAATCAAGGGACATCATACACGTTAATCAAGGGACATCATACACCTGACTCAAGGGACATCATACACCTGAATCAAGGGACATCATGCACCTGAATCAAGGGACATCATACATCTGAATCAAGGGACATCATACCCCTGAATCAAGGGACATCATACACCTGACTCAAGGGACATCATACACCTGTATCAAGGGACATCATTCACCTGAATCAAGGGACATCATACACCTGAATCAAGGGACATCATACCCCTGAATCAAGGGACATCATACACCTGACTCAAGGGACATCATACACCTGTATCAAGGGACATCATTCACCTGAATCAAGGGACATCATACACCTGAATCAAGGGACATCATACACCTGAATCAAGGGACATCATACACCTGTATCAAGGGACATCATACACCTAAATCAAGGGACATCATACACCTGAATCAAGGGACATCATACACCTGAATCAAGGGACATCATACACCTAAATCAAGGGACATCATACACCTGAATCAAGGGACATCATACACCTGAATCAAGGGACATCATACACGTTAATCAAGGGACATCATACACCTGAATCAAGGGACACCATACACCTGAATCAAGGGACATCATACACCTGAATCAAGGGACTTCATACACCTGAATCAAGGGACATCATACACCTGAATCAAGGGACATCATACACGTTAATCAAGGGACACCGTACACCTGAATCAAGGGACACCATACACCTGAATCAAGGGACATCATACACCTGAATCAAGGGACATCATACACGTTAATCAAGGGACTTCATACACCTGAATCAAGGGACATCATACACCTGAATCAAGGGACATCATACACGTTAATCAAGGGACATCATACACCTGAATCAAGGGACACCATACACCTGAATCAAGGGACATCATACACCTGAATCAAGGGACATCATACACGTTAATCAAGGGACATCATACACCTGAATCAAGGGACATCATGCACCTGAATCAAGGGACATCATACACCTGAATCAAGGGACACCATAAACCTGAATACACGAGGCAACTATTGAGTGAAACACCTTTGACAGTATTAATGATAAAAAATTCGCACTTTGCGTGACGAGACTTCCATGTGTCCTCCTGGTTGTGTCGTTAGCTTGTGTCGTGTCTTCAGTGGCCGATGGTAAATGAAGAAAAATCTTCAGCGCCAAATCAGCAGCTAGTCTTGCATACTCCTTAGGGAGTTGAGAAAGCAATTTTAATGCAAACTTATCTTTTGCCGCGGTAATGCTCGAAAGGGCTTAGGGAATGACACTCTGCGTTTATAAAGGGACAAAAACATATATGGGTGATGGCAATGTGTTCAGTGACGTACTGGGGCCCATGTTGCCGACGGCGACCTCGGTGATGGGGATGCAGCCTGCTGTGGTGAAGGAGACGTAGTATGTCAAGTCGTTCCGATTAAGCATGTACGACGTTGCATTCAGCATGTTGTCACCGGCACCGTAGTAAAAAATTCCGAGCTGTTTTGCATCATCTGTAGGAAACAAAAGTCAGAAGGTTCTGGTTGATAGTATGATGTTAGCGCCAAGGTGATCGTAACTCATAGACTTTAACATAGACTTACGGCTGTTGTAGCGCTAAGGTGATCGTAACTCATATACTTTAACATAGACTTACGACTGTTGTAGCGCTAAGGTGATCGTAACTCATATACTTTAACATAGACTTACGACTGTTGCAGCGCTAAGGTGATCGTAACTCATATACTTTAACACAGACTTACGGCTGTTGTAGTGCTGAGTTGATCGCAACACACGTACATTAACATAGAATTACGGCTGTTGTAGCGCTGAGGTGATCGTAATTCAATACTTTAACATAAAATTACGACTGTTGTAGCTCTACGAGCGCCTTGTTGAACAGGGCCCTGGGAGACAATGCGATCTTAGAGCAACGACAGTGATTAAAAATGAATTCCATTGTCACAATGTCTGTTGCATCTGTAAAAATACAAAGATTGGCGAGTGAGTGAGTGTAATTGTAGGGTTGTATCAATGGAGTTCATATTAATTTGGCTGTAGCCGACATATGTAAGAATTCCAAGTCTTTGTATCATAACATCGCGTCTTTGTATCACCACATCGGATCTTTAATTTGTTTCATCGCAGCAGGTCTTTGTATCACCACATCGGATCTTTAATTTGTATCATCACATCGCGTCTTCGTATCACCAAATCGGATCTTTAATTTGTATCATCACATCGCGTCTTCGTATCACCAAATCGGATCTTTAATTTGTATCATCGCATCGCGTCTTCGTATCACCAAATCGGATCTTTAATTTGTATCATCGCAGCGGGTCTTTGTATCACCAAATCGGATCTTTAATTTGTATCATCGCATCGCGTCTTCGTATCACCAAATCGGATCTTTAATTTGTATCATCGCAGCGGGTCTTTGTATCACCACATCGGATCTTTAATTTGTATCATCACATCGCGTCTTCGTATCACCAAATCGGATCTTTAATTTGTATCATCACATCGCGTCTTCGTATCACCAAATCGGATCTTTAATTTGTATCATCGCATCGCGTCTTCGTATCACCAAATCGGATCTTTAATTTGTATCATCGCAGCGGGTCTTTGTATCATCACATCGGATCTTTAACTTGTATCATCGCAGCGGGTCTTTGTATCATCACACCCTTGTATTTGTATGTATCGTCGAATCGCGTCTTTGAATTTTCGCAAAGCGTCTTCGCCTTCGCAATAAAACACAAAGGTGCTAAAATGGCAGAAATCAACTACAGGAGGACAAAACCTAACACTCTAATGCTCGTCGTAAAAGGCGATTAGATTGGATCGTGTGGTCAGGATCTGCGACACGGCTGAATACACGTCATTGTTTCCCGATGGCGAGGATCGTTGTTCATGTTATCAATCGCGAGTTTGCCTGGTACCAATGGCGTAACTTGAATAGATCGAGTTCGTTCCGGCATTAAACAACATTCACTAAGATCACTAAGATCACTAAGCTCACCTGGGACGCAGGCCTTCTTGAAGGGTTGGTCAAACGGACTCACAGTACAATCGCCCGTCACCTCGTTGTAGTTATAACTCATTTTCTGCAAAAACCATCACCTCGAGATATATGAGTTTGATGACGTCATGTGTGCGTCACATCAGTCAAATGTGACGTCATTTTTTTCACGTCAGTGCACATAAGGCTTCTTTCCACAAAGCGATATTAGAGCTACGGGATAGTCGTAAGTAAATATCAATGCAAGTTTATCGAATTATCGCTATTCAAATTTAACTGCGGCGTAAGGACAGAATGGCGTCACTTTGGAAACGACGTTATAAATGAAGATCAGCGCTTTTGTTTCTAAATGGGAACTAGAAAGGCAGATTAAGACATAATGGCTGATAAAGGAATTATTGCACTCGCATGTGGGTCATACTGATTTTATGAAACTCGTGTGAGAATTCGTGTATCACTCTACAAGAATTCTGACACTCGTTTAGTAAAATCAATTTGACACACATGCTCTGATAATAAGCTCTACATAGAACTTTCAGTCGTCATAGCTCTGAGATCGCTTTGCGGACAAAGTGAGTCACATATGACTGCAGTGACGCCATCAGCTTCTCGGACGAACAAACTGCCGTGTACCGAATATACAGACAAATACAGCAAACTACGGTTATAACGAACTCAAAGGGACCACTAATTTTAGTTCGTTATAACCGTAGTTCGTTATACGCATATATTCAGCAAATGGACGGGACCAAAAAGAGTTCGTTATGTCCGTTAGTTCGCTTTAAGCATGTTCGTTATAAACGTAGTTTACTGTACCCAATAAGAGTAAAATCGTCGAGTGTGGTAACTTTCCAATGTTTGCCCATGCGCATGCTGGCGATTATCAATGCTGATTAATTGGTCTATGGAATACTATAAGGGACATTGTCGCGTTGTCGCATTGTCGCCCTTGCAAAAACAAGCAAAAAGTGTCAAAATTAACCAAAGCGCGAAATTGCGACAATGCGACATTTTGGCCATTTGTTGTATTGTCGCGTTGTCGCATCTTTTTTTATTTTACCAAAGCCCGACAATGCGATAACCCGACATTTTTCGAGGTCAAAATATGTCGCGTTGTCGCATTGTCGCCCCATCAAAAATGTGTAAAAAAGACGTTAAAGTGCGCGACAACGCGACAATGCGACAACGCGACAATGTCCTTTGTAGTATTCCATATCGGTCAGTTGAAGCGAGACGCCGTCCATGGCCACCGCGAAACGGACACATTATGAATGACATGACGCGTGCGAAAAGTCGAAATCCAGTACCAAAAACGAACTTGGAGCTGAAAAGTCGTTTCTTAACAGTCCTTAACATTTACAAGATATTAATTTAGGGCAAATATTAGGCATGTGGGCCACGAGAAACAAGAAACATATTTAATGAGGTGAGGTGAGGTGAAATGGGGTTTAACGTCGCGTCCAGGATTATTGCACTTATATAGCGACGTGCATGCACGTGTGTGTGGGTGTGGCTGCTTGTACTAGTCCGGACTGATGCCGATTTATAGTGCTAGCTCACTGAGATACCATGCCGCAGTTTAACATGAATACCCCACTCAGACACAGTATACTGACTCCGAGCCGACCAGTTCTTGTTTTAGCCTCTTAATGCCGATCGCCAGACAGGGTAACAACAAGTACCATCTTTTAACGTCTTTTGGTATGACGCGGTCGGGGATCGAACCCCGGACCTTCCGCTCTCCGGGCGGACGCTCTACCACTAGACCACGGAGGCGGTCACATATTTAATGATATGATAAAGGATTCTTTTAACTGGTGTTTGAAGAATATCGAAACAGGCCTCTATTTTACTTCGGAATAAAACGATTATTTTTCAGTAATTAAAGTATAGCAGGAGAAACATGAGATTTATCTTTCTAGACGTGCTTACCTTGTTGTAGTCGATGATGGTCTTGTTCCTGGACGTCATGCCGGCAACTATGGTGGTGATGTCAGCAGCTACCTTCATGTCGGTGAAGTCGTAGGACAGTAATGCCGTTGTCTGTTGTAGAAGTCAATCATTAGCATCAGTGACAGAAATAATGTCTGATGCAATTCCTTATTTTGACTTGTGCCATATGTTCCTGTGTGTTTTTTTCAAGTGAATAATTTACTTGCCTTTGCATGTGTTTAGCAGATATTTTTAATGATTATTGAAAGTGTTTTTCGCATGTATTTATTAGAATGTATACCCAGTAATTAATGGATTGGTTGATCAGGAACGCGACGTAAGTCATTATTTACAGTATCAATCATGGCCTAAGTTCGATTTTTTACAGGTGGCCGCCATATACATGTTGATATACATGTATGTTAACGTGATATATTTTGTTGACTGCCGCGCTAAACAAAAACAAACAGATAGCAAAAGCAACTATTTGCAATATGAAAAGGTCTTCCGGTGTTCGAGTCTCGACCACACAAACCAATGATGAATAGCATGAGCAGCGAATCACACCGTCGGAGTACGATGCTACACAATCAGCCACGTGAAGGAGTCTGGCCAACTGGCGCAAGCAACAGGCTCGTTGTTCGGAGACGTATTCATACCCGAACCAACACAGCTGTAAATATTCGATTTCTGGGTCAGACAAACCGGTGATTGATAACAAGAGCAACGTCGGAGTAATTAAATGAGCAAGGTCACGTAATTGACCACCCGATCCTCATATAACCGGTTATGCTTAGGAAAACAGATAATTTACGCAAGAGTGAGCGAGTCGGGTTTAGCCCCGCTTTTAACAGTATTCCAGTTATATCGCGGCGTGTCAGCTTAATGTGGGAGGAAAACCCGAAGAGATGCAGGTCTCAGACGTTTACCACTTCGGTGAAACCCACGAGCACGGGTATGGTGCTGACAAACCTAGAAACATAATCGGGGCGAACCGGGATTCGAACCCACAATCATAGGTTTCTGGCGTGACCAAGGGACGCACCTCTGCACAGCCTTAGACGACTGGGCCACCCGTGCCTCTATTTCTACAAGAAGAGTGAGATGGAGGTTTTATAATTTTATTCGACAATATATCAGCCATATGAACTATGGTTGATTTCAACCCAGGTTTTAGAGAAAGCTCTCACAAGAAAACAAACACTAGGCTACCTCAACGTACATAAATGGAATAATAAATAATTGAGTCGGTACATACTTTACTACATAAAATATAACATTCTCCACTAACTGAAGTACAATGTGTGAAGCCCATTTCTGGTGTCCCCCGCCGTGATATTGCTGGAATATTGCTAAAAGCGGCGTAAAACCATACTCACTCACTCACTCTACTAACTGAATCGCTTTATACTTCAGAGATGCGATTTTCATAAATATTTGATTATGCTTTTACAAGATCAATTAATAATTGATCCGGTATATGCTTCACTATTAAACATTCATAAATATATAAATAAATACCTGAGCTGAGATACTCTTCCCGTTGGTCACAGACCCGAGGGTGCCGCTAGCAACTCCCTCCCATTGGTCGGGGGTGCAGCACTGATCGGCTACAGTCAGGGCAACAAACAGAGCGGAGACAACGAGTTTCAGCATGGCGACAGGTGTGTGATGCTTCGACGGAATGGAGGTCAGTTCCAGGTGTCTTTTATATACATACACCGTGTGTGTGGGCGGCGGTTGTCATTGGGTATGCGTGTGTGCGTGCACTTTAAACATGCTTAGTTTGAGTAACGAGACTTGTGATTGAGTGACAGAGTTGGGTTAATCATGCTTTAAACAGTACATCGAACACATTATGGCAGGCCATACCGTCCGTTATGAGTGGAATGTGCTATTAGTACATAACTCAAAGTGATAGCAAAGTTTACTGTGACGTGCCAAGCTAGTGACGTCACCGCAAACATTATGACGTCATGATATCGATACTGGCCGGTGTGTATGGGATTTTACAAGAGACCATGGCTGGCCAACCAGATAGCTAGATTCTGTTACCAGTGATGACAAAGTTTTAATTCTTTAACTCAATGATCACATATACATATTATATGACAGTGATTGGAAGCATGGCCCATGGGCAAAGTCACGTCTGAGGTACAGGGATCTCATACAGGGGATCTCATACAGGGGATCTCATACAGGGGATCTCATACAGGGGACTTCATACAGGAGATATCATACAGGGGACTTCATACAGGGGATCTCATAAAGGGGATCTCATAAAGGGGATCTCATAAAGGGGATCTCATAAAGGGGATCTCATTACTTCTATCTCATACAGGGGACCTCAAACAGGGGGTCTCATAGAAGGGACCTCAAACAGGGGATCTCAAACAGGAGACCTCCAAGAGGGGATCTCCTACAGGGGATCTCACACAGGTGATCTCATACAGGAGATCTTCAACAGGGGATCTCATACAAAGGACCTAATACAGGGGATCTTATACAAAGGACCTCATACAGGGTATCTCACACAGGGGATCTTCTACAGGAGATCAAGGGATCACACCCACCCCTACCCCAACCTTTACACCCACATGTTACCCCACCCGTACCTCAAAACCGTACCCCCATCCTCATCCCCACTCTCACCCAAACTCCTCCCGCTGCTATCTCACCCGACCCTTGAAGATCCGGGGTAGAATAGGTCTACAGCAACCCATGCTTGACGTTACAGGCGACTATGCTTGTTGTAAGAGGCGACTTACGGGATCGGGTGGTCAGGCTCGCTGACTTGGTTGATGCATGTCATCGTATCCTAATTGCGTGGATCGATGCTCATGGTGTCAATCACTGGATTGTCTGGTCCAGACTCGACTATTTACAAACCGCCGTCAAATAGCTTGAATATTGCTGAGTGCGGCGTTGAACAATAAATAAACAAATAAAAGCTATCTCACCCCCTCCGAATGTGTACATTCATAAATGAAGTCATAAAATCAGCGTGTAAAACCAATGAAGTTATGCTTCCATGTATTGTACCTTCAAAGATCCTGAATCAATCAAATTTATTATCATCGAATGCTTAATTCTTATTGATCCGTCTCAAAATTGTAATTATTGCAGTTTAACCAAGGTTTTCTTCGTATGCGTGCATGTACCCGTGTCAAGTTGCAACATGATGTTAATTCGTTATCACACCTCAGTGTAATCTGACCTGACGCCACCAGCAACCTCTGTCAAGGCTATAGCATTGTATGTAAATATATTCAATCAGCTTTTAATCAAGTGTTCTATTTAATGCTGTCAACGGAGATCGTCCCTGGGAGCTTATAGATTTGTTACCGTGCACGATACTATCAGTCAACAATATTAATAGCTTTGGGTGCAAGTCTAATTGAAAAAAAAAGATAAAATTATTTATACCAAACCCGTATCTAATAATCTAAAAACTGGGGATATTCATTATGGATTTAAGATCAAAATATAAAATATAGTTAGTATGTTTATAACAAATATATTTGAAAATATGTGTGTGTGTGTGTGTGTGTGTGTGTGTGTTGAGTGTGTGTGTTGAGTGTGTTGAGTGTGTGTGTGTGTGTGTGTGTGTGTGTGTGTGTGTGTGTGTGTGTGTGTGTGTGTGTGTGTGTGTGTGTGTGTGTGTGTGTCTGCTTGCACTAGTCAGTACGTATGCTGGTTTTACAGTGCTAGTCCAGTGTAATGTGGGTGCCTCTCTTTCGGCGGCCATCTTGGTTCTGTATTGCTTTGGTCGACATCATATTAAGTCAAGTTTAAAACAACACACATCACTGAACTGACATTTGACACAAGTGCACACCTTAGCCATTGTCATCTCGGCGTCATACCAAAAGACGTTAAAAGATTGTACTTGTTGTTACCCTGTCTGGCGCTCGGCATTAAGGGGCTAAAACAAGAACTGGTCGGCTCGGAGTCAGTGTACTGTGTCTGAGTGGGGTATTCATGTTCAACTGCGGCATGGTATCTCAGTGAGCTAGCACTATAGATCGGCATCAGTCCGGACTAGTACAAGCAGCCACACAAACACACACACGTACATGCACGTCGCTATATAAGTGCAATAATCTTGGACGCGACGTTAAACCCCATTTCAACTCACCTTGTTAACTCAAGGTCATATGAAACAACCAAGACATATGATCATACGTTACCCTCGCGCTAGTACGTACATGACATAACAACCTCATGCCCGGGCATCTGCAGCTGTTCACGGTCTACGGTTCATGATGTGGTTTCAGGTGTCAACGGGCGACTTTGCCTTGACTTTGACTTTGCTCCAACGGAGCTTATAATGCACTTTGCATGTGCAATGATGCAGTGATCAGGGTTAATGCATCGGTTAATGCACCTGTCGTTTCATCAGAGTAATGCTACCTGTAAATGCAGAAACGCTTATATGTTTGAAGATTGGCGCCCGGCTTAATTTTTTAAATGTTAAATTGACAGTTTAATTTGTCACTAATCATGAAGCGTTGATATAACGTCAACGCCAGAGAAGAACCAATCTCAATTATCTGCCGAAACAGATTCCATTGGGCGTATAAGGCAAAATAGAGGTGAGAATTATAGGAATGGATCACTGAACATCACACATTTTGCATAAATTTAAAATGTAATGTTTGTTTGTTGCCTAACGCCGGACAGCAGTGGTCCTGTGGTGATCTGTAAACATACAAGTCACGACCAGACAATCCGGTGGGGAACCTGACAATCCGGTGACATGATAGCGCGTTTACTGATTTTGTTGAAACTAAAACCGATAATTGTTAATTTTGAATTACGTCTGCTGCGTACATGTAGACATATATAAACAATGCTTAGTGTAAGGGACTCACTTTTTTGAAACCTCTGTGTGCAAATGAACATACTTCAACATTTTTATGCACCAATGCACCGTGATGGGTTGGGCACGGGTTAGCAAGTGGTCTAAGATGCTTCCCCTTAGTTGTGTCAGGATACGATGATCCTTGGATTCAATCCTAACCACGTGACCACGGCGGACCCGAAAGTGTAAAAAATGTTTACGATTTTCCCACATTGTAATATAGTGAGTGAGTGAGGTTGATTTAGCTCCGCTTTTAACAGTATTCTAGTTATATCAGCTTTATGTGGGAGGAAAGCCCCAAGTGATGTAGGTCTCAGACGTTTACCACTTCGGTGAAACCCACGAGCACGGGTATGGTGCTGACAAACCTAGAAACATAATAGGGGCGAACCGGGATTCGAACCCGCAATCATAGGTTTCTGACGTACCAAATGGACGCAACTCTGCACAGCGAATCGCGGCGCCTTAGACGAGTGCGCCACCCGTGCACTGTAATAGAAACTGTCGGGACAAAGGAAGGCATACAACCATGTTTGATGGTGGCTAAAAATGAAACAAGTAAATATTGGTTATTCGATGGTGATGTATTTGATACAGGTATCGTTGGTGTGTATTGGACCTAAAGTTTCAGCCTGATAGCTTTTTGATAACGATTGTACTTTCTTGGTCTGATCCAATTTTCAGGTGTAAACTTTCTTTTGTCCGGCAGTTTAGTTGAAATAATTCGATTCTGATCAGTTCTGATCAATCAGGGTTTCAAATCACAATATCCACCTCTGATTCTTATTCCTTTGTCTACGCGTCGGGCTCAAACAAAATTTAACTTTATAACATCTTCAGGTTACAAAACTCTACCAGGGCTGCTCAAACAGTTCTAAGCCAAACAAACAAAACCAACAATTGTGAAAGTGTTTTTAATTTTATTTTTTAACATATTCTCCAAGCTTTTCAATACACTTTTTATATTGATAGTGAAGCTTTTCAATTCAAGTCAGGGAGAAGTTTTCTGAAGCCACCCTGAAAAACCCATTCACGGCAGCTTAGAGGTCATCGTTGTCGTCATAATGCTATCCACGAAGGTGTTCTTTCAGTTAGGAAACAGGTGGAAATCACTTGGAGCCAGGTCAGGCGAGTATGGAGGGTGAGGAGGCTCTTCGAACCCACGTTGTCGGACAGCAGCTTTTGCATGTCGAGAAGTGCGAGAAGAGGCATTGTCACGAAGTAGTAGAATTCCAGCAGCCAGCATTCCTCGACGCTTTTTTTTTGCAACACAGAATAGAATACAGTGGCCATAACTTTCTTCACTGATCTTGAAGGCTTAAAATTTCTTTGGTGCCGGAGAAGTGGAATGGTGTCATTCCATGGATTGACGTTTTTACCCGGGATCATAGTGGCAGACCAATGTTTCATCATCCGTTACTAATCTCTTTTTGAATTTGACGAAATACTCTTATATTAGCTCTAAATTGTTTCGAGCAATATCAGTTCTTTTTTCCCTAAGATCAGAATTTAGAAACTTTGGCAGAGATCTTATGCATCTGTAAATGTTCATGAATAAAAGTTTCCATGGAACCATGTCTAGGACCTGTGTCTTCCTCAAGTTCATCACTGTTAATACGTCTATCTGACAGTTAAAGTTTTTCTAACTCTTCAATTGAAATTCATTGATGGAAGTTGAGGGACGTACAGACCTAGGGTCATCATCAAGGCTTGTTCTCCCAGCCTTAAACATAGCTGCCCAACGTTTAACAGTGGAATAGCTAGGGCACTTATCCCCATACACTTGTGACATGCGGTCAAGAATTTCATTATGACTTCTCGGTACTCGTTCTTTTCTATTTCTGTGTCCATTTGAACCAACCCCTATCACGTTTTACTGGATGTCACTAATATACAAACGACCCCAACAGACTTGCATCGAACTACTCAAGCAATGTACTACATTGGCTAGTTCACTTTGTTATGGCCCATAGTTTGAAATTAGTCAGGCTTTGAATTTTTTTTATCAGCCCTCATACATTGTAAACACATTATATCTTGTCTCCTAAACCACGCAGTTACCCCTTTACCAAACCCCAATTTATGAATATAGTTTTATTTACGTGGAACCATTTACACTCCTTGACCGACTATGTTGGACGATTTCAACATCCACTATCCGCTTAGTGGTTAATCCGATCAGAAGACCTCGCTCTTGAGGGTTTACTCACTGTGAGCTAAACTCACATCGGTTTAGCGTGTGGACTCACACACACTTGAGCTTTATTTCAGCTGATTCAGCAAATTTTTATATTCTGGAGGGTGGCGGGGGAGGGATAGGAGTGGTGGAGGGGGTTAGGCTTCAGGGTTTGGTGTTAGGTGTGTGTTTTGGTGGGGGTGGGGGAAGGGGTTTGGAGTGGTGATGGGGCTTTTGGGTTTGGTCGCAGGGTGGATGTGGTATGTGCATTCGGGTGGCTGCATATTTCTTCAGTGTTTGGTCGAGACGGAATATAAATTTATTTTCTGTCATTGCTTGATGTCATACGATCAACAACATATCATTGAACAGCTTTATGACGCTGATCTCATATAACAAGGGGGTACAGGTGGCCCACTCGTCTAAGGCGCCGCGATTCGCTGTGCAGAGTTGCGTCCTTTGGGTACGTCAGAAACCTATGATTGTGGGTTCGAACCTGGTTCGCCCCGATTATGTTTCTAGGCTTGTCAGCACCGAGCCCGTGGGTTTCACCGAAGTGGTATACGTCTAAACCCAACTCACGCACTCTCTCATGACAAGCATGGCTTGCTGCATGAAGACGTCTTGGTTGACAGCGTGTAATAGTACCCGGTCGGTGTTGGAGGCGCAAACTCAACCCCTGGCGCGAATCAGTGAGTGAGTATGGTTTTACGCCGCTTTTAGCAATATTCCAGCAATATCACGGCGGGGGACACCAGAAATGGGCTTCACACAATGTACCCATGTCGGGAATCGAACCCGGGTCTTCGGCGTGACGAGCTAACGCCTGAACCACTAGGCTACCCGACCGTCTCCTGGCTCGAATCACTTTTGGGTGACTTGGGTCAAGGCTCAGATCGCCCCTCACTCGTAGGCGCACTCACTCCTAAGACTCACTAAGTTTATGAGAAGATTGGGCCAACGTCTGATAGTGTTTATTCATAATACTGACCATAGGCTTTAGTGCGAGTTTTATTGTTATGGGTGTATATACAGTATTTTGTTGTAAGGTAACATATTAGGACGTCTTAGGTTCATAATATGTCACATGTACATTGACATTTTTTTGTCCGTTACAGCATTGTTACATGATATAAACGAGTGAGTGAGTATGGTTTTACGCCGCTTTTAGCAATATTCCAGCAATATCACGGCGGGGGACACCAGAAATGGGCTTCACACATTGTACCCATGTCGGGATTCGAACCCGGGTCTTCGGCGTGACGAGCGAACGCTTTAACTACTAGGCTACCCGACCGCCCCTTGATATAAACGAAACAAATTTCTGTAAACTTGTATGACGGAATATTTATGTAATATTTATCAATGAACTGTTTTCTGAGTTCAGCATACAGCGGACAAAGTAGTAAGAAATGGTATCCACTTTCTACAGCGTTTACATTACAAAACTGACAAATCCTGTGTTCTCCTCAGATCCCCATATGTCTTCCCGTCTCGATAAAGTTGGTTGGTTTGTGGTTTCACGCCGCACTCAGCAATATTCCAGCTATATGACGGCGGTCTGTAAATAAACGAGTCTGGACTAGACAATCCAGTGATTAATATCATGAGCATCGATCTACGCAATTGGGATACGATGACATGCATCAGCCAAGTCAGCGATTTGAGCTGGCTACGCCGGCCGCCGTGATGTGACTATGTCTACCCGTCGCTACCACAACAAACAGTACAAGAACGAGGCGACATCATTCTGCCTGTGACTCTTTATTAATCTCAGATTGACACAGTGTTTCTGTCACGTTACTCTGTACCAGGCAGAACAGCGGCCCCTCGTGGTGAGACAGTTAGTCCAAGGGAGGTAACTACAGGTGGAGACCAAGCAGACCACGCCTCTCACTCTTCTGGCCATGTTGCTGAAATGACAATACATAGATAACAGATAAATTCTGACAGAGCACTGATGTGTAGAATTAACAAAGGACTGAGGGGGTGGTCACGGCGTTAATGAAAATAATAACGTTCCAACTGTGTCAGGGGGCGGTCGGGTAGCCTAGTGGTTAAAGCGTTCGCTCGTCACGCAGAAGACCCGGGTTCGATTCTCGACATGGGTACAATGTGTGAAGCCCATTTCTGGTGTCCCCCGCCGTGATATTGCTGGAATATTGCTAAAAGCGGCGTAAAACCATACTCACTCACTCACTCAACTGTGTCAGCTACGCTATCTGCATGACCTCTCCAACCTGTCTGGTATTCGGGTTGGAACAACCCACAACACCCTATTCCTTGTCGTAACAGACGCCCCCCCCCCCCCCCCCCCTCCGTAGTCTAGTGGTAGAGCGTCCCCCCGGAAAGCGGAAGGTCCGGGGCTTGATCCCCGGCCGCGTCAAACCAAAAGACGTTAAAAAGGTGGTACTTGTTGTCACCCTGTCTGGCGTTCGACATTAAGGGGCTAAAACAAGAACTGGTCGGCTCGGAGTCAGTATACTGTGTCTGAGTGGAGTATTCATGTTAAACTGCGGCATGGTATCTCAGTGAGCTAGCACTATAAATCGGCATCAGTCCGGACTAGTACAAGCAGCCACACAAACTACTGTGTCTGAGAGACCAAAAAAGACAGCACTTACCATCTTGGCTTGTTGACAGGCCTCTGGTGGGTCGAAGACAGATGGGTCTTTGATGCCAGGAGTAATGTTTACAAACCCAGTATCGCTCATAATGGCAGCTGAAACAGAGAGAAGGAACATTTTTTGTCTTTTTTTGTCTTTGTTTGTTGTTTAACGCCGCACCCCTTAATGTGGGAGGAAAGCCCCAAGTGATGTAGGTCTCAGACGTTTACCACTTTGGTGAAACCCACGAGCACGGGTATGGTGCTGACAAACCTCGAAACATAATTGGGGCGAACCGGAATTCGAACCCACAATCATAGGTTTCTGGCGCGCCCAAGGGACGCATCTCTGCACAGCGAATCGCGGCGCCTTAGACGACCGGGTAACCCGTGCCCCCAGATTTGGATGAGCATTTCGGACTGAGTGAAACTCCCTTTACTATATGAATAACAAACGCGCGTCATTGCGCAACATGAGGCTCTCGTTTCCTTCTTGTTTTGACGTTAACTTGTGCCGTGTCTTCAGTGACTGATGGTAAATGAAGGAAAATCTACGCCAAACCGACAGCTCGTCTTGCATTCTCTGGGGAGCTGAGAATGCAGTTTTAATGCAAACTGATCAGTGACCAGGGTAATACTGGCATGACCCTCTGTTGTACGCACTACTGCGTTTATAAAGCGACAAAAAACATATATGGGTGATAGCAATGTGTTCAGTGACGTACTTTGGCCCATGTCGCCGTAGACGACCTCGGCGATGGGGATGCAGTCTGTCGCGGTGAAGGAGACAATGGCTGTGAAGGGGTCCTGCTTAATCATGTACGACGCTGCATTCAGCACGTTGTCACCGGCACCGTAGTAATAATTACCGAGCTGCTTTGCATCATCTGTAGGAAACAAAAGTCAGAAGGTTCTGGTTGATATCATTACAATGTGAGTCAAAGGTAACTCACACTGTGATCATGAGTATTGTGCACAGGTAAGGCAAAAGTGATGGTAGCTCACATATTTTGACATAGAATTACGACAGTCGTAGCGCTAAGGTGGTCGTAACTCACATACTTTAACATAGACTTACGACAGGCGTAGCGATAAGGTGATCGTAAATCACATACTTTAACATAGACTTACGACTGTCGTAGCCAAGGTGTCGGAGCATCGATCCACGAAATTGGGATATGATGATATGTATCAACCAAGTCAGCGAGCCTGACCACCCGATCCCGTTAGTCGCCTCTTAACACAAGCATGGGTTACTGAAGACCTATTCTAACCAGGATCTTCACGGGTCTCCTTATGTTTGCCCGGTACTGGAAGACTGAAAGGCCGCCCTGATGGTGTTCGCTGCGACATTAAACAACATTCACTCCATCACTAAGATAACTAAGATCACCTGGGATACAGGCCTTCTTGAAGGGTTGGTCAACTGGAGTCACCGCACAATCTCCCGTCATCTCGTTGAAGTTATACATCAGTTTCTGCAAAAGTCATCACATGGATTATCAGCTTTGATGACGTCATGTGTGCATCGCTGCAGTCAAATGTGACGTCATTTTCACGCGCCTCTATGCACGCAGTGCCTCTTTCAACAAAGCAATACAATGTTTTTTTAGTATTTTAGCACTCAGCAATATTCCAGCTATATGACGGCGGTCTGTAAATAATCGAGTCTGGACCAGACAATCCAGTGATTGACAACATGAGCATCGCCTTTTACGACAAGCATAGTCGCCTTTTATGGCAAGAATGGGTTGCTGAAGACCTATTCTACCCCGGATCTTCACGGGTCCGATGCAGTGGGGTTGTCGTAAGTCTGTATAAGAGTTTATTACCCATAGGGTTAGTGATAACCGAATTCATAAAAATTGGAATGCTATTGTGACGTAAGGATAAAATGACGTCACTTTGTAAACGACGTCATAGCGGAAGATTGACGTCATTCCACAATTGTGATTCTAAGACTGCGGTCGTGTTCAGAGATTCTTTTCTAAAGGGTAGCTCATTAGTATTAAGAAATAATAGACGCAGTTGGTCATACTGATTTTACGAAACTCCTGTGAGAATTCATGTGTAACTCTCGCTCAGGGTTAAAATAATTCTGACAATCGTTTCATGAAATCAGTATCACACACATACTGGTTTGATTATCTCCATATAGAACCTACAGTCGTCTCAGCTCTGAGATCTCTTTGCGGACAAAGTGACGTCACATATGACTGCAGTGACGCCATCAGCTTCTCGGACGAACAAACTGCCGTGTACCGAATATACAGACAAAAACCAATAGGAGTAAATCAATCGAGTGTATAACTTTCCAATATTTGCCCCTGCGATTATTGACGCAGTTTTGACATGAATATCCCACTCAGATACAGTATACTGCTTCCGAGCCGACGACTCCTCGTGTTAGCGCCAGGCAGGGAAACAACAAGTATAATCTTTTAACGACTTTTTGCATGACGCGGACGGGGATCGAACCCGACCTTCCCCTCTCCGGGCAGACGAGGCAACAAACACGGGATTTGTTTGTTTGTTTGTTTGTTGTTTAACGCCGCACTCAGCAAATTCCAGCTACATGACGGCGGTCTGTAAATAATTGAGTCTGGACCACAAATCCTGTGATTCACAACATGAGCATCGATCCACGTAATTGGGATCGATGACATGCATCGAACAAGTAAGCGAGCCTGACAACCCGATCCCGTTAGTCGCCTCTTACGACAAGCATAGTCGCCTTTTACGGCAAGCATGGGTTGCTGAAGACCTATTCTACCCCAGATCATCACGGGTACAAACACGGGACATTTCAATGTAGTAGAGTATAGAGTTCCACACGTGGAATTCATCTTTCTGGACATACTTACCTTGTTGTAGTCGATGATGGTCATGTTCTTCAACGTCATGCCGTCAACCATGGTGATGGTGGTAGCAGCCAGCATCATGTCGGTGAAGTCGTAGGACAGTGTGGTCGTTGTCTGTAGTAGAAGTCAATGATTATTTTTATTAGAGAAAAGTCCATCAGTGGTATCGGTGACATAAATAATGTCTGACGCAATTTTGACTTGGGGAAAAAAATAAAATAAAATTAAAAAAAATAATTTTTTTTTAATTAGGCAATTTGTTCCCGCGTTGTTGTTGTTGTTTTTTCAAGTGAACAATTGACTTGAACACCTGTTATAGTAGCTATTTGAAAGTGGTTGGTTGGTTTGTTGGTTGGTTTGTTGTTTAACGCCGCACTCAGCAATATTCCAGCTATATGACGGCGGTCTGTAAATAATCGAGTCTGGACCAGACAATCCAGTGAAGGCCGATAAAGAATGAAACAGCAAGTGTGCAGGCTCGCTCGCCTGTTGGTTTTTTTCCGCTCGCCTTGGTTCCACAAATTTCATGTTTTCGGGTTTCATTTCTAACTCGCATTCTTTTTAACTGTGTCTTCCCGTTCTCTTGGGAACTAATGTTTGAATCTGGCGGTAACTGACCATGTCATTTGACACATCCGCATTTGACACATTTGTTCCGATTCGTTTCAGTCTGACTGTTGCAGTTCTTCTAGGCTCTTCCCTTGATTGACTGAGGTTTTTTTTATCCTACTCTCCGTTGATTTGCTACTGACTTTATATGCATAAATTAAACGATCACGTGATTCATGTTACGCCACAGTATGTATTCCTACGCCTGGAATGATTATCAATCTCGTCATTTTTGTCTGCTTTGATATAAGCGACTGTTTAGGTAAACTATTGTAGACATGTTTTCGTTGTTGAATATAATTATAAGGATTGACGCTGATTCATACAGTTTGCACTTCGGTTTTCATACCTCAATGAACCGAAAATCTACAGTCAATCCTGTGTTGGGCCGGTATTTACTTCACTATTACCGCGTTCATAAAAAAATGAGCAGAGATTAAAACTGCCGAGCAAATGCAAGTATATGACTTGCGAATTGGATTTCACCATCAAATTACAAACGTTATCAAAACATTACTTGGCTGTGAGAACAGTCGCCGAAACACTGCAATGTTAATATTCAAAACACAACCTACCCTTATCAAATACATCACCATTGAATAACCATTTCGTGTTTCTTTCATTTTAAACCATCATCAAACATGGGTGTTACTTTCTTTTGCCCGGTTGTTAAACTTCAGAATAAATAAAGGGCGGTCGGGTAGCCTAGTGGTTAAAGCGTTCGCTCGTCACGCCGAAAACCCGGGTTCGATTCCCGACATGGGTACAATGTGTGAAGCCCATTGCTGGTGTCCCCGCCGTGATATTGCTGGAATATTGCTAAAAGCGGCGTAAAACCATACTCACTCACTCACTAAGAATAAATACCTGAGCCGAGGTACTCTTTCCGTTGGTCACAGTCCCGACGATGCTGCCAGCAATCCCCTCCCATTGATCGGGGGTGCAGCACTGATCGGCTACAGCCAGGGCAACAAAAAGGGCAGAGACAACGAGTTTCAGCATGGCGACAGGTGTGTGATGCTTCGACGGAATGGAGGTCAGCTCCAGATGTCTTATATATACATGCACCCGTGTGTTGGGGGGCGGTTGTCATTGGCTGGTTGGCTGACTAGTGTAACCAGAGACATATGTTTGTGTGTGTGTGAGTGTACATTAAGCGTGCTCAACTGCTGTAACCCGAGATGTGTTTATGTTATTGAGTTTGGTCTAACCGTATTTTAATCCTGTTTGAACAGAACTTCGGCCAGCTGATGCTACTTGAAGCAATAAACGCCAGACAATGACAGACACAGTCAGTCAACAGTAAAATGTGCGTTCGACAGTGCTCGCGTTCGATTCTAAACCCTTGACGAGCCTGGTGAACGCGGGATGGCCAAAGAATGATCGAATATAAAAAGTCAAGGTCAGAGAATAACCTGTCGCAATTATCTGCCAAAAACAGATTCCACTTGGCGTAAATGATTTGTTTGTTTGTTGTTTAACGCCGCACTCAGCAATATTCCACCTATATGACGGCGGTCTGTAAATAATCGCGTCTGGACCAGACTATCCAGTGATTGATATCATGAGCATCGATCCATGCAATTGGGATCGATGACATGCTTCAACCAAGTCAGCGAGCCTGACCATCCGATCCCGTTAGTCGCCTTTTACGACAAGCATAGTCGCCTTTTACGGCAAGCATAGTCGCCTTTAACGGCAAGCGTAATTTAAAAAACAAAATATAAGCGAAAAGCACATGAAGGGATCACTGACAATCTGTAATGACACCAGGTGTTCGCGAAAAGTGGTTAGCATGTCCTGCCCTGCGGGTAGCACCCGACACTCACACAATTTGCATAAAAAAGTAATGTGTTCCTGCCATACGAAGGCGGCCTGTTAACAAGCCTTGACCAGACAATGCAGTGATGAACCAGACAATCCAATGACACGCCACTGCCATACGAAGGCGGCCTGTTAACAAGCCTTGACCAGACAATCCAGTGATGAACCAGACAATCCAATGACACGTTCGTGCCATACGAAGGCGGCCTGCAAACAACAAGCCGTGACCAGACAATCCAATGACACGTTCGTGCCATACGAAGGCGGCCTGTTAACAAACCGTGACGAGACAATCCAGTGATGAACCAGACAATCCGATGACACGCTCGTGCCAAACGAAGGCGGCCTGTAAACAACAAGCCGTGACCAGACAATCCAGTGATGAACCAGACAATCCGAAGACACGCCACTGCCATACGAAGGCGGCTTGTAAACAACAAGCCTTGACTAGACAATGCAGTGATGAACCAGACAATCCAGTGAAACGATCCGGTATGCACGTTTACTGATTATGTTGAAACTGAAACCTTTCAAAATGTTCATTTTGAGTTACGTCTGCTGCTGCAAGTACAGAGAGATATAAAGCGATTCTGACTGTAAGGGATGCACTGTTACAGTAAACTACGTTTATAACGAACACGCTTATAACGAACTTACTTTTTTGTCCCCAAGATTTGCTGTAGTTATGCTGTATATATGCTTATAACGAACTACGGTTATAACGAAGTAAAATTAGTGGTCCCTTTGAGTTCGTTATAACCGTAGTGCCCTGTATTTGAAACCTCTAATCGTCTACAAGTGAACAATCTTCCATATTTTAATGCAACCAATGTGCTATTATGGGTTGGACACGGGGTAGCAATTGGTCTCAGATGCTTCAGATGCTTCAGATTTTGATCCTTTGTTTGTCAGCACCATAACCAGGTGATCACGGGGACCTGAAAGTGAAATAACCTGCACGACCTCTCAACATTAAACTGGAACAGTGTAATACAAACTGGCGGGCAAAAGTATACACTTGAAAATTGGATTTGACCAAAACATAACAAACGATGTCAAAACTTTAAAAGACTGAAAACAGTCGCCGAAACACTGCAGACTTAAGGTCCAAAACACAACTATGATACACGTATCAAATATACTACTCAAAAGAAGTTAAGGATCACCCAATTCTTTCATATTGGTAATGTTAATCTGTCATGGCATGAGTGATTAACTATTGTAATATGAAAGAATCAGGTGATCCTTAACTTCTTTTGAGTAGTATACATCACCATCGAGACCCCTTTGGGTAAAAGAAGATAGTTTTCAAACAATGGTATTTCTTTGAGATATTTATAGTAGATCCTTTGGAGCTGATAGTTATAGAGTTATAGTTATCTGTCATTACTCTGTCTACTGTTGAGGCTAGCCACTTTGTATCAGTCAACAAGTGTGTTCAATACTTCGCTGAGTCCAAGTGAAGATTCCGGGGTAGAATAGGTCTTCAGCAACCCATGCTTGCCGTTACAGGCGACTATGCTTGTCGTAAAAGGCGACTAACTGGATCGGGTGGTCAGTCTCGATGACTTGGTTGATACATGTCATCGATCCCAATTGCGTGGATCGATGCTCATGATGTCAATCACTGGATTGTCTGGACAAGACTATTTTACAGACCGCCGTCATATAGCTTGAATATTGCTGAGTGCGACGTTAAACAACAAAGAAACAAACAAACAAAACTTCGCTGAGTCCACCCGAGTTAAGTAAACTACAGAGGTGAACCAGTTACACCGGAAAGTGCTAATATTGGCGACCATTTTATTAAAATTACCAACTCCTTTTGTTAAATTAATTTTATTCGTTACAGTTACATATATTTCAATTGACGCATACCCTTTACACCCGGGTACACTCCTTGACCTGTTTCGGACGATTTCGACATCCATTATCCGCTTAGTGGTTAAACCGATCAGAAGGCCTCGCTCATAAGTGTTTACCTCACTCCGTATCGTCACATCGGTTTAGCATGTGGACTCACACACACGTGAGCTTAATTTTAGCTGATTCAGCAACATTTATGTTCTGGGGGGTGGCGGGGGAGGGTATTGTATTGAGGGTGGGAGAGGGGGGGTGGGGTTAGTAGGATGTGTTTCACGAGACGGAATATTTTTTCTGCCATTGCTTCATGAAATACAATTCATTTTCTGGAAAAGTTGGATGGATTCCATTTCGTTTTGACAAACAACATATTATTGAACTGCTTATTTTATTAAACCTGCGGCAAATTATTGTTCAATGTTACCTGGAACTATGGTGGGGGTAGGGGTGGGGGGTTAGTAGGGTGTGTTTCACGAGACGGAATATTTTTTCTGCCATTGCTTCATGAAATACAATTCATTTTCTGGAAAAGTTGGATGGATTCCATTTCGTTTTGACAAACAAGATATTATTGAACTGCTTATTTTATTAAACCTGCGGGGGGAACGGGTGGCCCAGTCGTCTAAGGCGCCGCGATTCGTTGTGCAGAGTTGCGTCCCTTGGGCACGCCAGAAACCTATGATTGTGGGTTCGAATCCCGGTTCGCCCCGATTATGTTTCTAGGTTTGTCAGCACCATACCCGTGCTCGTGGGTTTCACCGAAGTGGTAAACGTCTGAGACCTGCATCACTTCGGGCTTTCCTCCCACATTAAGCTGACACGCCGTGATATAACTTGAATACTGTTAAAAGCGGCGTTAAACCCAACTCACTCACTCACTATTAAACCTGCGGCAAATAATTGTTCAATGTTTCCTAGAACTAATTATATATTTAAAAAAAAAGCTACCCCTCACCCAAACATCAAATAATCAGTCACTTCGGGATGAACGTTGTGTGCTAGCATGTGAGATGTACACCAGAAATGGGCTTCACACATTGTACCCATGTCGGGAATCGAACCCGGGTCTTCCTGCGTGACGAGCGAACGCTATAACCACCCGACCTTTAGCTTAACATCCTGGCCTTTAATCATCCGCACAGAAGAAGTCCTAATACCGACCCGTGAAGACCCGGGGTAGAATAGGTCTTCAGCAACCCAGGCTTGCTGTAGTAGGCGACTATGCTTGTCCTAAAAAGCGACTAACGGGATCGGGTGGTCAGGCTCGCTGACTTGGTTGATGCATGTCATCGTATCCCAATTGCGTGGGTCGATGCTTATGATATCAATCACTGGATTGTCTGGTCCAGACTCGATTACTTACAAACCGCCGTCATTTAGCTGGAATATTGCGGCGTTAAACAACAAACAAGCAAACAAGCAGTCCTAATACCACACCACGTGAAGGTCAACATGGAGGTGCATATTTTATAGTTACACAAACTTAACGCGGACAGAAATTTTATAAATAACGTGCGGATTAAGGGACCGGCAATTTGATAATCTCGCGGGCCCTGGGTTTCCAGCTATAATGTGCAAAACCAGAAATATTTTCCCCTTAAGCTTTGACCCTCAATAACAAACATTAACAAGCATCTTGCAACAATGTATTTTCTGTGGCAGACAATTGTTTTTCAACTGTTAAAGCATAATAATTTTCTTCAGGCAATCTAGGGGGCAAATGTTTTACGAAGAAAACTCCAGGTTCGCCCCGATTATGTTTCTAGGTTTGTCAGCACCATACCCATGCTCGTGGGTTTCACCGAGTGGTAAACGTCTGAGACCTGCATCACTTCGGGCTTTCCAACAACATGAAGCTGACACTCCGTGATATAACTGGAGTACTGTTCAATGCGGCGTTAAACCCAACTCACTCACTCACTTCAATTAATACGACGTAACATCCAACTCACTCACTCAATCCAATTACACTCAGTCTGATACAATTAACCAGTTGTTCAGGTGGCGCTATTACTATGTCTAGTATTGTACCCTGTTAAGAAACACCTACAAACGAGCAACACAACATTATGTCCCCAGAGGTAAACGTGGTTATTCAGTGTGTGTGTGTGTGTGTGTGTGTGTGTGTGTGTGTGTATTCGTTGCTGTCTAAAGATATTGAAATATTTTTCCTTTCAAGTTGTGACTCCTTTACAGAGAATAACGTTTTATTTACTTTTTTACAGAAGTGAATTAATACCTTCCGACCTGGACAGTCTGTTGGAAAACAGCAACCCAAGATAGGTATAATATGTGATGTTCTTTTATTTATATCTCCAAACAAGTGAAGATCCGGGGCAGATAAGGTCTTCAGCAACCCATGCTTGCCGACTATGCTTGTCGTAAGAGGCGACTAACGGGATCGGGCGGTCAGGCTCGCTGACTTGGTTGATGCATGTCATCGTGTCCCAATTGCGTGGATCGATGCTCATGATGTCAATCACTGGACTGTCTGGTTCAGACTCATTATTTTACAGACCGCCGTCATACAGCTGAGTGCGGCGTTAAACAACAAACAAACAAACAAACATTACTTCTGAGTATAACACTTCTTTTAGTATAATTGCTCAAAGTGAGAGCATGCACAGCTGACGTGTCAAGTGTGTGACGTCACCGCGAACGTCATCATATCCATACAGACCGACAGCCACAGACATGAATGTTTTTCAAAGAGACGATCACTGGCCGACTCAAGCTAGATTCTTTAACTTTAGATTCTATGAACTCAATGTTCACACATACAATACAAGAGTGTTTGTTATTTGTTTAATGTTTCGTGTGCACGGGATGGGACAACGATCTAGAGATAGTGTACGCCGGTGAGTTCCGTCCCCCGGCGGGTTGACTTGGTGTAGTATTGCATGACGGTATTGATCCAGTCCCGGAAGTACGGCACATTCGTGTAGACGCCCGGGGTGTATGCGTCTGCGCAGTTGTAGCCCCACGACACTATTCCGGCTACTTCCCAGAGACCGTTCCTCTTGCAAACCATCGGCCCGCCGGAGTCCCCCTAGACTCATCAAACACGAGATCAGCATAATAGTGAAAGTGATGACGACAATAATAATTTATAATAATAATGATAATAAAAAATGACAATATAATAATATTTAAACTAATACCGCTGCTGCTACTACTAGTAGCAGTACTACAAATTATCATACTACTACCACCACAACCGCCGTCATATAGCTGGAATATTGCTGAGTGTGGCGTTAAACAACAAACCACCAGTAATAATAATAATAATAATAATAATATTAATTTAGAAATATTCCAGCAATATCACATCGGGGGACACCAGAAAATAATCATAATGATGATATTGATGGTGACAATATACCAGTAATAATACGTGTATGTGTCGTAAATAAATAATCTATTTCAGTTGTAAACAAACCGCATTAAATAAATTAAAATACCACTTAAGGCGAATTATGTGTCCCGATAGAATTAACACAAAATGGTCATCTAAACCTTTAAAGCCATGATTGTATCACAGCTAGTACTGTTAGCACAGTCAAAACTCTCGACCCGTGAAGATTCCGGAGTAGAATAGGTCTTCAGCAACCCATGCTTGCCGTAAAAGGTGACTATGCTTGTCGTAAAAGGCGACTAACAGGATCGGGTGGTAAGGCTCGCTGGTTGATGCATGTCATCGATCCCAATTTCGTGGATCGATGCTCATGATATTAATCACTGGATTGTCTGGTCCAGACTCGATAATTTACACACCGCCGTCATATAGCTGGAATATTGCTGAGTGCGGCGTTAAACAACAAACGAACCAACCAAATCTTCAAAGTCTCACCCGGTATCCATGTTAGACAAACGGAAATTGGATTGGACGGATGTTTTGAGTGTCATGCCATTCGAATCGAGCACAGAACGAAGTTATGATGGCGAATGGGTCCAGGGTATATATGGAGATTTTTGGAGATATAGTAGCCTGGATAATCGAGGATAGTTACCTGGCAGGTGTCCTGTCCCCCGCGTTTGTTGCCGGCGCACAGCTCGGAGGCGGGGATTGTCCGGTCCATCAGATAGGAGCAGATGTCATTCTTCACCAGAGGAAGGTCCACCTTGAACAAGCGCCGGGTGCCGTACCCGTCTGGGGTGGAAGCGTTAATACAGGCAATATCAACATACCCGTCTGGGGTGGAAGCGTTAATACAGGCAATATCAACATACCCGTCTGGGGTGGAAGCGTTAATACAGGCAATATCAACATACCCGTCTGGGGTGGAAGCGTTAATACAGGCAATATCAACATACCCGTCTGGGATGGAAGCGTTAATACAGGCAATATCAACATACCCGGAACAGAAATGTTATCAAACCCCACCAGGACAAAATTGTTTGATTGTTTGTTGTTAAACGCCGCGCTCAGCAATATTCCAGCTATCTGTAATTAATCGAGTCTGGACCAGACAATCCAGTGATTGACATCGTCAGCATCGATCCACGCAATTGGGATGCGATGACATGCATGAACCAAGACAGTGAGTCTGACCACCCGATCCCGTTAGTGGCCTCTTGCGACAACCATAGTCGCCTTTTACGGCAAGCATGGGTTGCTGAAGACCTATTCTACCCCGGATCTTCACCCGTACCCCTTCCTGTACGAGATAAACGTACCTGTATGCGTAGCGCCCCACCCCGTAGCCGTGCAATACATGCCGTCAAATGTCTCATTCTTTGACGGCAGACACACCGGGCGTATATATTTAGTGTAAGCCTCGGTCTGGGTCGCTATTTTCAACATGGCGATGTCGTTCGTGTTGGTGGTGGTGTTGAAGCCGCTGTGGACGATGAGAGTTTCTAACTTGACGATCTTCTCATGGCCGTCCACCACAGCTCGATCATACTCGCCTAGTATGGCGTTCCACGCGAACGGGTTCTTGTCGCTGTGGAAAATCAGTCAAGATCTACTTTCTTTGATAAATTATTCATTCTTGACTTTTAAGAAATCTTAAATTTTTTGGAACAATGCGAGATTTGTATTTTAGAAAACGCCAACAACAATCCTGTTTCCGAGCGCCAGACAGGGTAACAACAAGTACAATCTTTAACGTCTTTTTGTATGACGCGGCCGGGGATCGAACCCCGGACCTTCCGCTCTCTGGGCGGACGCTCTACCACAAGACCACGGAGGCAGTGTGTTGTGGGAGGCAAGCCTGAAGTGATGCAGGTTTTAGACCTTTACAACTTTGCTGAAACCCACGGTTAGTGCTGCCAAACCTAGAACCATAATCGGATCTGAACCCACAATCAAAGGTTTCTGGCGTGCCCAAGGGACGCAACTCTGAAGAGCGAAAAGCGGCGCCGAGGACGACAGGCCAACACGTTTCCACTCAATGTTAAAACTCCGTTATTGTTTTAGATGTCAGATAGGTAACGTAGTAACGTTAAGGCATGATGTTACTCTTGGAAGCAGTGAGCTGCAGTTAGAATCCATTTGTCACTGATGAGGATGCCCCCGCACTCGTGGTCCTTGTGAGCTTCGTAAACCCTCAAAGACACCTGTGAGTAGAAACAGTACCACGTGACGAAATATAAAACGTCAACACCAGAGAACACCCATCTTCCCGAGGCAAGAGTGTTAACTGACTGTGAAAGTCCAGTTTCCACCCTTGCCAAACTAGGCTGGAATTACTGGGCTCGATCGTAGCGCCGCCAGTGGCTATTACAAGTTATGTCCCTTCTAAGCCTCTCCTATGGACCAATCAGATTCCAACTCTCGTATCACTTGCGTTTGCTTCACACAAAATGGTGGCGCCCAGTCAGGACGATCTGATCGATAATCAAGATCTATATTGTGATAAAACGGGTCTTACATCGCGAAATGCATCAAATCACGTGAGCACCTTGATTAAAAACATGAAAAGATTTGGAATAATATCTGTTGACAGCGAGTTGGCGGTGCACATGCTTTGAAAATACTGCAGTCGATCGAAATCTGCACGACAGTTTACGAACCGGATTTCGATTTCGGTGCGCGATTTTGATTGGACTTTGAATAGACTCGTTAGTTCAGCCAAAATGTAACTCCATAATACCAGCCTAGTTCGGCAAGGGTGTGTTCAATCATACTGTATAATTCCGCATGTCCCGATGTGCTTTAAATTGCATCTCAAAAATATAATAAATGGGGAAATGTATGTGAACCATTACGCAACGAGTTGACAATTGTTTTAGGTATGCCCGTTTGCGCTAAGACGGAACCCTGTCGCAAAATGGCCATGAGAAGGGCACGAGTCGCTATTCGGCTTGTCCCGGAATAACACGAGTTGGTCACGAATGACTAGAAACGAGTCATAGACTTAATTCTGTTTTCTTGGTCGGCGGTCTTGTCGTGATCAGTGCATTTTTCTAAAAGGGGGCTCAAAACAATAAGAAATAATATAAGGGTAACGCTATTTTTCAGGGCATTATCATTTGCAGAAGCCCGAGGTCTTCCATTAACTGCCCGACGAAGGAGGGCAGTTGAAAAGACCGAGGGCTTCTGCAAATGATAATGCCCTGAAAAATAGCGTAACCGTTATTATAGCTAAAATGGGTGAAATTTGTTTTCATATAAAAAGAAACAACAATATCGGTTTTGAAACATTTAGTGCAATCAACACAAATGTCACTGACACCCTTTACAAATATGGAAACATCATAGAACAAAACAGATGACGTCACTATTGAAAGTGTCGTCGCCTATCCCTATCTTATGACGTCACCTAACAATGTGAGTGATAATGACTCGTCGTCAAGCAATATGAGGGTATTATCAAGTTACAGTGGCCCGCTCATTTCTGATAACATGCGGGCGGTTTAACGATAATTCTGTCCATTTTAGCTATGATGGCTTTTAATGAAATTCTTGCACTCGCATGTGTGTCATTCTTATTTTACGAGAAATAAGAAAAATCTGACACTCGTTTCGAAAATCAGCATGACACATGCTCGTATAATAATTTCTATCCGTCTTGAAGCAGTGGTATAGACAGTATTCTTTCTCTGACAAAACTCCCTGACCGATATAACATAGGTACACAGTATATTATAGAATTGCTACTGACTGACCTGCCATGGGAATTCGCCAGGGGCGGCGACTGTGCCCCCTACTATTCTGTTTGTTGCTGGTAGTGGGTCGGGAAAAGCAATTCCACACTGACCTGCACAAATAGAGTTGTATTAATAAGGGCGGTGAGGTAGCCTAGTGGTTTAGCGTTCGCTTGTCACGCCGAAGACCCGGGTTCGATTCCCCATTTCCTAAAGGTGGCGTAAAACCACACTCACTCACTAATAAGGCCTGGCATATGTTTCAACTACACAATTTCTTAACCTGCCTCGGGTTTTAATACAAGAACAAAAATCCTTAAAAAATGGGATCTGAGAAATATTTGTTTGTTTCCCTTTTCAGAGAAAATGATATATTTCCTGTAGCAGCCACCGAAACAATATCTTCTACCCCATGAACTTTGACCTACCGTCCTGTATGTGGTGCCGACATTTAATAGACCTAAACAGATGTATGACCTAAGTATAAGTTTTATAGTGATCACACCTGCTGCTATAGTCGTGACTGACGGATGTAGAGGCGGTATACAACACATCTCCTGGAAGCCACACCCATTGTAGGTGTACATGTAGCCGGAGAGACACTGGTTGAAAATGAAGTTGACGCAGGTGCCGCCGTATTGGCTCTCACATTCTGAAACGTAGAAACGTCAATGTTACAAGACAGATGTTTGCACTTTTTCCCCCATTCAATTCAGTATATGATATTACAGAGTAATACATTGAGTAGGACGCTATGTGGTATACTTATTAGGTGGAGGTTATATACCTATACAGCAGACAGCAAAATTAAAATTGGCTACAGGTGTCCCACAATGTTTACAAATGGTGAAACGGGCAGGCTACATTTGCCATGTTTATTAACTAAGTGTTAATCCTTCCAGCACATTAGTGGAAATTGTTCATGCTAAAAAAAATGTTAGACAGATGTTTGCACTTGTTAACAGACTCAGGTGCCACCGTATTGGCTCTCACAGACTGCCTCACGTTGACGTTCATACGACGGCCGTATGACAGTCGTCCGATCACGCTCCTCACAGCGATATCCCGTTCTGAGAGTGTAACGAAGGTGTCACGCGCTGGGAAGGAGCTTGTCGTCCGACGTTCGTATGACTTCGTCTGGCAGTCATTTGTCAAAGCTGATCTTTCTTCTGACGACCGATCATGGAGACGAGAATTAACGTTGAAAAATGACGTCACTGGTTAAGAGTCGGTTCAGAGTGTGAAAGGAGGTGCCAAGCGCTGCGGAGGAGCTTGGGTTCACTTGGTCCAAGGGAAGCTACTCTCATTTACAACACAAGGTTCAAGGTCAAAATTGTGATGGTGTTTTGTTTATAAGTGATGCACTGAGAAGCTTTATAATGTCACAATTACTACAGACTGGTACAAAACGCACGTATACAGAATACTGTAACAACTCAATGCATTAACAAATTCAAGGGAGGTTTGTCAACATTCAGCGGGTTACCTTACTCTGAAACATATTCACCATGCTCTCATAATGGCAGGAATTGTTGGTTTGTTTGTTGTTTAACGCCGCACTCAGCAATATTTCAGCTGTATGACGGCGGCCTGTAAATAATCGAGTCTGAACCAGACAATCCAGTGATTGACATCATGAGCTTCGATCCACGCAATTAGGATACGATGACATGCGTCAACCAAGTCAGCGAGCCTGACCACCCGATCCCGTTAGTCGCCCCTTACGACAAGCATAGTCACCTTGTATGGCAAACATAGGTTGCTGAAGACCTATTCTACCCCGGATCTTCACGGGTGGTTCATCAATAGTTACCCCACGTATTACCCATGCCCAAATGATAGGTTAGGGGAAATGGGGTTAAATGTCGCGTTCAAGATTATTGCAATTATTGCATCCACGTGTGTGTAGCTGTTGTACAAATTCGAACTATCGCTGGTTTTATAGTGCTAGCCCACTGTGATACCATGCCGCAGTTTAACATGAATACCCCACTTAGACACAGTATACTGACACCAAGCCGACCAGTACTTGTTTTATCCCCGTGATGCCGAGCGTCAGGCAGGGAAGCAACACGTACGTGCAATCTTTTTAACGTCTTTTGGTATGACGCGGCCTAGGGATCGAACTCCGGACCTTCGGCTCTCAACTTTCGCCCTATATATCACCATAACAACGGAGGCGGTCGTTCTTATAATGGTGAGGTGAAATTGGGTTTAACGTCGCGTCCAAGATTATTGCACTTATATAGCGACGTGTATGTACGTGTGTGTGTGTGGCTGCTTGTACTAGTCTGGACTGATGCCGAATTATTGTGCTAGCCTACTGAGATACCATGCCGCAGTTTAACATGAATACCCCACTCAGACACAGTAAACTGACTCCGAGCCGACCAGTCCTTGTTTTAGCCTCTAAATGCCGAGCGCCAGACAGGGTAAAAACAAGTACCATCTTTTTAACGTCTTTTGGTATGACGCGGCCGGGGATCGAACCCCGGACCTTCCGCTCTCCGTGCGGACGCTCTACCACTAGACCACGGAGGCGGTCCTCTCTTATAATGACACTCATCACACTCTGAAACACATTCACCACGCAATTTCTCATTAAATACACAGTTACCATAGTAACCACACGCTAAAGACATTCACAAAGCTCTCAGAATATTATCCCAGAAACTGTCAAAGTTTGGCAACTGCCATATGTTGATTACAAATGAAAATGTAAGTGCCATTCTTATTTTCTTTCATAATCAACCTAATGTTGAGTTCGTATCTAATTATTAATTATAATCAATACTTACGCGTGAGAGAGGTGACATATCCAATATTACAAACAGAAAGTATAACAACAAGTTCTAACATTGTTTTCAAGATACTACAAATCTACAATAGTACAATATTGTATATGTCGTGGCAGGATAGTTAGAGATATTCCATATATCTCCCTAGATAGTCCATGCCTATCCAGTCCTATATAACCAAGTTGTCAACATAGTGGCCACTGCTTCATTTTGTGAAGAAGGAGGTCACTAATATAAGTTCAACCAAAAAGAATTTAAATATAACACGAATGAAGAATGTGTTTATTGAAAGTCCTTGATGCTGGTATGTCTTTGCTAAATTTCTGACAACCAAACAAATGCGCCCAGACAATGCTGCCATTTCCCACCAAAAGCTCTCAGTTTCGTCCAGTAATCTATTTTCAGATTCTTTTGCAGAAATTTGTTATCAGCACTAAACTGTGGAGCGTATCTTATCTTTGCTGTGGTAGGTTAAAGAAGTGATTTGTTCTATTACCTTAAAAGTAATTAAACAATTAGTACTAAACTGTCTGGAAAAGAAAATATACACTTGAAAATTGGATTTGACTAAAAATAGTTTACTGAGCTGAAAACAATCGCCAAACCATTACAAACTTAATGATCGGGTGGTCAGACTCGCTGACTTTGTTGATCCACGTCATTGTATTCCAAATGCGTAGTTCGATGCTCATGATGTCAATCACTGGATTGTCTAGTCCAGACTCAATTGTTTACAGACTGTCGTCATACAGCTGGAATATTGCTGAGTTCGGCGTTAAACAACAACTAAAGTAAACGTAATGAAGTAGCGACTGACCAGATCGGGTGGTCAGGCTCGTCAAAACATACAAAGAGGTGAAATGGGGTTGAACGTCGCGTTCGCGTTGATTGCACTTATATAGCGAGTTGCTAACACGTACGTGTGTGTATGTGTGTGTGTGTGCGTGTGTGTACGTGCGTGCGTGTGTGTGTGCGTGTGTGTGTGTGCGTGTGTGTGTGCGTGCGTGTGCGTGTGTGTGTGTGTGTGTGTGTGTGCGTGTGCGTGTTTCTGACTGCTTGTACTCGTCTGGACTAATACCGGTTTTCTTGTCCTAGCCCCAGATACCATGCTGCAGTTCTACATGGATACACCACTCAGACACAGTATACTGACTATACCAGTCGTTGTTTTCCCCCTTAACCCGAGCGCAAGGCAGGGTAACAACAAGCACCATCTTTTAACGTCTTTTGATATGACCTTCCGTTCGCCAGTCAGACGTTTACGATGTGTGTATGTGTGTGTGTGCCTGTGTGTGCATGCGTGTGTATGTGTGCGTGCAAATCACGCCGCAAATCACCAGCTGAGCGTTTGACACAAGTGTACAACTTAACCATTGGTATCTTAAGGTCATGTATGAAATAACCAACAAATGCAATACTGTGTCAGATATAACCTCATACTGTAACTGATATGGGGCGGTCGGGTAGCCTCGTGGTTAAAGCGTTCGCTCGTCACGCCGAAGACCCGGGTTCGATTCCCGACATGGGTACAATGTGTGAAGCCCATTTCTGGTGTCCCCCGCCGTGATATTGCTGGAATATTGCTAAAAGCGGCGTAAAACCATACTCACTCACTCACTCACTGTAACTTATACTGAGTTTATAGTCGTGGCCCACCAACGGAAATACCATGCTGCAGTTGAACATAAAAACCCCACCCAGACACAGTATTCTGATTCTGAGAAGACCAGTCCTTGTTTTAGCCCCTGAGATGTTGATACCTGGTGAGGTGAAATGGGATCCAAGATTATTGCACTTACATAGCGATGTGCATGCACGTGTGTGTGTGGCTGCTTGTACTTGTCCGGACTGATGCCGATTTTACCATGCCACAGTTTAACATGAATACCCCACTCAGACACAGTATACTGACTCCGAGCCGACCAGCCCTTGTTTTAGCCCCTTAATGCCGAGCGCCAGACAAGGTTACAACAAGTACATGTACAATCTTTTAACGCGTTTTGGTATGACGCGGCCATAGATGGAACCATCGGCCTTCGTCTCTCTGGGCAGATGCTCTGTCCTCTAAATCACAGTGGCGGTCGAACAAGGCAGCGACGTGTCACTCTTGGCATGGCGTGTACCAAAAGTATGTATTTCAAAAATCGTCTTTGTGGAAGTGTAGTAGTGCTACAGTCTTTTTTTTTGTCACCCACATAGATAACACTTTTATCTACGTAGATGATACTTTTTTCTACGTAGATGATGCTTACATGTACGTAGATGATATTTGTTTTAGACTGTGGCACTGATACGTTTCCATACGTTCCTCAACAGTGATTTATAGCTAACATGGATAGAATTATCATTAAACCGCCCGGTCAGTTAAAAAGGCCGAAGGCTTCTGCAAATGATAATGCCCTGCAATATAGCGTCACCGTTATTATAGGTAAAATGCATATAATTTGTTATCAAACAAAAATAAACAACAATATCGGTTTGGAAACATTTACTGCAATCAACACGGATTTCACAACATACTCTCCTACCAAGAGTTCCATGCGAACAGCATGGTACCTCTGCCATAGGCCAGCGCCATGTGACGATTTGTCACATCTCACACGGTCCATTCAACAAGATATTGCATATGTTTTTCATCTGTTTCATTTTTGACAAGTCTACATATCAAGATAAACATATGTCATAGAATGGTTAACTTTCATTGAGAAAATATCCTAAATCGTGAAAAACTATTTCCATTTGCGTAGTTATCCTATGTTTATATAGCCATGATCAAGTTACAGTGGCCCGCTCATTTCTGATAACATGCGGGCGGTTTAATGATAATTCTATCCATTTCAGCCACAACAACAGGTGTTCGCGAAAAGTGCGAGCATGTCCCTGCCCGATACCGATAGCTCAGTTTGCATAAACAAGACACACTCTTATTTCCCTTTTTCCGTGAAAAGATAATTCATATATTGCATTTGGAAATGGAGAAATACTGTTTAATGTTGATAGGTCACAGGGAAGCGCAGAAAGGGATGCACGTTCATCTTGCGCTTCAGCGGGGTCTGGAAAACAAAAATAACATACATTTAAGGTAGGACGACAAAATGTATCACCACTTGCAGGATCATATAATATTTATGAATACTTAAAGAAATTTTGAAATGAGTCGCGTGTACATGACAACCCACCCTACGTTTTAATAAGCCGGTAAGACTATACAGTAAACTTCGTTTTTAACGAACACGCTTATGACGAACTGATGGATATAACGAACTGTTTTATTTGTCCCGGCTATTTGCTGTATATAGGCTGTACATATGCTTATAACCAACTACGGTTGTAACGAACTAAAATTAGTGGTCCCTTTGAGTTCGTTATAACCGTAGTTTACAGTAGGTCATCAATTTTGACATTTCATCCGGGGTAGAATAGGTCTTCAAAAAAACATGGGTTGCTGAAGACCCATCTACCCGGATCTTCACGGGTAGCTCCATGTAACAAACTGTATGATATTGAAAGTTGTGGATGGGCGTTATCATGTTCGAGACGGACTACTTTTGTCTGGAATTTTATAAGAGGGGAATACATAAGCATCGCGTCTATTATTTGCGGGAATCCATTGGCCGTCAGAAAATCCATTGAAAAATACACATTACCTCCTTTGCGAAATTGCAGCTGTCCGGTGGGTCGAAGATGCTGGGGTCGGCAATACCGTCCATAATATTCCTGAACACCATGAACGTCATCTCCGACACTGCAACATACAGGTGAGTGAGTGAGTGAGTGAGTGAGTGGGTGAATGAGTGAGTGAGTGCGTGAGTGAGTGAGTGAGTGAGTGAGTGGGTCGTTGGTGAGTGAGTGAGTGAGTGAGTCGATGGCTGAGTGAGTGATTGTTTGTGTGAGTGAGTGAGTGTTTTGCTCCGAACTAGTCTGCGAGGTCCAGAACCGATTTTCTCTATGGTCTATACTCATTTTGTGAAATTCTTTCTACTTTGAGCTTTAATAATTCACAATAGTGTGTTGTAAAGATATAACTTCACATTTAATTAATGAAGACCCTAATACGCATAGCAAATTTAGCCTGCTACTTTCACCCACTGTTGACTTAATATTGATATGTACGCCTGCATCCCACTTCCTGCAAAAGCTATCTGATCTATATGTATGTTGGTTGGTTGGTTTGTTGTTTAACGCCGCACTCAGCAATATTCCAGCTATATGACGGCGGTCTGTAAATAATCAATTCTGGACCAGACAATCCAGTGATTACTATCATGAGCATCGATCCACACAATTGGGATCGATGACATGCTTCAACCAAGTCAGCGAGCCTGACCAGTATGTAACCTGTACTTATAAATATAATATAGCATGTTACTATATGTGAAAATATGTAACATTTTTCTACTGAATAATAATAATACATTTAATAAAATAGAATATATATATATATATATATAAGGGGTAACTCGGTTTATCGCTGCACTATTTTTTAAATTGATCGTTCTTAGTCTTTTCTTTTCACATCGCATAAAGACCTCGGTCGTATTTCATCCTTCATATAACACTGATGAAGGGTTCGGCGGAGGTTCGAAATATTTTCAGTGATTTCTGAAAGTCGTAAAATGAGCGTTTTAACTGATACGTACGGTTAAAATCGAAAGCAACAATGGGTACACATGTGGAATCTGGGCTGTCCCCCTCCGTCACGGTCACGTAGCCCGATTTGTCAGGCCGGACGTACTTGAACGACGCCGCCGGAAGTCGTTCTTGGTCGCCGCCTCCGACGAAGAAGTGGTCGTTGACTGTAGCATCAGCTGGAAAGAAAACAGAGACTCGAACCTCTGTGAATCCACGCAAGATACGTTAGGAGCACCACGGGGAGACAAGAAATCCTATTGTTATCCTATGACAAGCTTATATCCTGTGACAATTACTATTCTATGGACAAGCTCATACCCTATGACAAGCTTATATCCCGTGACAATTACTATTCTATGGACAAGCTCATACCCTATGACAAGCTTATATCCCGTGACAATTACTATCCTATGACAAGCTCATATCCTATGACAAGCTTATATCTCGTGACAATTACTATCCTATGACAAGCTCATATCCTATGACAAGCTTATATCCCGTGACAATTACTATCCTATGACAAGCTTATATCTCGTGACAATTACTATCCTATGACAAGCTCATATCCTATGACAAGCTTATATCCCGTGACAATTACTATCCTATGACAAGCTCATATCCTATGACAAGCTTATATCCCGTGACAATTACTATCCTATGACAAGCTCATATCCTATGACAAGCTTATATCCCGTGACAATTACTATCCTATGACAAGCTCATATCCTATGACAAGCTTCGACTACTATTCTATGGACAGGCTCATATCCTATGACAAGCTTATATCCCGTGACAATTACTATTCTATGGACAAGCTCATATCCTATGACAAGCTTATATCCTGTGACAATTACTATCCTATGACAAGCTCATATCCTATGACAAGCTTATATCCCGTGACAATTACTATCCTATGACAAGCTCATATCCTATGACAAGCTTCGACTACTATTCTATGGACAGGCTCATATCCTATGACAAGCTTATATCCCGTGACAATTACTATTCTATGGACAAGCTCATATCCTATGACAAGCTTATATCCTGTGACAATTACTATTCTATGGACAAGCTCATATCGTATGACAAGCTTCGACTACTATTCTATGGATAAGCTCATGTCCTATGACAAGCTTATATCCTGTGACAATTACTATTCTATGGACAAGCTCATATCCTATGACAATCTTCGACTACTATTCTATGGACAGGCTCATATCCTATGACAAGCTTATATCCCGTGACAATTACTATTCTATGGACAAGCTTCTATCCTATGACAAGCTTCGACTACTATTCTATGGACAAGCTTCTATCCTATGAAAAGTTTCTATCCCATGACAAGTTACTATCCTATGTCAAACGTCTATCCTATGGTAAACTTCTATCCAACAAGCTACTATCGTATGGCAATCAATGGTGCTTCAAATCATCCCATATTAATTATGCAGATCACTTAAAACCCCTGTTTTGATTAATTTAATTGTAAAATTCCTTTGACCACCGGTTCTAAGGTTTTGCAATGTACCAGGAAACACAAGAAAACAGGCAGTATCGACTGTATGTAATGGGGCCATAAAGAATGTTTGAAAGGGACTGATAGCTCACCCGAAGTGCGGGGCTGCCGGGTAGCCTAGTGGTTAAAGCGTTTGCTCGTCACGCCTAAGTCCCAGGTTCGATTTCCCACATGGTTACAACGTATCAAAGCCATTTCTGGTGTCCTCCGCTGTGATATTGCTGGAATATCGCTAAAGCGGCGTAAGACCATACTCACTCACCCGGAGTGCACGAAGGTTCGAAAGGTGTATCGAGAGTGCGAATCTCACAGGCCCCAGTGACCTCGTCTACCTGGTAGATCCGTCCCTGGACAAAAGGGCAAAACAATATATGTAAACAGTATATTCGTCAAACTTGTTTCTTTGCGAAATATTCCTGGTGTTCCCTTGTTGTTTTTTCATCAGTATATGATGTATTGATTCACTTAAAGAACAAACATGTCACGTAATTCATAAAGATAAGACCCGTGAAGATTCCGGGGTAGATTAGGTCTTCAGCAACCCATGCTTGCCGTAAAGGGCGACTATACTTGTCGTAAAAGGCGACTAACGGGATCGGGTGGTCAGGCTCGCTCGCTCATGATATTAATCACTGGATTGTCTGGTCCAGACTCGATTATTTTACAGACCGCCGTCATATAGCTGGAATATTGCTGAGTGCGGCGTTAAACAACAAACAAACAAACATAAAGTTAAAGATGCGGAGTAAATCTATTTGCAATATAGTTCCCTTTTTCGTTTCATCAATAAAATATAAACTGCCGGGCAAAAGAAGGTTTACACCGATGCCTGACGGTGGCTATAAATGGTTATTCGATGGTGATGTATGTGATACGGGTATCAAAGTCGTGTTATGGGCCTTAAGTTTGCAGTGTGTCGGAGACTGTTTTAAGCCTAGTAACGACCTGGTAGCGTTTGTAACTGTTTGGTCAAATCCAATTTTCAAGTCATTTTAGGATGGCGGGCATTCAGAATTTGACTCATACGTACGGCTTCATAATCAAGGATGGTCATGTTCCTGATGTTCGATGTGACGTACTCGCTCCTCATGGCGACCTTAAGGTTGACGGCGTCGTAGTGGAGATCATAGTGAAACTACAACGACAGTTCTGATATTATATACAGAAAAACATGCTTATGATTCACAACTTCTTGTGGCAGTTTCACGTTCGGATTCGGTTAAACGCCGTAAAAATCCACGGATAGGACCTGACAGACTTGAGACCAAAATAGGAGCGAATTTCGGATTTAATTCAAAAGTGACTGGGCCATCTGTGCCCACTACATTAAATCATAGAGGGTGAGTGAGTGAGTGAGTTAAAGCCGCTTTTAACAGTATTCCAGTTATATCACGGCGTGTCAGCTTCATGTGGGATAAAACCTCGAAGTGGTTCAGGCCTTCTAATGGGTGTTCAAGAATAGGTTTGTATATCCTGCCACAACGGTGGCAACCGTCACAAACACATGCAACGACACGTCAATTTTTGAAAGCCTGAATTGATGCAGGTCTCAAACGTTAACACTTCGGTGAAACCCACGAACACGGGTATGGTGCTGACAAACCTAGAAACAATATCGAACCCACGATCATAGGTTTCAGGCGTGCCAAAGGGACGCAACTCTGCAGAGCGAATTGTGGCGCCTTACACGGCTGCAACCCATGCTTGCCGAAGCTGACACGCCGCGATATAACTGGAATACTGTTAAAAGCGGCTTTAAACCCAACTCACTCACTCACTCACTCCAGGTTCGAGCAGGTCCCCCAGGAATCCGTATGATGCAACTTGATACATCGGGTACTCTGACTAGATGGCATGGTTGATTGTGTGGCATCGTACCCCGACTGTGGGGCGCATTGCCCTTTATATCAAGCACTAGTCTGGTCCAGACTCGATTGTTTGTACACCACAGTCATCTAGCTGGAATAAAACGTGAAACAACAAACAAACAAACAAACGATTGTCAGTCCGGGACTTGGTTAACTGACCGCCATAACTCAACTGCGGGTCTCCTACCTCGGTCAGTGTTAAATCATCAATGGCCACCCTGCCGGACACCGTCCCGCCGGTCATCTCCCATTGCAGGGGGGAACAACAGGCGTTCACCGACGCCACCAGCAGAGCAAGTACACACAGTCTCAACGCCATGGCTGATGCGGGCTAGTGCTGCGCCTGGGGTCTTGATCTCTGACCAGTAAAGCTAAATGTGCCTCTGTTGAAGGACACACTTCTGTGTCAAGCAGGTGATCTCGGGTGTCAAATCACATCTTCACGTGCTCACTATTAACAACACGATACCTTGTAAAATGAGGACAAAGGTAAAATATCCAGGTAAAGGTTACCGAAATCTGCATGTACATTGTTTCCACCAGTCCACAAGTCGGAGGTAAACACGCGTTTAAAGTATCGTTTCCATTCAGTCTTCTGCCCGTACCGAACCTCTTGTCACATCTTGTTATTATCGAGTTCATAGAACTAAATAGGTGAGTGAGTGAGTGATTAGTGAGTGAGTGAGTGATTATGGTTTTACGCCGCTTTTAGCAATATTCCAGCAATATCACGGCGGGGGACACCAGAAATGGGCCTCACACATTGTACCCATGTCGGGAATCGAACCCGGGTCTTCGGCGTGATGAGCTAACGCTTTAACCACGAGGCTAGACGACCGCCCTAAAACTAAATAACACTTCAGTACTGTCCATCAGGTCACGGTCCGTCAAGTACACACGGTCCCAGTAAACCCCCGCTAGTACAAAGAGGCGACTAAATTGGGAATCTATAGGGTGAGGTGATTAATGGATCGAATGGTCAGGCTCGCTGACTTAGTTGATGCATGTCATCGTATCCCAATTGCGTGAAGCCGTGGATCGATGCTCATGACATCAATCACTGGATTGTCTGGTCCAGACGCGATTATTTACAGACCGCCGTCAGAAAGCTGTAATATGAGTGCGGCGTGAAACAACAACACACACAGTATACACTAAGCAATGGTCATGTTTCTCAAAATATTGAAATCCCATCAAATCCTTTGCCCTATGATAAGCACGCGTATATATTATTACAGAAATATTGTAAACCTACTACCCTATTTGCGTTCTGATAAATATGTTTCTGCCTCCCTTAAGCCTCCCTTGGGCGACCAATGGCGTACATTGAACGATGACTGTGGCGACAGTCGTGCCTCCATTCGGCGACCACGGCAACCCTTGAGACACCATGGCAATGCTTCTGCCTCTTTTCTGCCTCCTTTGAGCTACCCGTAGTGCCTCCTCAGCCTGCCTATAAATACAGGGCTTGTACCTGCAGTGTTTCAGTGTGGTTGCAGACGCTGAACAACTCGAGCAGTTACTGCTGACCAACTGCTGGAGCAGTTAAATAGAAACATGATTTTCTGGGTTTAGGCGACCATTGAGCTTCCTGGCCAGTTTTGGATCGCTCAAAGGTGGCACAAAGGTCGCAGCCCTGTGTAAAGTGGCCTTAAGGGGATTACATAGTTATGACAAGGTGATTGGATCCTAATTAAAATAGTCTGTTGCTTGATTCGAATTTCATCGTCAGACGAGATGTAATACCCTTGATCTCTGTTGATCAAAGGTTTGTGACGGCGTATTTCTACAGCTTCTGGGAGTTTTCTTTTGACGAAGTTCTGATGCTTGGTTGAGAGGATTTGGACTTTGTCAAACCGAATTTAATGCCTAGAGAATGTTTGCTTGTGGTCAGAGGGGGCTGATTTGCTGTCTGCTTTGGCTGTTGAAGTCTTATGTTCTTTGCTGCGGGTATCTACTGGGCGGGAGGTTTCACCATGTGCGAGTCACCAGAGTCACACATAATCTACATCGAATCGTCGCTACATGCAATAAACAAGAAGTTGTTATCCATAAAGTTGCACGTTTTTTTAATTTACTCACCAACTTCCAGAATGTCAATCAAACAGTTTACGTCAAAAGATCCAGTCCCGGTACAACGCGAGGTAGCGGATCTCGCTGGGTTCGTCTCTTTAGACTAGTTACATTTACAAATGCCAATCATGTTTGAAGCGTTGTATGTTTCATGCAGGTGTTGGCTGAGTTAGTCACGTGTTGTCATGGTTTCGAATTTAACCAATCGAGGCTCACTTCCGTTGCACGTGTTTTTGATGCGCGTTAATTCCAGGCGCCATGAATGGAAGCAGAAGTGGCGTATACTAAACAACAGCTCCGTGCATGTTCATTTGATTTGAACAAACTGGTAAGAATTTATATTGATATTGATGTTTCATCAGTTTTCGCGCTACAGTGAACTTGTTTTCAAAACGTATGGCTTGCAATGTGCATGCTTTATGAGTGAGTGAGTGAGTTCGGTTTTACGCCGCTTTTAGCAATATTCCAGCAATATCACGGCGGGAGACACCAGAAATGGGCTTCACACATTGTACCCATGTCGGGAATCGAAACCGGGTCTTCGGCCTGAGGGGCTAACGCTTTAACCACTAGGCTACCCGACCGCCCCTCCGCCCCGATTTTTAACGTAATTTCTTGTCCGGTTGTTTCGGGTGAACGTTGACAATGGCGACAAGGTAAGTGCAGAAATGGGATTTAACATAACGCGTTCCAGATTAGTGCACTCATTGCGACGTGCATGCACGTGTGTGCGGCACTTGCCCCCAGACTTTAAAGTGTGAAAGCATTGTGATACTATGCTGCAGTGTACCATGGATACCCCACTCAGACGAAGTATGCCGACCCCGAGCCGAAAAGCCCTTGTGTTATGCCCTTTAACACCGAGCAACGTGCAGGGTAACAAAAATTAGTATCTTTTAACGTCTTTTGGACAGTACAACAAGGAGGAGATTGTCCTAGCATGATGTTATAAGATATATACAAAACTGTACGTGTGGAGGACATGGTCGATCCCCGTGAAGATCCGGGGTAGAATTGGTCTTCACCAACCCATGCTTGACCCGTGAAGATCCGGGGTAGAATGGGTCTTCAGCAACCCATGCTTGACCCGTGAAGATCCGGGGTAGAATAGGTCTTCAGCAACCCATGCTTGACCCGTGAAGATCTGGGGTAGAATAGGTCTTCAGCAACCCATGCTTGACCCGTGAAGATCCGTGGTAGAATAGGTCTACAGCAACCCATGCTTGACCCGTGAAGATCCGGGGTAGAATAGGTCTTCAGCAACCCATGCTTGACCTGTGAAGATCTGGGGTAGAATAGGTCTTCAGCAACCCATGCTTGACCCGTGAAGATCCGGGGTAGAATAGGTCTTCAGCAACCCATGCTTGACCCGTGAAGATCCGGGGTAGAATAGGTCTTCAGCAACCCATGCTTGACCCGTGAAGATCTGGGGTAGAATAGGTCTTCAGCAACCCATGCTTGACCCGTGAAGATCCGGGGTAGAATAGGTCTTCAGCAACCCATGCTTGACCCGTGAAGATCCGGGGTAGAATAGGTCTTCAGCAACCCATGCTTGACCCGTGAAGATCCGGGGTAGAATAGGTCTTCAGCAACCCATGCTTGACCCGTGAAGATCCGGGGTAGAATAGGTCTTCAGCAACCCATGCTTGACCCGTGAAGATCCGGGGTAGAATAGGTCTTCAGCAACCCATGCTTGACCTGTGAAGATCTGGGGTAGAATAGGTCTTCAGCAACCCATGCTTGACCCGTGAAGATCCGGGATAGAACAGGTCTTCAGCAACCCATCTTGTCATAAAAGGCGACTAAGCTTGTCGTTAGAGGCGACTAACGGGATCGGGTGGTCAGACTCGCTGACTTGGTTGATGCACGTCATCGATTTTGCAAAGCATTAATATACTTACATACTTTCAAAATATATCATCCCATTGTTTCGGCACAATATCGCTTTTGTTATTCGCCAAAACAAATGAGACTTGATCATGAAGAAACGTTCAGTCACTTAAGTACTCTCTTGGTCGTATCACTGTCACATAACTTTCAAAAATACTTTCTAGAAAATAATTCATGTCATATATTGTATGGAAATGTTCTCAATAGAAAAATACATTCAATATTTGGGAAAAAACTTAATTCTTTACAGGTTTGTTTGGCAATGTATTATATTTATCCTAATTTTCGTGCGCCAGTGACACCAGTCCAAACAAATTTGAAATTAGTCTGTAGTTTATGTATATTAAGATAAAAAAATGAGACTTGTGTAACATATCATCTATTCTACTGCAAAATTAAATTTCAAACTTTAAATCGCTTTGGGCAGTTTTCCACATCACGTCTCCATTTATTTTGATGGTCACAGTGAATTCGATTTCATGTAAAGGTACCCTTAACCCTAGTAGGTCATTGACGACCAAGGTGCCTTGACATGGGTTTCACGCAACTGTCCGTGGTCACGTGGTCTCCATTCTAAGAAAGCCAATGGATGTTCCCTGTGGTCAGTAGATATAGGGGTGTATTTTGCTGGTCAGAATGTTCCGAGTAGCGGGGCAAGTAGAACCTTCCGCATTTATGGCGAAGTGTAAGAATTACTAATTATTTCCTTATCCTTTCGAGATCCCCTTTAGACAAATGCACTGATCACGACCGCCGCCTGGGAAAACCACACGTCAAATGTGGAATGACGTCACCAATTTTCAGCTATGACGTCGTTGCAAGTGACGTCATTCCGACCTTATTCTGATAGTCCTTGTGTGGAAAAGCCACAATAAATCTGTGAAACATAAAATTAAAAAAGTGTGGCCCTAATGACTTAAGCCTTCAACAGAGATTATTCACAAATTGATGCAGTCGAGACCCAACCAAGATGTCATGAATACAGACCTTTCAATGTCATGTGATCATATCTTACAAATATCCCCAGTGGTATATATAGGTGTTATATCCCGTTTAAAGTCTTTAACATCTGTCTGTAGTTGACAAAGGAAATTATGGCATCAGGGAGCTCAAATTTGAGCAAGCACTTTGAGCAGCAACCCTCCAAGAGTCTGTTTAGGTATGAGTATAATCCTGAATTAATATTGTCTTGGAATTATGAACCAAAGTCTGTTGTCATATGAATCATTTTATTTATGGTGTTACTGGACATGTAGAAAAATACAAAGAGATTCACAGCACATATGTGGGTGAGTGAGTGTGGTTTTACACCGCTTTTAGCAATATTCCAGCAATATCACTGTGGGGGACACCATTGTACCCATGTCGGGAATCGAACCCCGGTCTTCGGCGTGACAAGCGAATGCTTTAACCACTGGGCTACCCAACGGCCTCTCACATATGTGGGCAAAACAGAGAAATAAATAATCAGTTAGCATGTAAAAGTATTACTGAAAGCTTCAAGTTAACTTCACAAATGCCCAATGCCTACAGAACCAATGATGTACCTGTCCTGTAATTCTTGGGTTTGACAACATTAAAGCATTTGCCATTCATGTACAACACAATTTTAAACATCAGATCTTTAAGGCAAATCTTTGAATAATCAGATCTTTTACTCCGATAGTTACATCTCTGTGTGAAGATTTTCCATTTAGAACTGACCATTTAATTTCAATTTTAAGATGCAGTAATCAGATATCCTGTTCTGAATTGATGTGATGACATGATTTGTCAGTACTGACATAGAGATGTATTGTTTTGGAGTATCATATCTGATGATAATCAAGATCGTTACTTGGACGGAATCTGCTAATCTATAAATTCATAATTTATGACTAACAGGCTGAATACAATTTATTCAATATGAAATATACATAATATGTACTAGGTAACACTTCTGATCATAACATGAAACTCGAACAGAATACATGTTTCTTGTAATAAAAAATTGAACTACCATATTCAACATAATCCTCTTACTGAATATCAACATTGTAAAAGTTCACTGAGAATCAATTGTTTTTAGTGTTTATCCCCCTCCAATCATTAAATGCATGTGAATATCACATACAGCTATAACAGTATATACATCATAGTACAAAATATACATACAGCTATAACAGTATATACATTATAGTACCAAATATACAAACACCATTAGGGCTGGGGCGAGTCCAAATTTACTACACGGGGACCCGACACCCAGTTACCCAGCCTTACCGGATACCCGCTTTATGTTTCAAGAGTTGGGTACAAAATGTCTGAATGGGAATTGTTTTACCAGATACATGTATAAAACGATCTGGTCATGTATACACTGCAGTTCCTTACTCGAACATATAAAAGTAAGAACGAATGCCTGCACAGTTAAAAAGAAATGTGAACATTAGCTATACTTGTAGTGTAACCACTGGAATGGGCAGAGGACTAAATTAGTTATCAGGGATGAGAATATTCCACGCATCCGCGAATTTACAGCAAATTTTAGTGACCACAAATTTGTTAAAATCTGATGGCTTCCCCACAAAACACCCCAAAAATATCGACCACGCTTCATTGCAAAGATGTTTCAGCTGAAAAGGAAAATATCTATTCTCATCCCTGAGATGTGACCAACGGGTCTACCCCTAAAAACGACACAAGACTCAAAATGACACAGATGAAATTATGGTTGTCAAAGGCTAAATGTCTATTATAATGTGGACAGATGTTCTTACTAACATGTATCTTTGGTAGGTTAAAATATGATTTCTTTTTACAAACATGAATATTTTCCCACTATTTTGCATAGCACTGTGTGAGTCGATCAGTCTACCCAAGGAAACATAAACCCTAATTCCTGCTCTCAGGTGGTGTGACTATCACCTTACTATCCAAAACACTCCACCATTATAATAAAAAAAATACCCACTTCTGTTGCAAGTGTATTGAAGACCATTCTATGTATCTGATGCTGGCCCTACCTTGTTTGGGACAATAAAGTCTGAAAATGGTTCAGAATTTAGGATATCAAAAGAAAGTATAAGTGGAGTGACAATAGTTAAAATTGACATGTTGTTTTTAAAAACATCAACATGCAGATTTCTTAAACCAAAGCACTGGCCAATATTTGAAAATCATGAGAAAAAATTATTTTTCAATCAGCGCTTTGAAACACGAACTGAAACATTAACTGGTGGAGTCTGAAAACTCTCTCTGCCAGAATCGTCTCTGGACATTTGGAGTTGCCTCCCCTTGTGGAAATCTCTATAACTGTGAGTCCCATTTGTTCGAGATGTAATTCTTGATGCTGATTGGTTACTGGTCACTTGAGGATCTCCACCATGAGTCATGCCCTTAGTTTGGTAGGACTGTGTCTCCCTCACTTGTCTCCCTTTGTCCGACTGTCCATCCCTCAGTTGTCTCCCCTTGTCCAACTGAGGGGGAAACTCTCCCACACGCTCGAATGCACGGAAGCCACTCGAGTCATTGTCCGATTTCAGTGAGGCCAAAGGAGTAAATTCCTCTTCAAGTGTCTGCTCTTCGAGAGTCAACCCCAATACTGACAAATTCTCAAGAGAGCGAGCCATTTTATTCCCAAACAAGTTTTTAGGTGACTTTTTCGGAGTGTGATATCCACTTTCACTCTCTAATCTTTCAGGCACAGGGTTGAATTTACGTGGAGAAGGCTTTCCTAATCCCATGAACTGAAAATTAAGCACTGGTTCATCTGGTTCCGCTATTCTCAAATCTCCTTCAGATAAACTGTGGTTGGAGATTAAACTTGTGGACGGCGATCCTACTTTCAGACTTTGTCGGAGAGGGGTATATTTATATTGGATCCGAACACTTCCTGGAGATCTTCCTGCATCTTCCATCACCTGCCGTCTCCCCTCCTGGTTGTTCTCAAAGTCAGCTAACACGTTCAAGGCCATCTCAGACTGAGCCTTGCTCATGCCTTTGTATGAAAAGGGTTCTAAGGGTTTGGGGGTTGAAAATTCGTCCTCCATGCTTCGTCGTAGCAGGGACAGTTGTGGACGTCTCTTCGACACTGCTGGAGGCAGTGAGGAGTCTCTCACCTGCTGAAGTTCTTGATGAGAACCAACATCAATGCTGTGGGCTCGATGAGAACCAACGTCTGAGCTGTGGGCTCGATGAGAACCAATGTCTGAGCTGTGTGTTCGATGAGAACCAACATCAATGCTGTGGGCTCGATGAGGACCAATGTCTGTGCTGTGGGCTCGATGAGGACCAACGTCTGTGCTGTGTGTTCGATGAGAACCAACATCAATGCTGTGGGCTCGATGAGAACCAACGTCTGTACTGTGGGCCCGATGAGAACCAACACCTGTGCTTTGACCCCGATGAGCCCGATGCTCATCTGTGCTGTTTCTCTTTTGGGCGGGTTCTCTAGGTCTTCGAAATCCATCATTGTCGTACATTTGTCCATAACTATTCAGCTCTCTTGGTTTAGCTTCCGATCTTCTCCCAGGATGAATTGTACCATGCCCCGACTTGGACCTTGATGAGGTGCGTCTCTCAGGGGGATCAACTGGTCTGAACGACCTTGCATCATCTTTTCTGAATGAAACCGAAAGAGACTCTCTTGTTTCAGGTTCCGACTCTACTGGTGATGGCGTCTGCAGAATACGCGATCCATTACGATCAAAGAGGGACAGATTTTGAGATGGACGAGGAAACACATCCTTCCCATTCTTGGGCACCATTCGGGAATTTTGTTTTGCATCACTTCCTGTCCCAGCATTCCCTGTTGAGTTTTCAGCGCGGGACAAGGTCACCTGGTAATTCTGACATGAAGACCCTGTGCTTGTGATGCTACTTTCACTGCGAGGCGTCAGGTTGCTGGCACTGGACACATCAAGAGACACCGATGAAGTTGAACTCTTGGCCTGTGACAGGTCAGTGGCCTTGACCTCTTGGTCTGAAGTGTTTGACCTTGAACTGCTTAGACTGATGGACAGAGTCTCAAGGGCCTGATCAATGGAGGCGAGTTTCCCTTCCAGGTCCGCCCTGTTGAACACACAAAAATGTGATACAGTTTATTGCAATGCAAGACCAAATTACAAAATCGTATTACGAAAAAATATTTTATGATTATGGAAATTTCTTGTTTTAATAAGTGTGAATTGTGTCTTATATTTATAACCATGGGTTTAGAATGATCAATGTAATCTTTCAATTCAAATAGTTTTTTTCTCTTATCTTATGGACTTAATCATCATGGTCACCATGTTAAGGTAAAAAAGGCATACTCATTTAGTTTAAAAGAAGAAAAACCTCTTGAAAATAAAGCAACAGTTAACAAAAATTAAACCAATATAAGTTTATCTTTCAGATTTTACATCTTCAAATTTTAGGACAAGCTCGTCTGTATTACAAGAAAACAAAAAAGTCTGACCCCAAAAACAAACTCCCAAATTTTAAGTTTACACATTTTTGATAACTTGCTTTCACATTTCAAACACGTAGCAAACAAAAAGATTCACTGAAATTCAAAATTTATCTACACATGAAAAAACACAAAATTAGATATAAAATTTTGAGGATATAGCTAGTAACCATGAGAACAGAAACATTGACAATGAACCGCTAACAATTACAACCAGTCACAGACTGGGGACAGTTCTACACAGACTAAACCCATTACCAAAGCTACTTATATAAAGAAACCTTTTTTGTAAAGTGTGTTTCTGTCAATCAGACCTGAAATTCAATTTGAATTCATCCATCATTCATTCTTGCAGAAATTCAGCTAAAGGAGAACAAGATTTTGTTTTGTTTTGTTTGTTTGTTGTTTAATGCTGCACTTAGCAATATTCCAGCTTTATGACGGCGGTCTGTAAATAATCGAGTCTGAATCAGACAATCCAGCGATTGACATGAATCTACGCAATTGGGATACGATGACATGCATCAACCAAGTCAGCGAGTCTGACCACCCAATCCTGTTAGTCGCCTGTTACGATAAGCATCGTCGCCTTTTACAGCAAGCATGGGTTGCTGAAGACCTATTCTACCCCGGATCTTCAGGTGTCTCATTTGAAATTGAGGGCATGAGACATCTGGCTGAAACATTATAGTCAACAATGGAAAAGTGAATATTGCAGTCAGCCCAAACATGCAGCTATATTACAGACACCTGTAGGTCTGGGCCAGGCAAATCAGTGCTTCATGGCATTACCAATGATCCACACCGTCCAAGACGTTTCCACTTGCCTATATCAATGTTTACATTTCACATTTCCCTTTCAAACTGACTTATCTTGGCTTGATCGCAGCGAAACACTATATATAGTATGTGTTGTGCCCCTTGTGATATCCCAAAACGATATCCAATCAGATCACTGTTCTTATTTCAAATGGCTTCACAAAGATGCTGACAACTATAGACGACAACCTGGTCGATCATCCCTGACAAACAAACTGCCAGTACTTATTCCTGCCACATTTCGCTGGTCACATAACTGAGGCTCAAGGACGACACAGTATCCAGTAACACTGTGCGATTCGCGGTAATATGAAATGCTTAACATAGGTAATCTAAAAATAGAACCCCATCTCAGTCACTGCAATAAGCAGTCAGTAGTTGAAGTTAAAATACAATGAAGTTCACACTCCAATTTTGGGTTAGTAGACACTCTTGCCTCGGAAAGATGGACAACATGTTGAAACCACCCAGTCCCAATCCTCATCAGTCTTAGACAGCCTCCGTGGTCTAGTGGTGGAGCATCTGCCTGGAGAGGATTCGATCTTTGGCAGCGCCATACCAAAAGAAGTTAAAAGATAGTACTTGTTATTACCCTAACGTGACGTTAAACCCCATTTCACTTCACCTTATCAGTCTACTGACTGAGTTGGGTTTAACACTGCTTTTAACAGTATTACAGTCATATCACGGCGTGTCAGCTTAATGTGGGAGGAAAGCCCGAAGTGATGCAGGTCTCATACGTTTACCACTTCGGTGAAATCCACGAGCAGGGGTATGGTGCTGACAAACCTAGAAACATGATTGGGGCGAACCAGGATTCGAACCCACAATCATAGGTTTCTGGCGTGCCCAAGGGACGCAACTCTGTACAGCGAATCGCGGCGCCTAAGACGACTGGGCCACCCATGCCCCCCCTTATCAGTCCAAGACAAGCGTGGGACTAATTGCAACACGTTGGCAACGGAGTGGTTTGTAAAACAATTGCCATAAAACATTCAAATTATTTGAATTTGAAGTTGTCTCACCCTATGAGTTCGTTCTGTAGAATCTTACGGATGCTGACTCGGTAGAATCGCTTCAGCTGGGTCACCGTGACCTGCTTCTCACGGGTGATGCCAGTGCGGACGGTATCAGCAGCTCGCAGGTTAGTCTGGGTAATATGCTGCATAACGTCCTCTGAAAACAGGATATTTTGTCATAAGGGATGTCTAAATCTATTAATAAGGGAGATTATCAAGACCAGAGGGCAAGGTTTAAATGCTCTATATGACCCTTTAGAACTGCCAAATTTCAAATTTGAAGTAAAGTTGAAAACAGAATATATGACTGATGGCTAGCAATTTACATTTTTACACTTCCAAGTTTTAGACATCAAATCCAGTGACAGAAGTGCTCAGAGTCAATTTTTCAGAAAATTCTACTCCTGATATCTCCTGTGTCTATTCTGGTTAGAACAGGTCTTCAGCAACCCATGCTTGCCGTAAAAGGCGACTATGCTTGTCGTAAGAGGCGACTAACGGGATCGGGTGGTCAGGCTCGCTGACTTGGTTGATGCATGTCATTGGTCCCAGTTGCATGGATCGATGTTCATGTCAATCACTGGATTGTCTGATCCAGACTCAATTATTTACAGACCGCCGTCATATAGCTGGAATATTGCTGAGTGCGGCCTTAAACAAGCAACAAACAAAACTTATGATATATTTTTAACAATGAATGTCCAAATAGTGTTTCCATAAACAAAACAATTAATAAAAAATTATCATTTAAAATAGCAAGTTTTCTCAAACTTGAAAATATGTCAAACTTAGCGGGTCAGCAAAGGCCCTCACATCCCTTGTCTCTTTTTATCACAAATCATAAAAAAATTAAGAAACATAAACTCTGAATGGAAGTAAAACCTTGTTTTGACAAATTGATAAATGCTGATTTCAGAGGTCTTCAGGAAACATTTTGAAATACCGGTATATTAACAAAAACTTAATATATACAAAATAATTTTCCCATTTCTTAAATTAGGCATGTGCAGATCTTTGGGCCCAAAATGAACCTTATCACAGCTTGTCCTTTCTGGCATCAAATACCCACAAACACAAATTCATTTTCCTAACCATGCTAATTTATGGTGTGACCAGTTGGAACCCCCCGGAAGTTGGTAACTACAATAATGTATTTCTATTTCTTAGTCAGGTCCAATGTAAATACACCAGGCAATTTGTGGTAGCTCACCTCTGATCTTGTCAACTGTGTCCAAGTATTGAGATCTCAGGTCCAACATCATATCTCCAGATTCTTCTGTCTGCAAAACACAAACATTGTCAAATATTACCCGAATCATTTTCCCGGAGTCTTACGTTTGCTATGTTTTATACCACTGTGACAACTGTGCGATACGTATCACGATACCTTGCTCACAATCCAAGCGTATCACAATAGTTGCATGTGCTCTTATTGGTGGCAGTGTTATCAAGCCTTAAAGTTGGTTCACTCAGGGGTAGAAACTAACAGTTTTTGTCCACTAGTCCTCATAATGATAACATACAGCAAAACACTTAAATTGGCCAATTTCTACTAGTCCTTAGGATACCTTTACCATTTGGCAGTTTGGTAAGGACTACAGGACTAGTGCCAATTTCTAACGCTGTTCACTACTATCGTAATACTATTGCAATAGTGTGGGGTACTGTTGCAATAGAAAAAAGACTCAATAGTCACCATTAAATTTCACGTTAAATTTTGAACTCTAAAACTGACCTGGACAGGCGTGCTGGTCATCGTGCGGTCACTCCGTTTCTTCAACTGCTTCAACAACTCCTTCTTCTCCAGCTTGTGCTGTTTTTTCATTGCTTCTACTGCCATCGTGTTCGTCTTCTGACGTTCCATCATTTTCTGCGTTAAGTTCCCCATGGCTGCTTCACTTTCACTCAGAGCGTTTTTTAACTCCTCTTTTTCCAGAGAATTCTTTTTTCTCACTTCCTGTAACGACTTCTCAGATTTTTGCAGACGATTATTAATATCTTCAAACTTCTCTTTCTGGGATTTCATGTCATTTTTATAAGCTGATTCCATACTTTTCACAGAGGCATGTAATTTATCATTTTCTTTCACTTGTTCATCCAATTCTGACTGTTTTAATGCAATCTTTTCTATCAAACTATGTTTTTCTTGCAGCAGACGGTCAAGTTCTTTCTGATATTCCTCTTTCATCTCTTGTTCCTGTTCTTGCTCCATGTCAATAAGCTGCTGAGATTTCTCCGCCAGTTGATCTTCCAAGTGTTCGATCTTACGAATATATGAAGCTCTTTCTTTCTCAAAATTTTCAGCCATCTTCTGGATCTGAACTTGAATCTTTCCCATCTCGTGTTCGCTCGTTGGTAAAGAATCATTAAATTCGGACTGGTAACGTTCCTGTAGTTTGTGTACCTCCATCTCCAGCTGTTGTTGGTATGCAGCTTCCAGCTCCTCGTGCATCCGCTGAACTTCCTGCGACATATGTGCGTCTGCTTGCTTCAGAAGTGAGTCTCGACTCTGGATTGACTTTTTTAATTTGTCCGTCTGCTTCTGCCACACTTCTCTTTCTTGTTCCAAAATGGAGGTCTGAAAAAGTTCAGGTTATTAATTTCACTGGTATCTTATTCTTCGTCATCCCGACATTCCAAAATGTGGATAAAGAAACTTGTTTCTCCATGACTGTTAGTCTTAAATCATTTGTTTCATGACACAAATTTTGAATATAGTTTCTCATAAAAAGACATTATTATCATTATCTTGACACTCACGTGACATACATCTGAAGTTATCGGGAAACATAAGTCATAATTATATTTGCATTCGCTAAATATAATACTTAATTTAAAGAATATTTTATTCAAAGTATAATTGCCATAATGGACTATTCTGAAACCAAATTTGGTCAAATCAATCATTATGTTCAACTTATCACCCACAAAACTAATAGGCTAGCAATACTGAAGCTGTATTTCAGCAGAGACCATGGATGGGCGGGTAGTCCAAGACGCTGCAATTTGCTGTGCAGAGCTGCGTCCTTTTGGAGTTCTAGAAAATATTGAACGTGGGTTCGAATCCCGATTTGCCTTGCTTTTGTTTCTTGGTTTGTCAGCACCATACCAGTGTCGCGGGTTTCACCAAAGTGGTAAAAGTCTGACTGAGTCAGGGATAGGGAAACCAGTGACATCAAGATCATCTACATCTACATCTACATCTACATCTACAGTGACACTGGTCATCACCCTGACTGACCTCCAGGTCTACATCTACAGTGACACTGGTCATCACCCTGACTGACCTCCAGGTCTACATCTACAGTGACACTGGTCATCACCCTGACTCACCTCCAGGTCTGCATCTACAGTGACACTGGTCATCATCCTAACTCACCTCCAGGTCTGCATCTACAGTGACACTGGTCATCACCCTGACTCACCTCCAGGTCCCCATCTACAGTGACACTGGTCATCACCCTGACTGACCTCCAGGTCTGCATCTACAGTGACACTGGTCATCACCCTGACTGACCTCCAGGTCCCCATCTACAGTGACACTGGTCATCACCCTGACTCACCTCCAGGTCTACATCTACAGTGACACTGGTCATCACCCTGACTCACCTCCAGGTCCCCATCTACAGTGACACTGGTCATCACCCTGACTCACCTCCAGGTCCCCATCTACAGTGACACTGGTCATCACCCTGACTGACCTCCAGGTCTACATCTACAGTGACACTGGTCATCACCCTGACTCACCTCCAGGTCCCCATCTACAGTGACACTGGTCATCACCCTGACAGACCTCCAGGTCTGCATCTACAGTGACACTGGTCATCACCCTGACTGACCTCCAGGTCTACATCTACAGTGACACTGGTCATCACCCTGACTGACCTCCAGGTCCCCATCTACAGTGACACTGGTCATCACCCTGACTCACCTCCAGGTCTACATCTACAGTGACACTGGTCATCACCCTGACTGACCTCCAGGTCCCCATCTACAGTGACACTGGTCATCATCCTGACTGACCTCCAGGTCCCCATCTACAGTGACACTGGTCATCACCCTGACTCACCTCCAGGTCCCCATCTACAGTGACACTGGTCATCATCCTGACTGACCTCCAGGTCTGCTTCTACAGTGACACTGGTCATCACCTGACTCACCTCCAGGTCTGCATCTACAGTGACACTGGTCATCACCCTGACTGACCTCCAGGTCCCCATCTACAGTGACACTGGTCATCACCCTGACTCACCTCCAGGTCTACATCTACAGTGACACTGGTCATCACCCTGACTCACCTCCAGGTCCCCATCTACAGTGACACTGGTCATCACCCTGACTGACCTCCAGGTCCCCATCTACAGTGACACTGGTCATCACCCTGACTCACCTCCAGGTCCCCATCTACAGTGACACTGGTCATCACCCTGACTGACCTCCAGGTCCCCATCTACAGTGACACTGGTCATCATCCTGACTGACCTCCAGGTCTGCTTCTACAGTGACACTGGTCATCACCTGACTCACCTCCAGGTCTGCATCTACAGTGACACTGGTCATCACCCTGACTGACCTCCAGGTCTGCAGCTACAGTGACACTGGTCATCACCCTGACTGACCTCCAGGTCCCCATCTACAGTGACACTGGTCATCACCCTGACTGACCTCCAGGTCCCCATCTACAGTGACACTGGTCATCACCCTGACTCACCTCCAGGTCTACATCTACAGTGACACTGGTCATCACCCTGACTGACCTCCAGGTCCCCATCTACAGTGACACTGGTCATCATCCTGACTGACCTCCAGGTCTGCATCTACAGTGACACTGGTCATCACCCTGACTCACCTCCAGGTCCCCATCTACAGTGACACTGGTCATCACCCTGACTGACCTCCAGGTCTACATCTACAGTGACACTGGTCATCACCCTGACTGACCTCTAGGTCCCCATCTACAGTGACACTGGTCATCATCCTAACTCACCTCCAGGTCCCCATCTACAGTGACACTGGTCATCATCCTGACTCACCTCCAGGTCTACATCTACAGTGACACTGGTCATTACCCTGACTGACCTCCAGGTCCCCATCTACAGTGACACTGGTCATCACCCAGACTGACCTCCAGGTCTACATCTACAGTGACACTGGTCATCACCCTGACTCACCTCCAGGTCTGCTTCTACAGTGACCCTGGTCATCACCCTGACTCACCTCCAGGTCTACATCTACAGTGACACTGGTCATCACCCTGACTCACCTCCAGGTCTGCTTCTACAGTGACACTGGTCATCATCCTGAATGACCTCCAGGTCTACATCTACAGTGACACTGGTCATCACCCTGACTGACCTCCAGGTCCCCATCTACAGTGACACTGGTCATCACCCTGACTGACCTCCAGGTCTGCATCTACAGTGACACTGGTCATCACCCTGACTCACCTCCAGGTCTACATCTACAGTGACACTGGTCATCACCCTGACTCACCTCCAGGTCCCCATCTACAGTGACACTGGTCATCATCCTAACTCACCTCCAGGTCTGCATCTACAGTGACACTGGTCATCACCCTGACTGACCTCCAGGTCTGCATCTACAGTGATGCTGGTCATCACCCTGACTCACCTCCAGGTCTGCATCTACAGTGATGCTGGTCATCACCCTGACTCACCTCCAGGTCTGCATCTACAGTGACACTGGTCATCACCCTGACTCACCTCCAGGTCCCCATCTACAGTGACACTGGTCATCACCCTGACTGACCTCCAGGTCCCCATCTACAGTGACACTGGTCATCACCCTGACTGACCTCCAGGTCTACATCTACAGTGACACTGGTCATCACCCTGACTCACCTCCAGGTCCCCATCTACAGTGACACTGGTCATCACCCTGACAGACCTCCAGGTCTGCATCTACAGTGACACTGGTCATCACCCTGACTGACCTCCAGGTCTACATCTACAGTGACACTGGTCATCACCCTGACTGACCTCCAGGTCCCCATCTACAGTGACACTGGTCATCACCCTGACTCACCTCCAGGTCTACATCTACAGTGACACTGGTCATCACCCTGACTCACCTCCAGGTCTACATCTACAGTGACACTGGTCATCACCCTGACTGACCTCCAGGTCCCCATCTACAGTGACACTGGTCATCACCCTGACTGACCTCCAGGTCTACATCTACAGTGACACTGGTCATCACCCTGACTCACCTCCAGGTCCCCATCTACAGTGACACTGGTCATCACCCTGACTGACCTCCAGGTCTACATCTACAGTGACACTGGTCATCACCCTGACTCACCTCCAGGTCCCCATCTACAGTGACACTGGTCATCACCCTGACTGACCTCCAGGTCTGCATCTACAGTGACACTGGTCATCACCCTGACTGACCTCCAGGTCCCCATCTACAGTGACACCGGTCATCACCCTGACTCACCTCCAGGTCTACATCTACAGTGACACTGGTCATCATCCTGACTCACCTCCAGGTCCCCATCTACAGTGACACTGGTCATCACCCTGACTCACCTCCAGGTCTGCATCTACAGTGACACTGGTCATCATCCTGACTCACCTCCAGGTCTGCATCTACAGTGACATTGGTCATCACCCTGACTCTGACTCACCTCCAGGTCCCCATCAACGGTGATGCTGGTGGACAGGTCACCCTGACCCGTCTGCAGCTCCCGAGACTTCAGGTCTGTCAGCTCCTCATAACGCTGCTGCAGCTCCCTCTAGGTGCAGAAACAGTCAAAATTTTGACAAATAGTTCACCTCAATCATCAATCTCTATATTTATATCTTCAATGAGAATTGGTGGTTGGTTTGTTGTTTAACGCCACACTCAGCAATATTCCAGCTATATGACGACGGTCTGTAAATAATCGAGTCTGGACCAGACAATCCAGTGATTAATATCATGAGCATCGATACACGCAATTGGGATTGATGACATGCATCAACCAAGTCAGCGAGCCTGACCACCCGATCCCGTAAGTCGCCTTTTACGGCAATGAGAATTAATCAGAGAGGTTAGTTTTACGAACCTGGAAACATAATCAGGATAAATCTGGCACCCCTAAGGGACAAACTCTGCACCCCTAAATCTGTGAAGTAAGGTGCTGGGCCACCTTCCCTTCCCCCATCAATAATCAGTGCTCTCACATCAATTATCAACCCCTATTTTGGTGAATGAGTGAGTGTGGTTTTACGCCGCTTTTAGCAATATTCCACCAATATCACGGCGGGGGACACCATAATTGGGCCTCACACATTGTACCCATGTCGGGAATCGAACCCGGGTCTTCGGTGTGACGAGCGAACGCTTTAACCACTAGGCTACCCGACTCATTTAAATGTTACACCAAACACTAATTATTAGTGAAATTGAGTAGTGAAAACCATCCATTGCGTCATACTTGACACTGCCAACAGCAAATTGATAGTATGCAAGGTATTTGGCCATCCTGTCTATGAAAAACATGGCTTATGCACCACAGAAAAGAGCACATGCAAGTATCGTGATATGTATCGGATCGTGAACAAGGTATTGTGATATGGATCAGATCACATAGTTGGTGTAGCATCCCACCCCTAGATCACATGGTTGCTGACTAACTGGATCGACATAAAGACTGCATTCTTTCCCACAGCTACTTGTGACTCCTATATTTATTGTACTGAAATTTAGGCTTAAAAAAATAAAAGAATTGGTTCTCAGGCAATGGCTTTTGGAAATATAGTGCCGGGGGGCAGGCGGGTGTGTGGGTGTTTTTTAAAATAGTAAGAAAATTTGGGGTGGGGGTGGGGGGAAAGTTCAAGCTAGTATGTAACCAAATAAACAGTTGTGTAAAATCGACCTGGGAAAGGGCCTCCCTACAAAATGTATTCCTTGATGAGTAAAATACTGGAATATAGTATTTGACTACGATTGAACTTGGAATATTTAAGGATTTAAGAAATAGAAAAAAATGGAAATAAGAACGAAACGTGCGGCAAACTTGATAATGATGCGGGCGGTGCCTGAGAAACAAGTCTATTACTTTTTATAGCCTTAGCATTTGACTGTGACCTTCTCCTCGGTCCCTACCTTCTCCTGTTCCATGAGGTCCTGCTGCTGCCGGCTGTTCCGCAGGGCCTCAGTGAGGGTGTTTTGGTGTTCCCCCATGAATGCCTTGTAGTCTCTCTCACACTGGTCCGCCACCTCCTTCATGGCCTGGCGTCGCTCCGCATCCTTCTGGCTGTTGAGCGTCTGCCTCTCCTGGAGCCAGGCAGACTCCTTCTCCTTCAGCTCAGTGACCAGGCGTGTCTTCTCCAGCGTCAGCGTCTCCACCTCCTGGTCAGAGGGTAGATACATATTAGGAAGATCCGTGTAGAATAGGTCTTCAGCAACCCATTCTTGCCATAAAAGGTGACTATGCTTGTCGTAAAAGGCGACTAGCGGGATCGGTTTGTCAGGCTCGCTGACTTGGTTGATGCATGTCATCATATTCCAGTTGTGTGGATCGATGCTCATGATGTCAATCACTGGATTGTCTGGTCCAGACTCGATTATTTATAGACCGCCGTCATATAGCTGGAATATTGCTGAGTGCGGCGTTAAGAAACAAACAAACAAACAAATCATTTCCCATGATACGTATTGCAATATTCCCTTTGAAACAGATTGACATAACAATGGAAACTCGGAAGTGATTTTTCTCTGGGCAGACACTCTATCCACTAGAGAGGCTTTCTATTGACTACACCACGGAGGTGGTCTCCAGACAGACACTCTATCCACTACACCACGGAGGTGGTCTCCAGACAGACGCTCTATCCACTACACCACGGAGGCGGTCTCCGGACAGACGCACTATCCACTACACCACGGAGACGGTCTCCGGAGAGGCTTTCTATCGACTACACCACGGAGGTGGTCTACAGACAGACGCACTATCCACTACACCATGGAGGTGGTCTCCAGGTAGCAGGTAAAATTTGTACATACCTGCTCCAAGATTGACCTGGTGACCTCTGCTGCTGATTGGCCGGCTGCAAGTGTTGCATGCTGGGACAGGTGTTTCTTCTCCCATTCCTGTCTGGCATCCTCGACAGCCCGGTTCATCTGCAAACAATACTTTTCTAAATCAAACCAATCTTTAGATTGACGCTTCGAAGGTTCCACTTTGTAACACCCAGCCAGCTCCTAGGACGTGCACCTGCTAGCAACATATTCTGCCTTAAAACCCCAACATGGGATGGGGTTGGGGAATGTTCCTGGGAAATGTTCTTGACATTCTTGGGGAATGTTTGATGCTGCTTTGAACTGTTTGTTTTCCACAGTACGTTAGTTTCTGTGTGGAATGGAAATTAACTAGAAAACCAAACAAGCCCACAGGGTGAGAGGACTTGTTTCTGCTAGCCCTGCAAAAGGTTACTACCGTATTCGACGTAATAAGCGCCCAGGGCGCTCTAAAAATTAGAAATAATGGGCTCTTATTAGAATATTATTTTGGTGGAAAAAAAAACAGAGTTGAAAGATAAATTTTTGTGGTTTATGCTGACAGCCTGAAATGTTTATGTAAGACAGATATATTTTTCCAGAATTTAATTGCCTATAATTAAGGGTGCATATAACACACGAGTGCGTATTATACGCGAATAAATAAGTCTTGCGTACATTGATCAATCGGAAGGGGTGCTAATTGGGATTGTTCACTAGCCAAAATATTAGCAAATATGGCCGTGGGCGCTTATTACGTCGAATACGGTAGTCCTTATAAGTTAAGAGTTTCAAATTTCTAGCTTTAAAGACTGGTAAAGTTGTGCCAAAGATCAAGCATGGCAGTTGGACACGGGACAATTTACAGGCCCAACAGGCTAGCAGAATTATTATTTTATTAGCCCAAGGTAATTTTAACTAGCCTCAGGCCTTCGGGTGAGCATTAATAATTTCTGTCCCTGCCATGGCATGTTAGCATAATGTGGGGGGAAAGCCTGCAGGTCTTACGTGTTTGAAACTTTGGTGAAACCAAATACCATCGGTATGGCGCTGACAAACCTACAATCAAGACGAACCGGGATTCTAACTTATGTTCTGGTAGTCTAAGGGATGCAACTCTGCCCCAACCAAGTCCAACTATCAGTGAGTGAGTGAGTGAGTGAGTGAGTTTGGTTTAATGCCGCTTTTAACAGTATTCCAGTTATATCACGGTGTGTCAGCTTAATGTGGGAGGAAAACACAAAGTGATGCAGGTCTCATATGTTTACCACTTCAGTGAAACCCACGAGCACGGGTATGGTGCTGACAAACCTAGAAACTTCATCGGGGCGAACCGGGATTCGAACCCACAATCACAGGTTTCAAAAGGGACGTCACAAGGGACGCAACTCTGCACAGCGACTGGGCCTTCCGTGCTCCCCCCCACTACCATCAGGATTAAAGATTATCCTGAGGATGATTCTAGAGTACCTGCTGCCACCCACCTCCTGACGAAGTCGTCCTCCGATCTCATCCTCCAATACTTCCTTCATCTTCTTCTTCTCTTCTTCCTCCTGACGGCGCCACTCTGTCTCCGTCGCCTTCACGGTCGTCTCCACCTCTGCCAACACCCGTGCCTCCATCTCTTTCCTCCAGCGCTCTCTCTCAACCTATAAACAGCGAGTTAGTAAGTATTGCAGTTGATCTCGATCCACCCACAAACATTCAGTGAATATTGCAGTTGATCACGCTCCATCTACATTCATTCAGAGAGTATTGCAGTTTATCTCGCTCCTTCTACAAACATCCAGTGAGGATTGCATTTTATCTCGCTCCACCCACAAACATTCAGTGAATATTGCAGTTGATCACACTCCATCTACAATCATTCAGAGAGTATTGCAGTTTATCTCGCTCCTTCTACAAACATCCAGTGAGTATTGCAGTTTATCTCGCTCCACCTACAAACATCCAGTGAGTATTGCAGTTTATCTCGCTCCACCCACAAACATCCAGTGAGTATTGCAGTTTATCTCGCTCCACCCACAAACATCCAGTGAGTATTGCAGTTTATCTCGCTCCACCTACAAACATCCAGTGAGTATTGCAGTTTATCTCGCTCCACCTACAAACATCCAGTGAGTATTGCAGTTTATCTCGCTCCACCCACAAACATCCAGTGAGTATTGCAGTTTATCTCGCTCCACCCACAAACATCCAGTGAGTATTGCAGTTTATCTCGCTCCACCCACAAACATCCAGTGAGTATTGCAGTTTATCTCGCTCCACCCACAAACATTCAGTGAGTATTGCAGTTTATCTCGCTCCACCCACAAACATCCAGTGAGTATTGCAGTTTATCTCGCTCCACCTACAAACATCCAGTGAGTATTGCAGTTTATCTCGCTCCACCCACAAACATCCAGTGAGTCTTGCAGTTTATCTCGCTCCACCCACAAACATCCAGTGAGTATTGCAGTTTATCTCGCTCCACCTACAAACATTCAGTGAGTATTGCAGTTTATCTCGCTCCACCTACAAACATCCAGTGAGTATTGCAGTTTATCTCGCTCCACCCACAAACATCCAGTGAGTATTGCAGTTTATCTCGCTCCACCTACAAACATCCAGTGAGTATTGCAGTTTATGTCGCTCCACCCACAAACATCCAGTGAGTATTGCAGTTTATCTCGCTCCACCTACAAACATCCAGTGAGTATTGCAGTTTATCTCGCTCCACCTACAAACATCCAGTGAGTATTGCAGTTTATCTCGCTCCACCTACAAACATCCAGTGAGTATTGCAGTTTATCTCGCTCCACCTACAAACATCCAGTGAGTATTGCAGTTTATGTCGCTCCACCCACAAACATCCAGTGAGTATTGCAGTTTATCTCGCTCCACCTACAAACATCCAGTGAGTATTGCAGTTTATCTCGCTCCACCTACAAACATCCAGTGAGTATTGCAGTTTATCTCGCTCCACCCACAAACATCCAGTGAGTATTGCAGTTTATCTCGCTCCACCCACAAACATCCAGTGAGTATTGCAGTTTATCTCGCTCCACCCACAAACATCCAGTGAGTATTGCAGTTTATCTCGCTCCACCCACAAACATTCAGTGAGTATTGCAGTTTATCTCGCTCCACCCACAAACATTCAGTGAGTATTGCAGTTTATCTCGCTCCACCCACAAACATCCAGTGAGTATTGCAGTTTATCTCGCTCCACCTACAAACATCCAGTGAGTATTGCAGTTTATCTCGCTCCACCTACAAACATCCAGTGAGTATTGCAGTTTATCTCGCTCCACCTACAAACATTCAGTGAGTATTGCAGTTTATCTCGCTCCACCTACAAACATCCAGTGAGTATTGCAGTTTATCTCGCTCCACCCACAAACATCCAGTGAGTATTGCAGTTTATCTCGCTCCACCTACAAACATCCAGTGAGTATTGCAGTTTATCTCGCTCCACCTACAAACATCCAGTGAGTATTGCAGTTTATCTCGCTCCACCCACAAACATCCAGTGAGTATTGCAGTTTATCTCGCTCCACCTACAAACATCCAGTGAGTATTGCAGTTTATCTCGCTCCACCTACAAACATCCAGTGAGTATTGCAGTTTATGTCGCTCCACCCACAAACATCCAGTGAGTATTGCAGTTTATCTCGCTCCACCTACAAACATCCAGTGAGTATTGCAGTTTATCTCGCTCCACCCACAAACATCCAGTGAGTATTGCAGTTTATCTCGCTCCACCCACAAACACTACCTGAGTAGTGCAGTTTATCTCGCTCCACCCACAAACACTACCTGAGTAGTGCAGTAGTGCAGTATATACTTAAACATAGGCCTAAGATAGTCCTAGCGCTAAGATCAGTTTGTGCAAGTGGGCCCTGTACCTGAACAAAGCTCACATGATTTGATCCACTTTGTGAAGTAAGACCCAAAATATGAGTGAGTGAGTGAGTATGGTTTTACGCCGCTTTTAGCAATATTCCAGCAATATCACGGCGGGGGACACCAGAAATGGGCTTCACACATTGTACCCATGTCGGGAATCGAACCCGGGTCTTCGGCGTGACGAGCCAACGCTTTAACCACTAGGCTACCCGACCGCCCCTCCCAAAATATGACAATATTCTTGATAATGGATGAGATCATTCTAACTGAGCACCTCCATTTTGTTTAAAGGAATCAGATATCAGAGGTGGAATCTGATTGGTTATAGGAGAGACACAGCAGGGACATAACTGGTAACTTTTTACAGTCAGTTAACACCCTTGCCTTGGGAAGATGAGAATTGAAGGCTTTGGGGCAGGCCACATGCCTCACGGACTATTTTGCGTTCAGGTAAGCAGAAGAGACACAATGCAATAGTGTGAGACAGGATAAGTACAAATGTTTGTAATTGACTGAAGAACACTCAGGAATTACTGATGAAAATCACACAGCGAGACATCAACTGAACCACAATAAGAAAGATCACACCATACCCAAGTTCACTTTCATTAGAATATCCAAATACATTTTCAAACCACTTCATACCAATATCAAGGTACATTTTCATTTTATACTGTCATCCACATACCAAGTACTCCCTAAACAGTTTCATAGCAACATCCAGATATATTTTCAAACCATTTCATAGCAACAGCCAGATACATTTTCAAACCATTTCATACCAATATCAAAGTACATTTTCGTTTCAATCATACCATCATCCAAATACCAAGAATCCCAAACAGTTTCATACCAACATCCAAACACATTTTCAAACCATTTCATACCAATATTAAAGTGTATTTTCATTTCATACCATCATCCACATACCAAGAACCTTCCATAGTTTCATACCAACGTCCCGATCCATTGTTACTTCTCACCTCCAGTCTCTTGGTCACCTCTTCCTCCACTAAATTCTTCTTCTCCACTTCAGACAAACCCTGCTTCTGAGCACGCTCCATGACCCGATTGACCTCCAGTTGCAACTTCCTGTCCGCCTCCAGCTGCCATTTTTGTTTTTCAGCCTGAAGGCGATTCTGAAAAGCTGGATCCATCGATTCTCTTCCAGATCGTTCAGTCCTCCACTTCTGCTGAGCGCTTTCCACTGCATGTTTTATATCCACCTCATGCAGTGCGTCTGCTTCCACCTGCCATAATGTTTTCTCTGTCGTAAGTCTTTCTTTCACTAGTTTTTCAACCATATCCTTGTGCTGTGCAGCAGCACTTTGCTCCCAGTCTTCTTTGGCCTTCTCCACCGCTGCTGTCACGGTTTCTTCAAGCTTCTGCTCTGATTCACTTTTCCATTTGGACTTGGCAGATTCTAGCAGATCCTACAATCATTAAAGTAAGTGTTTGCTTGTTTGTAATTTAACGCTAGCAATATTTCAGCATTATGACAGCAGTCTGTAAATAACTGAGTCTGGACCAGGAAATCCAGTGATTGACATTATGAGCATTAATCTACGCTATTGGAATACGATGATATGCATCAACTGAGTCATCGAGGTCTGACCACCTGATCCTGTTAGTCGCCTTTTATGACAAGTAGGGGTTGCTGAAGACCAATTCTAACCCGGATCTTCACAGGTAGGGACCGCCTCCCTGGTCTAGTGGTAGAGCATCCGCCCGGAGAGCGGAAGGTCCAGGGTTCCATCCCCGGCCGTGTCATACCTAAAAGACGTTAAAGATGGTACTTGTTGTTACCCTGTCTGGTGCTCGGCATTAGGGGCTTAAACAAGGACTGGTCGGCTCGGAGTCAGTATACTGTGTCTGAGTGGGGTATTCATGTTAAACTGCGGCATGGTATCTCAGTGAGCTAGCACTATAAATCGGCATCAGTCCGGACTAGTACAAGCGGCCACACAAACACACACACGTACATGCACGTCGCTATATAAGTGCAATAATCTTGGACGCGACGTTAAACCCCATTTCACCTCACCTCACAGGCAGGTTGTTGGTTTGTGCTGCCGAGAAGGAACCCACCTCATATTGGGAACTGCCATCTTCTGTCTTCAGCCACTGAGCCTTGGCATGGTCGATGGCAGTGTTCACTGCCTCTTCTAGTCTCTGGTTGGCTAACTGTTGCCATGTGACCTTTTCAGTCTGCATACGTTGCTGTATTTCCGACTCAAATAGAATCTTCCTTTCAGCCATCCAGGTAACTTTTGCTAAAAATATAAAATCTCATTTAGTGACTTGGTGTGTTTGAACAGTATTATAAGTTTAAGCTTGAAGAGAGAGAAAAGCCCAAAGTTATGCAGGTCTTAGTCGGTAACCACTTCGGTGAAATGGCGCAGACAAACCTAAAAACACAATCAGGGATTTGAACCTGTATGCAGGATAGAAACTGTAGATATGCAAGACTCTGGACAATCAGTGACGGTGTCCTGGTCATTTGGTTAGTGACCCGTGAAGATCCGGATTAGAATAGGTCTTCAGCAACCCATGCTTGTTGTAAGATGCGTATAACGGGTTCGGGTGGTCAGGTGGTTGATGCATGTCATCATATCCCAATCACGTAGATCGATGCTCATGATGTCAATCACTGGATTGTGTGGTCCAGACTCGATTATTTACAGACCGCCGTCATATAGCTGGAATATTGCTGAGTGCGCTGTACACAACAAACAGATAAACAGAACATTTGTAGAGCTCACCTTGGTGAATCTTCTCCTGAAGCATGTCTTCCATTGCTGCCTCATGCTTGAGGGCCATCTCCTTCATCACTGCCTGCCTCACTTCCTGCCGCACATGCTCAGTGTCCTGCTCCCCCAGCCAATCAACGCGAGCCTTCGCAAGCTGTCAAAACAAGGTCACAAATATTCTGCGTTTGAAACCATGAAAAGCAAAGGGTTCTTCTCATGAACCAAATAATAAATAATTAAACATCAAAGTGAAATATTTAGGTGTGTCCCTATAGCCGCAATCAATGGACACCAGGGGCCTCAATCATTTCGAACATTGTGGATAAACAAAATTCTATATTTCTAAATTGTTAATCACAAACAACCGTTGACAACACAGGGGAGTTGTTTGTTGTTTGATGCCACACTCAGCTATATTCCAGCTATATGATGGAGGCCTGTAAATAATGGCGTCTGGACCAGAAGATCCAGGTCAGAATCGGTCTTCAGCAACCCATGCTTGGTGTAAAAGGCGACTATGCTTGTTGTAAGAGGCGACTACTAGGATCGGGTGGTCAGGCTCGTTGACTTGGTTGATGCATGTCATCTTATCCCAATTGCGTAGATTGATACTCGTGATGTCAATCACTGGATTTTGTGGTCAAGACTCGATTATTTACAGACTGCCATCATATAGCTGGAATATTGCAGAGTGAGGCGTTAAACAACAAACAAACAAACAAAGTAGCCATCCATGTCATAGTGGTACAGTGACATGCAATTAACAAAATCACTGCACCTGACCGCCGATCCATGAAGTGGTTTAGCAAGACCCAGCTTACTCACTCGGATTCCCATGGGAGAAGTGAAGTCTGCTTCTGAAGTCCAAAATTCCTTATGCATGAGATCCACACCTACCTCGGCTTCTAGCCTCTGTTTGATCTCTTCCTCTTGGGTGACCTTGACCTCGTCCATGATCTGAGCACGGAGCTCTCCACGGTTGACGTCCAGTTGTTCTGTCTGTCTCTCCATCTCATCCTGATTCTCCCTCTCCAGCTCATCCCGCAACTACAACACAACGGGCAACTACAACGAATGGGGCAACATCATAGACCGAGGCACCTGGAATGCAGCAGCGATCACTAGCAATACTGTAAATTATGAGCACACTATTCCTGATGTGCTGTATCATGTCAATCCGACAATACTCTGAAGCATCCTGATTCTCAAGATTTCTGTATCAATTTCAGTAGCACTGATAATTATAACTGCAGACTATTGTTGTTTGCCATCCATAATGGAAGCAGTTTAAGAAACCCCACTTCTGGCTGGCATAATAGCTGTCCTTTTAGGGTCCCTAGATCTAAATACTAAGGCAGCAAAGTTCAAGGACTGCGGATCTTCTTAATTTTGAAAACTGACTCACAATCTTCATTTCTTCCTCTCTCTTGTCCTGAAACTGCCTGGTGAGGACGTCCTCCAGCTCCGTCCTCTCCTCGCTGGTCCTCACATACAGGTCCTTCACCTTGTCCAATTCCTGCTGGGCCGCAATCAGGTCCGACCTGCACAAAAGACAACATCATCTCTAGGACCTGCACACAACACAACACAACATCATCTCTAGGACCTGCACACAACACAGACATCATCTCTAGGACCTGCACACAACATCATCTCTAGGACCTGCACACAACACCATCTCTAGGACCTGCACACAACACAACATCATCTCTAGAACCTGCACACAACACAGACATCATCTCTAGAACCTGCACACAACATCATCTCTAGGACCTGCACATAACACAGACAACATCTCTAGGACCTGCAGACAACACAACATCATCTCTAGGACCTGCACACAACACCATCTCTAGGACCTGCACACAACACAACATCATCTCTAGGACCTGCACACAATATCATCTCTAGGACCTGCACACAACATCATCTCTAGGACCTGCACACAACACAACATCATCTCTAGGACCTGCACACAACACAACATCATCTCTAGGACCTGCTCACAACACAACATCATCTCTAGGACATGCACGCAACATCATCTCTAGGACCTGCACACAACATCATCTCTAGGACCTGCACACAACATCATCTCTAGGACCTGCACACAACACAACATCATCTCTAGGACCTGCACACAACACAACATCATCTCTAGGACCTGCACACAACACAACATCATCTCTAGGACCTGCACGCAACATCATCTCTAGGACCTGCACGCAACATCATCTCTAGGACCTGCACACAACACAACATCATCTCTAGGACCTGCACACAACACAACACAACATCATCTCTAGAACCTGCACACAACACAGACATCATCTCTAGGACCTGCACACAACACAACATCATCTCTAGAACCTGCACACAACACAGACATCATCTCTAGAACCTGCACACAACACAACACAACATCATCTCTAGGACCTGCACACAACACAACATCATCTCTAGGACCTGCACACAACATGATCTCTAGGACCTGCACACAACACAACATCATCTCTAGGACCTGCACACAACACAACATCATCTCTAGAACCTGCACACAACACCACACAACATTATCTCCAGGACCTGCACACAACACAACATCATCTCTAGGACCTGCACACAACACAACATCATCTCTAGGACCTGCACACAACATCATCTCTAGGACCTGCACACAACACAACATCATCTCTAGGACCTGCACATAACACAACATCATCTCTAGGACCTGCACACAACATCATCTCTAGGACCTGAACACAACACAACATCATCTCTAGGACCTGCACACAACATCATCTCTAGGACCTGCACACAACACAACATCATCTCTAGGACCTGCACATAAGACAACATCATCTCTAGGACCTGCACACAACACAACATCATCTCTAGGACCTGCACACAACACAACATCATCTCTAGGACCTGAACACAACACAACATCATCTCTAGGACCTGCACACAACATCATCTCTAGGACCTGCCCACAACATCATCTCCAGGACCAGCACACAACACAACATCATCTCTAGGACCTGCACATAACACAACATCATCTCTAGGACCTGCACACAACATCATCTCTAGGACCTGCACGCAACATCATCTCTAGGACCAGCACACAACACAACATCATCTCTAGGACCTGCACACAACACAACATCATCTCTAGGACCTGCACACAACATCATCTCTAGGACCTGCACACAACACAACATCATCTCTAGGACCTGCACACAACATCATCTCTAGGACCTGCCCACAACACAAAATCATCTCTAGGACCTGCACACAACACAACATCATCTCTAGGACCTGCACACAACAACACAATCATCTCTAGGACCTGCCCACAACAAAACATCATCTCTAGGACCTGCACACGACACAACATCATCTCTAGGACCTGCACACAACATCATCTCCAGGACCAGCACACAACACAACATCATCTCTAGGACCTGCACACAACACAACACCATCTCTTGGACCTGCACACAACACCATCTCTAGGAACTGCACACAACATCATCTCTAGGACCTGTACACAACACAACATCATCTCTGGGACCTGCCCACAACACTACATCATCTCTAGGACCTGCCCACAACACAACATCATCTCTAGGACCTGCTCACAACACAGACATCATCACCCGGGCCTGTTCACAACACAACATCATCACTAGGACCTGCACACAGCACAATATCATCTCTATGACCTGTACACAACATCATCTCTAGGACCTGCACACAACATCATCTCTAGGACCTGCTCACAACACAGACATCATCACTAGGACCTGCTCACAACACAACATCATCACTAGGACCTGCTCACAGCACAACATCATCTCCAGGACCTGCTCACAACACAGACATCATCACTAGGACCTGCACACAGCACAACATCATCTCCAAGACCTGCACACAACATCATCTCCAGGACCTGCTCACAACACACACATCATCTCTAGGACCTGCTCACAGCACAACATCATCTCTAGGACCTGCACGCAACATCATCTCTAGGACCTGCTCACAACACACATATCATCTCTAGGACCTGCTCACAGCACAACATCATCTCTAGGACCTGCACACAACATCACATCCAGGACCTGCACGCAACATCATCTCTAGGACCTGCCCACAACACAACATCATCTCTAGGACCTGCACACAACACAACATCATCTCTAGGACCTGCTCACAGCACAACATCATCTCTAGGACCTGCACACAACATCACATCCAGGACCTGCTCACAACATCATCTCTAGGACCTGCTCACAACACACACATCATCTCTAGGACCTGCTCACAGCACAACATCATATCTAGGACCTGCACACAACATCACATCCAGGACCTGCACACAACATCATCTCTAGGACCTGCTCACAACACAACACATCATCTCTAGGACCTGCTCACAACACAACATCATCTCTAGGACCTGCACACAACATCACATCCAGGACCTGCACACAACATCATCTCTAGGACCTGCACACAATATCATCTCTAGGACCTGCACACAGCACAACATCATCTCTAGGACCTGCACACAACATCACATCCAGGACCTGCACACAACATCATCTCTAGGACCTGCTCACAACACACACATCATCTCTAGGACCTGCTCACAACACAACATCATCTCTAGGACCTGCACACAACATCACATCTTCTCTAGAACCTGCACACAACACAACATCATCTCTAGGACCTGCACACAACATCACATCCAGGACCTGCACACAACATCATCTCTAGGACCTGCCCACAACACAACATCACATCCAGGACCTGCACACAACATCATCTCTAGGACCTGCACAGAGCACAACATCATCTCTAGGACCTGCACACAGCACAACATCATCTCTAGGACCTGCACACAACATCATCTCTAGGACCTGCACACAACACAACATCATCTCTAGGACCTGCACACAACATCACATCCAGGACCTGCACACAACATCATCTCTAGGACCTGCACACAGCACAACATCATCTCTAGGACCTGCACACAACATCACATCCAGGACCTGCACACAACATCATCTCTAGGACCTGCTCACAACACACACATCATCTCTAGGACCTGCTCACAACACAACATCATCTCTAGGACCTGCACACAACATCATCTCTAGGACCTGCACACAGCACAACATCATCTCTAGGACCTGCCCACAACACAACATCATCTCTAGGACCTGCACACAACACAACATCATCTCTAGGACCTGCACGCAACACACACATCATCTCTAGGACCTGCTCACAACACACACATCATCTCTAGGACCTGCTCACAACACACACATCATCTCTAGGACCTGCACACAACATCATCTCTAGGACCTGCACACAGCACAACATCATCTCTAGGACCTGCACGCAACACAACATCATCTCTAGGACCTGCACGCAACATCATCTCCAGGAACTGTACATCACTAGGAAGTATTCAAAATATTATATAGATATCAGTGACAGCCTTGTCTATCCCCAGTCACTGCTGAGTGATCACAAACGTATACCTTAATACAAATATGTTAGCTCTGGACAGATGATTTTACCACCCTACCTGATCTTCGCTATTTCCGTCTCATATTTGGTGACGATTTGCGCTCTCTCGATGCTGAACTTGGTCTCCAACTCCTGTCTCAACATGTCCCGGGCGTCCTCGTGTACCTGCTCACACGTCCGCTGACACCTGCAACAACACATGAGTGAGTTAGTGAGTGGTTGAGTGAGTGAGTGAGTGAGTGAGTGAGTGAGTGAGTGAGTGAGTGAGTGAGTGAGTGAGTAGGTTTGGGTGAGTGACTTGAAGCAACAACAAGTGAGGGAATGGGTGGGTGGGTGTTTTCTGGTGAGTGAGTGAGTGAGTGAGTGAGTAGGTTTGGGTGAGTGACTTGAAGCAACAACAAGTGAGGGAATGGGTGGGTGGGTGTTTTCTGGTGAGTGAGTGAGTGAGTGAGTGAGTAGGTTTGGGTGAGTGACTTGAAGCAACAACAAGTGAGGGAATGGGTGGGTGGGTGTTTTCTGGTGAGTGAGTGAGTGAGTGAGTGAGTGAGTAGGTTTGGGTGAGTGACTTGAAGCAACAACAAGTGAGGGAATGGGTGGGTGGGTGTTTTCTGGTGAGTGAGTGAGTGAGTGAGTGAGTGAGTAGGTTTGGGTGAGTGACTTGAAGCAACAACAAGTGAGGGAATGGGTGGGTGGGTGTTTTCTGGTGAGTGAGTGAGTGAGTGAGTGAGTGAGTAGGTTTGGGTGAGTGACTTGAAGCAACAACAAGTGAGGGAATGGGTGGGTGGGTGTTTTCTGGTGAGTGAGTGAGTGAGTGAGTGAGTAGGTTTGGGTGAGTGACTTGAAGCAACAACAAGTGAGGGAATGGGTGGGTGGGTATTTTCTGGTGAGTGAGTGAGTGAGTGAGTGAGTAGGTTTGAGTGAGTAGGTTTGGGTGAGTGACTTGAAGCAACAAGTGAGGGAATGGGTGGGTGGGTGTTTCCTGGTGAGTGAGTGAGTGAGTGAGTGAGTAGGTTTGGGTGAGTGACTTGAAGCAACAACAAGTGAGGGAATGGGTGGGTGGGTGTTTTCTGGTGAGTGAGTGAGTGAGTGAGTGAGTGAGTGAGTGAGTGAGTGAGTGAGTAGGTTTGGGTGAGTGACTTGAAGCAACAACAAGTGAGGGAATGGGTGGGTGGGTGTTTTCTGGTGAGTGAGTGAGTGGGTGAGTGAGTGAGTAGGTTTGGGTGAGTGACTTGAAGCAACAACAAGTGAGGGAATGGGTGGGTGGGTGTTTTCTGGTGAGTGAGTGAGTGGGTGAGTGACTTTTGTGAGTGGCCCAGGAGGGTGGGTGAGCAAGTGAGTGAGGTAGACAGCAAGTTCGTTTTTACATTGTCCAACTACACACTCATGCATTCATCCCTAAACTAGGGACATCATCTGCTTGAAAGCAGTCAAGATGTTGATTCCACTGTGTCCCACCTCTCCAAGGCATCTCGCTTGTCATGGTCGTAGTCCCGGACCATCCGAGATATCTGATTGGTCAGCTCCTGGTTGATCTCCGTCAATCTCTCATCATTAGCGCCCACTTCCTCCAGCCTCTTTTTCAACTCCTGAAACACAAGTTATCTCCCTTGAACAATAAGCAAGTGGACATTTTGAGGGTCGTATAAATTAGGACCCATTCAAGAAAATTTCTTTTCACAATATTTGTAATCTGCAATTTAGCTTAACACATATACATCACAGACACAAACGATGAATCATGAAAGATGTGTTTCAAATTACATTCAAAAGAAAATTATATTGAATGTTCACATTTTAGCAACAGATTTGATATAGATATTGCCTGAAGAACTTAAAACTGACTTTTGAGATAAGACTTCTGTAATGTTTATTTGATACTTGTTTGTTGTTTGTTTGTTTGTTTGGTGTTTAACGCCGCACTCAGCAATATTCCAGCTATATAATGGCTGCCTGTAAATAATCAAGTCTGGACCAGACATTCTAGTGATTGACATCATGAGCATCAATTAACAAAGCTGGGATACAAAATGACATGCATCATCAACCAAGTCAGTGAGCCTGACCACCTGATCCCCATAGTCACCAATTACAACAAGCAAAGGCGCTTATTACGGCAAGCATGGATTGTTGAAGACCTATTCTACCCCGGGGCCTTCACGAGTTTGAAGTGATAGTCACTTCAGTTATTTCATCACATGATGTTAGATTTGGACACATTTAACATTGAAAGTGACAAGTGGCAGATCAAAATAATCTTGCAAGACTGACAACACAGACCTAGCACACAGGCCAACACATTCGTCCAATGGGTGGTCACTATTTTGGCCAGGTGGAGTACATTGCCCAGCTACATCTACGGGGAACAACTCAAGAGACACTGCCCTATGCTTGTCGTAAGAGGCGACTAACGGGATCGGGGGGTCAGGCTCACTGACTTGGTTGATGCTTGTCATCGTATCCCAATTGGATCAATGCATCGTATCCCAATTGGATCGATGCTCATGATGTCAATCACTGGATTGTGTGGTCCAAACTCGATTATTTACAGACCACCATCATATAGCTAGAATATTGCTGAGTGCGGCATTAAACAAAAAACAAACAAACAGTGCTACCACAGACGACATACCTCGTTATCTTCCAATATGGCTGTCTTCTCCCGGGCCAGATTCTCAATATCTTTACGCAGCCTCGCTTCCACGGCACTCATCTTCTGGCCTGGCTGCAGCAGCTCCTCAAAGTCATGCAGCTTCATCTGTCACCAACAACAGCAACTGGTCATGAGTGGGGGAGTGAGTTGGGTTTAAAGCCGCTTTTAACAGTATTCCAGTTATATTGCGGCATGTCAGCTTTTTGTTGGAGGAAAGCCCGAAGTGATGCAGGTCACAGACGTTTACCTCTTCCGTGAAACCCATGAGCACGGGTATGGTGCTGACAAACCTAGAAACATAATCGGGGCGAACCGGGTTTTGAACCCACAAGACAAGATTTCTGACGTGCCCATGGGACGCAACCCTGCACAGCGAATTGTTGCACCTTAGATGACTGGGCCACCCGTGTCCCCGCAACTAGTCATGAACCTATCGCCAGTTCAACACTCCAACAACAACGACTCATTGTGTCTATCCATGGATACCCATACACACATATAAGTACATTCATTAATCTTATCTGTCATGTTTTCTACTAGCTGAATCAAGGTTCAGACAAACATGGTCTTCAAGGCCTTTTCAAGGCTTCCAGCTGTCATTCTCAAGGCTTTTCTAGTTGGGTTATTAGCCTTATGTCTGCCAATAATGTTTTCAATCCAGCAAACTAAATATTAGACCTAAAAAGCAGTATGAACATCAAAAAGTTTCAAATAAACAAAAATAAAAAAATAAATCTGTCATTAATTTTAATACTTATCTCACAAGGATATTTCATTTTGTACAAAAGGGAGGGGTTTTCACACTATTTTAGTGATTTTCAAGGCTTTTCATGGTTGAAACTAAATCAAGGCTTTTCATGGTTGAAACTAAATCAAGGCTTTTCAAGAGGGATCTATATTCATGGCCTTTTCAAGCATGTATGAATCTAGTGAAGATTAAAATCTATGATTGGCAATTGAACGGTATAGAAACTATGTTAAATAGGTTATTGGCAGTCACTGTAGTACGTGTAGGCAATCAATAGATCAATGTTTTCATATGCAAGGTTTTTGTGTGAAAAGGCATGTGAATTTTGGGGTATTGAATTGATTTAGATACCTAATTTTAATCTTATTTTGACCAATCAGAATCAAAGCCAGTGTGTTGGTACAATAACTGGTAGATTGATAAGTATCATAACATTGAACTAACAGACAAGCAAAGTGATGATTGAGGAATTCAAATCAAATTTGCTTTGGACTGCAAAAGAGCGCTTTAAAATGTTCCTTACTCAATGACTCTTTCCTTACCTTCTGTTCTCCTGTGAGTTTTTCCAGTTGAGAGTTATCTTCCCTGAGAGCCTTGACCTCCTTCTTGTACTCCCTCAGTTCCTCCTGCACCTTGCTCACCTGTGACCTCTTCTGTCTGTTGCTGGTCAAGCATCTCTCCAGCTCCACCTTCAGGCTGGTGATCAGCTCGCTGGACGACTGGCTCCCGTCAAACCTGCAACAAGTTTAGTGCCAGGTGACTATAATATGTTACCCTTTTTGATAGGACTTTCCTTATTTCCTCTTTTTTAAGTGTGTGTAAGTTTTGAAAATGCAACTGTTTCCCCATTTCATGCTCATTTGACCTACTTTGCTTGTGACCTTGGGGTGCTGAAATCAAGGGTTTTCCGAATGCCAAGGTCGGTCATGGAGTCGTCACCGAGGCCACTGCGTGTCTGGGTGGTGGAGTAGATGCCGAGGGTGGAGGCTGACTCGAACATGGACAGCTGTTCCTTCAACTCCTTCACCTCACTCTGCAGGGCAACAAAGAGGCAGTCAGAAGGGGTGTGGCAGGACAACATAGAGGCAGTCAGTCAGAGGGGGTGTGGCAGGGCAACATAGAGGCAGTCAGTCAGAGGGGGTGTGGCAGGACAACATAGAGGCAATCAGAGGGGGTGTGGCAGGGCAACATAGAGGCAATCAGAGGGGGTGTGGCAGGGCAACATAGAGGCAGTCAGAGGGGGTGTGGCAGGGCAACATAGAGGCAGTCAGTCAGAGGGGTGTGGCAGGGCAACATAGAGGCAGTCCGTCAGAGGGGTGCGGCAGGGCAACATAGAGGCAGTCAGAGGGTGTGTGGCAGGGCAACATAGAGGCAGTCAGAGGGTGTGTGGTAGGGCAACATAGAGGCAGTCAGAGGGTGTGTGGCAGGGCAACATAGAGGCAGTCAGAGGGTGTGTGGTAGGGCAACATAGAGGCAGTCAGAGGGTGTGTGGCAGGGCAACATAGAGGCAGTCAGAGGGTGTGTGGCAGGGCAACATAGAGGCAGTCAGTCAGAGCGGGTGTGGCAGGGCAACATAGAGGCAGTCAGTCAGAGGGGGTGTGGCAGGGCAACATAGAGGCAGTCAGTCAGAGGGGGTGTGGCAGGGCAACATAGAGGCAGTCAGTCAGAGGGGTGTGGCAGGGCAACATAGAGGCAGTCAGAGGGGGTGTGGGAGGGCCACATAGAGGCAGGCAGTCAGAGGGGGTGTGGCAGGGCAACATTGAGGCAGTCAGAGGAGGTGCGGCAGGGCAACATAGAGGCAGTCAGAGGGTGTGTGGCAGGGCAACATAGAGGCAGTCAGAGGGTGTGTGGTAGGGCAACATAGAGGCAGTCAGTCAGAGGGTGTGTGGTAGGGCAACATAGAAGCAGTCAGAGGGTGTGTGGCAGGGCAACATAGAGGCAGTCAGAGGGGTGTGGCAGGGCAACATAGTGGCAGTCAGAAGGGGTGCGGCAGGGCAACATAGAGGCAGTCAGAGGGATGTGGCAGGGCAACATAGAGGCAGTCAGTCAGAGGGTGTGTGGTAGGGCAACATAGAGGCAGTCAGTCAGAGGGGGTGTGGTAGGGCAACTTAGAGGAAGTCAGTCAGAGGGTGTGTGGCAGGGCAACATAGAGGCAGTCAGTCAGAGGGGTGTGGCAGGGCAACATAGAGGCAGTCAGAGGGGGTGTGGCAGGGCAACATAGAGGCAGTCAGTCAGAGGTAGTGTGGCAGGGCAACATAGAGGCAGTCAGTCAGAGGGGGTGTGGCAGGGCAACATAGAGGCAGTCAGAGGGGGTGTGGGAGGGCCACATAGAGGCAGTCAGTCAGAGGGGGTGTGGCAGGGCAACATAGAGGCAGTCAGAGGAGGTGCGGCAGGGCAACATAGAGGCAGTCAGAGGGTGTGTGGCAGGGCAACATAGAGGCAGTCAGAGGGTGTGTGGTAGGGCAACATAGAGGCAGTCAGTCAGAGGGTGTGTGGTAGGGCAACATAGAAGCAGTCAGAGGGTGTGTGGCAGGGCAACATAGAGGCAGTCAGAGGGGTGTGGCAGTCAGAAGGGGTGCGGCAGGGCAACATAGAGGCAGTCAGAGGGATGTGGCAGGGCAACATAGAGGCAGTCAGTCAGAGGGTGTGTTGTAGGGCAACATAGAGGCAGTCAGTCAGAGGGGGTGTGGTAGGGCAACATAGAGGAAGTCAGTCAGAGGGTGTGTGGCAGGGCAACATAGAGGCAGTCAGTCAGAGGGGTGTGGCAGGGCAACATAGAGGCAGTCAGAGGGGGTGTGGCAGGGCAACATAGAGGCAGTCAGAGGGTGTGTGGCAGGGCAACATAGAGGCAGTCAGTCAGAGGTGGTGTGGCAGGGCAACATAGAGGCAGTCAGTCAGAGGGGGTGTGGCAGGGCAACATAGAGGCAGTCAGAGGGGGTGTGGGAGGTCCACATAGAGGCAGTCAGTCAGAGGGGGTGTGGCAGGGCAACATAGAGGCAGTCAGAGGGGGTGTGGGAGGGCCACATAGAGGCAGGCATTCAGAGGGGGTGTGGCAGGGCAACATTGAGGCAGTCATGGAGGGTGATGGAGGCCTGAGTGGGAGGACGGTATGCTGTGGTGGGTAGAGGGTGATGGAGGCCAGAGTGGGAGGACGGTGTGCTGTGGTGGGTAGAGGGTGATGGAGGCCAGAGTGGGGGGACGGTGTGCTGTGGTGGGTAGAGGGTGATGGAGGCCAGAGTGGGAGGATGGTGTGCTGTGGTGGGTAGAGGGTGATGGAGGCCAGAGTGGGAGGATGGTGTGCTGTGGTGGGTAGAGGGTGATGGAGACCAGAGTGGGAGGATGGTGTGCTGTGGTGGGTAGAGGGTGATGGAGACCAGAGTGGGAGGATGGTGTGCTGTGGTGGGTAGAGGGTGATGGAGGCCAGAGTGGGGGGACGGTGTGCTGTGGTGGGTAGAGGGTGATGGAGACCAGAGTGGGGGGACGATGTGCTGTGGTGGGTAGAGGGTGATTGAGGCCTGAGTGGGAGGACGGTGTGCTGTGGTGGGTAGAGGGTGACGGAGGCCAGAGTGGGGGGGACGGTGTGCTGTGGTGGGTAGAGGGTGATGGAGGCCAGAGTGGGGGGACGGTGTGCTGTGGTGGGTAGAGGGTGATGGAGGCCAGAGTGGGGGGACGGTGTGCTGTGGTGGGTAGAGGGTGATGGAGGCCAGAGTGGGGGGACGGTGTGCTATGGTGGGTAGAGGGTGATTGAGGCCTGAGTGGGGGGACGGTGTGCTGTGGTGGGTAGAGGGTGATGGAGGCCAGAGTGGGGGGACGGTGTGCTGTGGTGGGTAGAGGGCGATGGAGGCCAGAGTGGGGGGACGGTGTGCTGTGGTGGGTAGAGGGTGATGGAGACCAGAGTGGGGGGACGATGTGCTGTGGTGGGTAGAGGGTGATTGAGGCCTGAGTGGGAGGACGGTGTGCTGTGGTGGGTAGAGGGTGACGGAGGCCAGAGTGGGGGGGACGGTGTGCTGTGGTGGGTAGAGGGTGATGGAGGCCAGAGTGGGGGGACGGTGTGCTGTGGTGGGTAGAGGGTGATGGAGGCCAGAGTGGGGGGACGGTGTGCTGTGGTGGGTAGAGGGTGATGGAGGCCAGAGTGGGGGGACGGTGTGCTATGGTGGGTAGAGGGTGATTGAGGCCTGAGTGGGGGGACGGTGTGCTGTGGTGGGTAGAGGGTGATGGAGGCCAGAGTGGGGGGACGGTGTGCTGTGGTGGGTAGAGGGCGATGGAGGCCAGAGTGGGAGGACGGTGTGCTGTGGTGGGTAGAGGGTGATGGAGACCAGAGTGGGAGGACGGTGTGCTGTGGTGGGTAGAGGGTGATGGAGGCCGGTGTGCTGTGGTGGGTAGAGGTAGGGTGAAAACAGTCAGAGGAGGCCTGAGGTGATGGAGGGAGGATGGTCAACCTTGATGGGAGCACAAGATGCTTGTACCTGAAGTGTGTCACACATTTCTGACGACATCTTCTTCGACGCCGTCATCTGCTTCAGTGATATCTTCAACTCGCTCACCTCCTGAGACGAGGCTGTTAAACAAAACATCGAATGAGCAGACCTCTTCATTGTCGTCAGCACATACAGAAACACGACAAAGTCTGCAGCTACATTCCCCTAAGAGAGCTACAATACATTCCCTCAGTATCAGCTTTCAATTGCAGAAAGGAAATAACTCCTTACATTCTCAACCTCGTTAAAATCAGATCCTAGTTATCACCACCACTAAACAAAGATCTGAAGACATCCCATTACTGGTCAGAATGACCTTTTGTCCGACCAATAAGTGCGTCTTTTACCAGAACGGGAAAGTGACTGTTAGAATGCATCTTGTAATCATGCCACCTTGAAATAAGATATTCTAAACGACAGTTACGGACCGTACGACTGATTCTGTCAAAATCATCACCCTTCTTCTGCATTTGAAACATTTGAAACATTTGAAAAAGAAGGCATAGCTTAGACATTCAAAAATATTCCATTGTTCAGTTTTCAAATTTTGACTGGAGAACTTTGTCAAAATATTTTTTGAAACTGTAATCTGGAATGGAAGTCACTAGTTTTAAAGCTTGTGAAAGCTACTTTCTGATTTGCTAATGTCAACCTTTTGTTAGTCATTTCATTGGTCAGTCAAAGTTGGTAAAAGGCCATTCTGACGTGACCTGTAAAGGGATGTCCTCTGATCTTGTGTAGCATAAGTGACCAATAAAATCTGATTTTAAAAAGATTGCTACATTCTATGCTAAGAAACTCCTCATGAAAAGGATCACTTCTCCAATAAATCACATCTTCACACAAAAGCATGTGGTCTGCCAGTTAAAGGGAGATAACTCTGTTTGGAGTGTGAGAGACAAAGATTTGGACAAAACTGAACAGTATGTTATTTGACATTCAAATTAATATATTACCTCTTATATGTCTATCAACTGCTATTCAAAATTCATGGTTTATTCATATGAAAGTATTGGGTGGTTCAGACTCGCTGACTTGGTTGATGCAGGTTGTATAGAGAGATGCTCATGATATCAATCATTGGATCGTTTGGTCCAGATTCGATTATTTACAGACCGCAGTCCTATAGCTGGAATATTGCTGAGTGCAGCGTTACACAACAAACAAACAAACAAACATTCTCAGTTCTCTTACTGCATTTTAGGTGCTAAAAAGTTCACCATCATTATAGCCTGAAAATTGGTGACAAACAAACAAACAAACAAACAAACCATATACAAGTACATGCAGAATGATCTTATCTACTATTTATGACTACTATTTTGCTTTCCAAGGGCACTTAGTGTTGAGCCGAGATAGATCCTGGAACAGTGTTGTGTGATGTGGACCTACCTGTTTCCAGCAAAGACTGGCATCGTTTCTGACTCTCCTCCAGGCTCTGAGTCAACCGGTTGATTGTCTCCGCTCGGGATATCTGAGACTTCTCACTGACTTGGGTGAGTTGACTCACTTGTTGACGCAGACAGGAGATGTCGATGTTCTGAAAAAACGACATAATATATTCTTATAAATAAATAAATGATTGACACAGCTATTTATTTTGATTTTGATTTTGACAGACCTTCTGTGGAAAAGCTGGAATAAATCTGTGAAACATAAACTAAAAATGTGTGGTCATAATTTAGAGTGAGTGAGTGCTGTTTTACGCCGCTTTCAGCAATATTCCAGCAATATCACGGCGGGGGACACCAGAAATGGGCTTCACACATTGTACCCATGTCGGGAATCGAACCCGGGTCTTCAGAGTGACGACCGAACGCTTTAACCACTAGGCTACCCAACAGCCCCCCATAATTTAGAACACGGCCTACCTTTTGGTTAATGGTCTCATTGGCGATGTCCAGTTTTTCCTTGAGGTCCAGGACTTCCGTGTCAAACTTCTGCTGCATGCTGCTGACGACCGCCTCGTGCTGGTTGCGGGCCCGGGCTAGACTGTCCGACTGCTGCAGGTTCGACAGCTCGTGGGTCAGGTTCTCAATGGTCGTCTCGGACGTCTGCAGTTTCTTCACATACTGAAAGCATGGACACACCTTGAGTGAGAGTGCAGTATTTACATGGGCTTTCGCCCAGCAACAAATGGGTACCCGGTAGGATGAGCTTGTAATGTGAACCTTCTGATGCCTGAAATGAAGTTGGTGAGGTGAGGTGAGGTGAAATGGGGTTTAACGTCGCGTCCAAGATTATTGCACTTATATAGCGACGTGCATGCACGTGAGTGTGTTTGTGTGGCTGCTTGTACTAGTCTGGACTGATGCCGATTTATAGTGCTAGCTCACTGAGATACCATGCCACAGTTTCACATGAATAGCCCACTGAGACACAGTATACTGACTCCGAGCAGGCCTTGTTTTAGCCCCTTAATGCCGAGCGCCAGACAGGGTAACAACAAGTACCATCTTTTAACGTCTTTTGGTATGACACGGACCTTCCGCTCTCCGGGCGGACGCTCTACCACTAGACCATGGAGGTGGTCCAAAATGAAATATATTCCCTGGGGAACTGAGAATGTTTGTTTGTGTTTGTTTGTTGTTTAACGCTGCAGCAATATTCCAGCTATATGACGGCGGTCTGTAAATAATCGAGTCTGGACCAGACAATCCAGTGATTGATATCATGGGGAGCGTGTGTGTGTGTGCGTGACATCTCACTTAGTCCCTGATTGTGTTGAGGCTCTCCACCTGTGCCTCCACGGCCTGTAGGAGTGTGTCTAGGGGTACGTGCTTGTGTGAAATCTCACCTCGTCCCTGATTGTGTTGAGGCTCTCCACCTGTGCCTCCACGTGTGTGTGTGTGTGTGTATGTTTGTGACATCTCACCTTGTCCCTGATTGTGTTGAGGCTCTCCACTTGTGCCTCCACGTGTGTGTGTGTGTGTGTGTGTGTGTGACATCTCACCTTGTCCCTGATTGTGTTGAGGCTCTCCACTTGTGCCTCCATGTGTGTGTGTGTGTGTGTGTGTGTGTGTGTGACATCTCACCTCGTCCCTGATTGTATTGAGGCTCTCCACTTGTGCCTCCACGTTTGTGTGTGTGTGTGTGTGTGTGTGACATCTCACCTTGTCCCTGATTGTGTTGAGGCTCTCCACCTGTGCCTCCACGTGTGTGTGTGTGTGACATCTCACCTCGTCTCTGATTGTGTTGAGGCTCTCCACTTGTGCCTCCACGTGTGTGTGTGTGTGTTGAGGCTCTCCACCTGTGCCTCCACGTGTGTGTGTGTGTGTGACATCTCACCTCGTCTCTTATTGTGTTGAGGCTCTCCACTTGTGCCTCCACGTGTGTGTGTGTGTGTGTGTGTGTGTGTGTGTGTGTTGAGGCTCTCCACCTGTGCCTCCACGTGTGTGTGTGTGTGTGACATCTCACCTCGTCTCTGATTGTGTTGAGGCTCTCCACTTGTGCCTCCACAGCCTGTAGTTTACCCAGCAGCTGGGCGTTGTCATCCTTCGTCTCCTGCAGCAGCTCCTGACACTGGCGGTAGCTGGATGCCACGCCCTCTTTCTCACCTGAGGGATCAGCGGGGTAAGCATCTTTAAAAACTGTCTGTATAATCCATCAATGTATTGACGTACACATTTTTCAGTATCTACAGTGATATTGAAATTCCATGTAACATGTAATTACAATGGTGAATATGGAATGACATTGGTCAACATCGTGTTTGAGGATGTGGTTCTAAAGCAGTGAAGCTTGGAATACAATCAGAAACCTACCTTGTGCCACAGACAGCTGGTGTTTGAGGATGCGGTTCTAAAGCAGTGAAGCTTGGAATGCAATCAGAACCTACCTTGTGCCAGAGACAGCTGGTGTTTGAGGATGCGGTTCTAAAGCAGTAAAGCTTGGAATACAATCAGAAACCTACCTTGTGCCAGAGACAGCTGGTGTTTGAGGATGCGGTTCTCCCTGCCCGACTCCTGCTTGAGAGTGTCGAGGTCCCTGCGGAGGTCCTCCAGCTGCCGACCTCGAGCCTTGTACAGGATCTGCAGCTGCCCTGCCTGTCTCTCATCCTCTCCACCATCTGTCGAGAGATACGGGAGTAACTAGATGTGTCTTTACACAGAGACAAGATGGGGGAGATTGTGTGTTTATTTTCATGCTGCTTGGAACAGTATATAACTAAAATCAGATGTTTTACTCTTATCTGGTCAAGATCTGAGCACGCCTCCATAAAAGGTCATAACATTGGTTGGTTGGTTTGTTTGTTGTTTAACGCCGCACTCAGCAATATTCCAGCTATATGACGGCGGTCTGTTTAAATAATTGAGTCTGGCCCAGTCAATCCAGTGACTGATATCATGAGCATCCATCCACGCAATTGGGATCGATGACATGCATCAACCAAGTCAGCAAGCCTGACCACCCGATCCCATTAGTCGTCTTTTACGACAAGCATAGTCACCTTTTACGGCAAGCATGGGTTGCTGAAGACCTATTCTACCCCGGATTCTTATCAGCTAATCAGCATTAAGGCATCTGAATTGTCGGTATGAATTAGCGAAGCATTCGTATCAGCATATCTGGGTGCTGTTGTAGTTTTTTATGCACAGGATTCTCATCATTATTATCTCTGTGAACAAATACCAGGCTAAAGAGTGTCTGACTGAAATATTCATACACCCGGGCATTTCACTGAGGTATGTGATATGTGTGATGCTATTCATATGACATGAATGATGCACAAAGTCTTGACACAAAACATACCTTGTTGTAGGAAATCTATTTGATTCCCTGCACCCTCCTGATTGGTTGATTCAGGTTCTGGCAGCATCTGATTGGTTGAAGAAATTGGTTGCTCAGGCTGGGGAGCTTTGTATTGAACCTTGTAGGATTCAGGGTAATCCTGTTTCCGTGGTGACGGGGGCCCTTGAAGAGGGGCCCCTAAATCTTGTCGATGGGTCATGTGTCTTACCATACCCTCATTAATATTTGTAGGGAGAGAGCTATGGTAGGTTTGGTTGTAATTAAGTTCCATTGGCTGTGATTCTGGTTTCAACGAAAACTGACCTGACTGAGGTCCAAAGCCGTAGGCTTTGTCAGGAAGGGTGTGTCCATTTGCAAAGTTAATCTGAATCTCACTATCAAGATGTCGGTGAGTATTAGCGAAAGTACTGGCCCCAGTTTGAAATTGTTCATGAGAGTTGTCTCCCCCTGGAATGTCATCTTCCCTGTAGAGGTCTCTGAAATGCTGGTTATAATTCTGACTCCAGAGCTGTTTTTGGGCTTCTGCTCTCAAATGTTCATTTCCTCCTTCGGTTTCGCCTCGTTCAACTCCAACAATTATACGATTCTCCATCGAATCCATCCTCTCGGCCTCATTATCAAAGCAAGGCTGATGGTAATGAAACCCTGGCATGTGCTCGTGCATCTGAGCAGGGTCTGTGACCTCAATATGACCTCTGCTAGGGTCAAGGTTTTCCACACTGCCACCCCACTGCAGGTACCCTTGACCTTTGTAATCAGTCACACCTTCGGTGTTGGTGTTGTAGTCGGTAGTTCGGTACTCCTGTGCTGGAGCTTGGGAAGAAAGGTTGTATGTGCCTCCGAAATTTGGTGCTTCTCCATGTGGCAGGCTGTAGCCTACGTCATGTGACATGGTCTCAGCTCTGCCATTGGCTAGAGGTACCGGGTACCCCCACTCCTGACTGCTGACCTTGGCTGTCGGGATTCTACCACTGGCCCTCTTTCTCCTTGGGGTTCTTCCACTGAGGAACCAAGGGTCATGATATAAAAAATGGCTAAAATAAGGGATGTGACTCTGCACAGTTCTAAAGTAAGGGATGTAACTCAGTCAATTGAGACTGCTTTCTGAAAGCTAGATCTTGTGCCCTGTCACGCTACCTGACAAAATACTTAGTTTAGGAGCTTTATGTGAAGTATGGTGAATAAAACTGATGGATTAGCAATGTCAATAACTTGTGAAAATAGAGACACAAGGCTCTGTAGCACACCTTACTTATTTTAGTAAATGGCTGTTTTGGCAGCCATATTGGTTCTCAGATTTGAACCTCTTAAACGAACTTGAACCTCTTACAATGCATTTTAAGAGCTTGGTTAAATTGCCAAGGCAAAAACAATTACAAATTTAAAATACTGACACAAACAGACCATGTGTTGAGGCCAACCATTGCCTATACATAACAAACTTTATTTCTTTTCTGAAGAAAATTGCAAGTAAACATGGTAAAGTGCATAGGAAATTTCAGGTTTCAGTGCAGCTCACCTTTCTGACAGGTCCTGGCATCCGCTGACGTTGACAGAGTCATCCGACGTCACAGACAAGATGTCATCGTCCAGGAGGTCATCAAATGCATTTGTCAGTAATTGCCGTAGCTGAAACATGGAAGACACAAGATACAGGTACGTCCTGTAACAAACATTTGTTTTGTTTGTTGTTTAACGCCTTACTCGGCAATATTCCAGCAAATTGATGGAAGGATGTAAATAATCGATTTTGGGCCAGACAATCCAGTGATTGACATCATGAGCATGGATCCACGCAATTGGGATCGATGACATGCATCAACAAAGTGAGCGAGCCTGACCACCCGATCCCGTTAGTCGCCTCTTACAACAAGCATAGTCGCCTTTTACGGCAAGCATGGGTTGCTGAAGACCTATTCTACCCCGGATCTTGATGGGTCCCTGTAACAATGCGGTGGGGTGAATTAAAGCTGAAACAGGTAAACACAAGAGATGTATCATTCGTGCATTATTCACTGCAGCAGAGTTTATGTAAAGGTGAGTGAGTGAGTGAGTGAGTGAGTGAGTGAGTGAGTTTGATTTTACGCCGCTTTTAGCAATATTCCAGCAATATCACGGCGGGGAACACCAGAAATGGGCTTCACACACTGTACCCATGTCGGGAATCGAACCCGGGTCTTCAGCGTGACAAGCGAACGATTTAACAACTAGGCTACCAAACCGCCCCTCACTGCAGTCTAGTTTATGTAAAGGTGATCATGGTGATGATTGCAATCGATCAATAAATAAAGATGCAGAAAGATATTGGGTTACTTAAGCTGAAAAGGCTACACTGGGTAAGTATGAAGTATTGCTATGCTGTTTATTTATTTAAACATTTCATGCATATTTGTATGCAAACAACTCAAAATTAATTGGGTTATGGTGATTTATTTTTCATATTTTACTCAAATATATATGCAGCTTATCATGTGTTATCTGGAGCTATGCTGAAATGCAAAACTTGGGGGGAGACGTCCATTGGACATCCATTAACTCAACAGCTAGCCATTAGATTTGACTCAAGACCTACCAGACAGCATCTGAAAATCACCAGACACCCATTGGACGCTGATACAACTAAACAACTACATACACGGTATGACTTGCCACCACACAACACAACAACTATAAATCTGGTGTGACAGGACACCCACACACAGCTGTACACCACATGTGATGGGACACCTATCGGACACCCACACACAGCGGTACACCACATGTGATGGGACACCCATGGGACACCTATCGGACACCCACACACAGCTGTACACCACATGTGATGAGACACCTATCGGACACCAACACAGCTGTACACCACATGTGATGGGACACCCATGGGACACCTATCGGACACCAACACAGCTGTACACCACATGTGATGAGACACCTATCAGACACCAACACAGCGGTACACCACATGTGATGGGACACCCATGGGACACCTATCGGACAACAACACAGCGGTACACCACATGTGATGGGACACCTATCGGACACCAACAGCTGTACACCACATGTGATGAGACACCTATCAGACACCAACACACAGCGGTACACCACATGTGATGGGACACCCATCGGACACCCATCGGACACCTATCGGACACCAATACAGCTTTACACCACATGTGATGGGACACCCATGGGACACCTATCGGACACCAACACAGCTGTACACCACATGTGATGAGACACCTATCAGACACCAACACAGCGGTACACCACATGTGATGGGACACCCATGGGACACCTATCGGACAACAACACAGCGGTACACCACATGTGATGGGACACCTATCGGACACCAACAGCTGTACACCACATGTGATGAGACACCTATCAGACACCAACACACAGCGGTACACCACATGTGATGGGACACCCATGGGACACCTATTAGACACCCACACACAGCTGTACACCACATGTGATGAGACACCTATCGGACACCAACACAGCGGTACACCACATGTGATGGGACACCCATGGGACACCTATCTGACACCCAGACACAGCGGTACACCACATGTGATGAGACACCTATCGGACACCAACACAGCTGTACACCACATGTGATGGGACACCCATGGGACACCTATTAGACACCCACACACAGCGGTACACCACATGTGATGGGACACCCATGGGACACCTATTAGACACCCACACACAGCTGTACACCACATGTGATGGGACACCTATCGGACACCCACCTGCAGCAGAGCTCTCTCCATGTCCCTCAGTTCCTCCATGGTGGCCTAGTGTAGTCTTTACTTAGACAATTCAACAACTAGACAGCGGACTAGACAGCGGACTAGACAAAACCATCTCCTGACCTTGAGAAATATGTAGACCAGACGACACTCAATGTAGTTGTTTACATGTCATTGATACATAAACTCACCTAAAATTCACCTAATTTCTGAACTACAGGAAAGAAGTGAAGCTCTAAAATCAGGCTCATTCACCCCAAAATTGTTAAATAACTGAAATATCATTTCTTGCAGCAATGTATAAATACTATTTATGGAAAAAATACCCCCAAAAATTCCATTACTTGAAAAGAAAAAGCAAGTATAAATTGTCTAGCATGGTGTAAAATACCATTTCTTTCAAAGATGTCTGACCTATTCCAAAAATGACAAAGATACCACTTGAAATATCTCAAATAAAAACAGAATTCTTAACAAACTCAAAATCTGATTATTCATAATGTAAAAACATGATGACATCATCAGATATAACAGGATAACAATTTAAAGGTCTCTCAGTAAACCATCCATGCTTATGGGACAGAACTAAAGATTAAAAACTATAACCTAGCAACAGGATATCCCTTAATAATATATATGTCAATCACAAACAGCCAAAACAACTCAACTATTTTCTGAATCCTCAACATGCTCAAAGAAAAAGAAAATACCATGATTCAATAACTTCCATACAATCTTCTCACACATCAAATGCCATAAAATACAATCTAAGCAGCCTCCTTCTTTGGAAAGAAGAAAATTCTAACATTCCACAAAATCACACAATCTTGGATAGCTCAGACACCTGTTTCTACACAATAATGACAAACCAACTGGCTACAAAATCCATCTGCATGTCGGCCAACAGCTTGCTATACCAAGAGCCAGGACACAGCGAAACCCCAATAATATCTGGTCAGATAACCCCCTCAGAAGGAAGATGCTGGTTAACAGTAGTTATCAGTTATCTCCCTGAAGCTCAAAAACTCCCGGGGTTTCCGTCTTCAAAGTATGAATGGGGCAACAGGACAGCAGCTGATTCATATCTACAAGTTATCATCAGAACGCTCATTGCCTGGATACAGATATTCCACACAGAGATATTCCCAAACAGGCTGTCAGGTAAATCTTTGGTCTGGGTAGGGGATGGATGCTTATAACAATTAATTTCAGATAGATCTAGAAGCTGGTTTTGTTTGTTTGTTGTTGAACGCCGCACTTAGCAATACTACAGCTTTATAATGCAGTCTGTAAATAATGGAATCCAGACAATCGAGTGATTGACATCATGTGCATCGATCCATGCAATTGGGATATGATGACATGCACCAAACAAGTCAGCGAGCCCGACCACCCGATCCCGTTAGCCGCCTTTTATGACAAGCATAGCTGCCTTTTACAGCAAGCATGGGTTGCTGAAGACCTATTCTACCCCGGATCTTCACAGGAGAACAAGTATGAAAACTAGTGACTGAAGCATTATACTGTCACGTTGATGGGGAGGTGAATATTGTATATTAGTGTTTTATGCGTCACCTTATAATAAACTGATTGGACTTACAGATAAAGATATACGTTTTCAAGACAAAAAACAGTTGTACAAAACAAATCAGCCATAGTGAACCAGTGTATAACAACTCATATCAGCAGAGGGTGAGAAGAAAATTATTAAGGGGTATTGATTTCAAGAGGCCTAAAACCTCAAGGAGCCAAATTGTTTTCTAGGAGCCTAAAACACTTCAAGGAGCCGAACTATTTTCAAGGAGCCTTTTAAATGAAGAAGCCAAAGTGTTTTCTTGGATCCGAAAACATGAAGGTGCCAAATTATTTTCTTGGAGCCTAAAACATCAACATGATCAAGAAGCAAAGTTGTTTTCTTGGAGCCTAAAACATTAAAGTGCCAAATTATTTTCTTGGAGCCTAAAACATCAAATTGTTTTCTACATGTTCTAGGAGCCTTTTATATGAAGAAGCCAATTCGTTTTCTTGGAGCCTAAAAGATCAAGGAGACAAATTGTTATCAAGGAGCCAAATTGTTATTAACCCTTTCGCCCCGACTGCCCGATTTATCGGGCAGGATAAACCGTGTCCCAGGACCCGGCTGCCCGAAAAATCGGGCAGCATAAGCCGAGGCCCAGAACCCGGCTGCCCGATAAATCGGGCGGCGCGAGCGTGTTTACAAAATCGCTCTTTCTACTTCCTTTCTCGTGTGTAATCTCGTTCTAAATATGGAAACGAGATCTACACGTATTGACACGTCATTCAATGGAATTTCCCCGTCTTTTTGGCGCGAAAATCGCGGGTATGTCACCTGTTTTCGCGACAGGTATTTTTCTCGCTTGAATCGTAAATCAAGCGTAATGGCGGCCAACTACGATTCGGATAGCGATCAGATGATTAACAACGACTATATCGGGAATAATAATGTGTTTGAATTGAATAATTTACGCGAAGGGGAGAGGGAATTTCGCGAATATTTTCGTGAAGATTTTGACGGTTTCGACGAGGTGTCCCCACCCCCCGCCAACTTTCGAGAATGGGAGTGGCAGAGGGACACACGACAGTGGAGACATGAGGGATTTTGAAGAGGCGACCGGATTCAAGAATATATATTGACACGGTGAGTGAAGAGCCGTGCTATTGATTTTTTCCAACTGTTTTACAATGATTCTGTGTTTGAACAGATTATCAGTGCGACGAATGAGAATGCAGCCTACACGTGAACGAGCGATCACAACAACAACAAAGGTGAGTGGCATGACGTATCTGTTTTTGTTTTTTTAAATTTATTTTTCTGATCGCAATCCGAATTGTAGTTTGCCGGTTTGTCGTATG